TTGTCAATGTCATTGCCGTAGCCGCTAACAAGAGCACCGCTTTCGCAGACTTCTTTTTTGAACTTCAAGACTGCTTCGTAGATGGCATGTGCAATTGCACTAACCCATTCACCACCAAGGCTGAGATCAGCGCAAGTGATGCGTGCAAACTCTTCAGCCATGCCAGGTGGGTGTAGCAGAGACCACTCGAATTTGTCTGTGTACAGCTTGTTTTGCAGGTTGATATTGAGGGTGATCAAGCACCGATATGCGTCATCTGGGTTCAAAAGGCTGTCATTCACCAGCGGTTCCTTCGTCACAGTTACAGTGGTCGTCACATTGGGCCGGCTATCAGGTGTCGCAACGGCAGCAGCTGGTGTCGTTGGTGTCTCTCTTGACGGCTCTGTATGTGGCAGAACGCTGGGCACTGTGCCTGCGTCTGTGCTCTGAAAAAGTGGGTGAAGAGCAACACCAGCGTATTCCTCCAGCTGCTGTCGGATCTGGTTGCTGATGGTCATAGTCGTAGCCTGGGGATTTGGGAGATCGAGATCGCGGACGAATCCAATAGCAAATTCCTCCGGCGTTGAGAGTGATTCATGGAGGTTCCACAAGAAAGTATCCTTAATGCGGAACGGGGGTAATGGTTCAGGTCTGCGATAGGCAGGAAGAGCGTGGGTGACGTTAGGGTCCACGACTGCGCGTGGGAAGGGGAATGGTTCGAGGGGTTGATGAGCGGGGACTTCGACATCAATTCGGATGGGAACGAGCGTCAAGGGGAGTTGCGCTTGAATCTGCAGTTGATCGGCACACCTAGAATCACCACGCTGTATGTTAGCCAGATCCAAGGATAGACAGGGAAGACAGAGGCCACTGTCGTTAATGGCCACGTCAGCCCTGGCAATAGGGAACATACGCTGGTCGCAACATTCTCTTGATCATCCACTCGCGAAAGAGGCCTTGCACCTCCACGGGCGCATGCACTTCTTTGCCCAGCTTCTCCGAGTAGGGCACCGACTTGTCAGTGGCGGATTCTTCGCGCCGAAGACTTCGCAGTCCCGTCGGGCGCCGGGGCCCATCAGTCTCATCGAAATCCTCGTCATCGAAGCCGTCTTCAGCATAATTGATGGCTGTAGTTCCACGCTTCGTGGTGCGCGGAGTCGGGCCGGTTTGAGACGGAGGATTGACAGGTGTGAGCAACGCGTTTCCATAATGGCGCATGCGCGGAGGGTAGGAACTGATATAGCCCCGAAGAGGAGACATGTTGGCGATTCAATTGCACAAGAACATGCCTCTTCGAGGGTATGTGCGAGAAAAGAACTAGCTTGCGATTGTTTTGATCGGCTCGATGTTCGAAGGGCTGATCACTGCAGTGAGGCACAATTGGGAATGGCCCAAGCGCAAGAAAGTTAACAACAAGTACTTGTATGATTCCACGGCATATAGTAACGTGGTAGAAAAAAGTTAAGATCGCGTCAAAGGTATCCAGAAAGAATACAGCTGGAGAATGGCTCTGGGATCGATATTCTGCGCGACTTTGCCAAATTCGACGCTAGTCCTGTTCCAGGTAGAGCATCACGTGCTATGCCTCACACCGAACCATTGTAGTTCTATACATCAAAGTTTGTAAATGGTCTCCCTTGGTCACTGAATATAAAAAGCATGGTGTTACAAAAAGGTATAGCATAGCTTACCCGTCACTTCATCTGCTTCATTCGAGCATGTCCGTGAAATGCGTCTGTAACAAGAGGACATCCGCGAGAGAAGGACGTCTGTGAGAAGAGGACCTTTCTGAAAAATGGTTCCCCAAAGTCCACCATCACTGCCTCGGTATTTCTTGCATGATCGTGGGGATTCAGTTTCATCATGAAACATCAGCGACAGCTGATCACGATACCAGGGCATTCTTAGTTGGTTCGAGTGCATTCCTGGCAGACCGGTAGGGTTGGGTATGGTCGTATCTGTTCGAGATGTGCAGTCAAGACGGAAGTATTCTACTATATGCAGTAGTCTGGTGCCGTCGCGTGCAGAGCGCGGTCTTTTCGGACTTCTTCTGCGGCTTCTACGCCGTCTTCTTTTAGACGCTCAATGCGGTTTCAATCGGCACGTTCTACTTTCCTAAGTCAGAGCTCTGCGTCCTATGTGACCACAAACTCACCCGCTGGCCAACCTTTGATTTCGAGCACGAATTTTAGATGCGCCAGGCTAGGCAGAATCCTGTCAAGACCGCGATCATCCATGGTCGCGCAATCCAAGTCCAGGTCTAGCATCATCAAGAGGCACTTGCATTTGCCTGCTGTTCTGCTACGTAGTGGACTGAGCCTATTGCCGTATGGATACAAGGCTCACAAAACAAGCAAACGACATGTGAGGAAAAGGCTACAGTTGCAAACTAGATCTGCACCATATATCCAACCTTCACTGTCAAAGTGATGTCCATGAAAGAGTTTACCAATCGACTAGAAAATGAATACATTGAAAGGAATGAGTACACCAAAATGCTGAGTACAGCGCTGCTGCTGGTAAGATGGAAACTTGAATATTTGTTGCAGACATATTTCAATGCAACTTTAGAAAAAAAATAACAGTCGAAACTTCGAGCCGTAAGGCCGGGGGAATGATAATCGCACATGCAAAGGAAAGAATAAGGGGGAAAAAATTAGCGGAGCCCAATAACACTCTGCGAAGGGATTAGCTATCAAGGATTTTGAGTCAACTGAGAATAGGGGGCTTACCATCTCCAAAGTCCACACACGCCGGATCCAGACCTTTACTTGTCCCTCGACGCCCTCGACGTCGTCCAGCTCGATACCCTCCCACCAGCAGCGGCGGGCAGGCTTGCGCCAAAAGAGGAGAAGCTTCTGGGCCATGCCCACAGAATTGTTGTTTGACAGGTCTCCGCGGATGTCAGTGCGGAGTTTGGCCAGCGCAAGACTGCAGATTACTGCCTTGTTGGGCTCTGGAGCACGGTGGCCCCACTGGTCAGAACGATCAAATCCTCTATATTGTATATTAGCGTTGGCCCCATAATTGAGAACCCGGTTCTACTCACCCAGCTGTCAGCATTTCAATAAGATGCTGCTCGGTTGATCCAATCTCCTCGCTCTTGCGCAGTCCAGAAAAGATGCCGTCCTGTTTCAACAGTGATCTGCCGGCCGCCCGCTTGACTTCAAGCATTTCATCGTGTCCAATATCGGCGTAGGGAGGGATCACATAAAAGTCAAGGTCCTCACGGAGAACAATAATGCCAGCACGGTCTTGCAGCATGTCACGGGCTGAGCCCTGCAATGGGTCCTGCATTTCCATTTCTGGCGAGTTTGAGCTGGAAGGCAGAGATGCGGGGATGGTTTGGGCGACAGTCCGGAAGAAATCCAGCATGTACTGAAGTGAGACTGGGTCATACTGGATAATAAATGTCAGAAAGAATTCAATACTCAAGATAGGGATTCGCGTACGTCAACCGGGAATACATCCCCATCGTGGAAACCATTTGCAACATGTCCATCCGGGAGGAGGCCATTGGGGAAGAGGGAGAGCAGAACAAATTCAGGCAAAGTCAAGAGCTCATCCCGCGAAAGGGTAAAGCGCGTACCACTATCAACTTGTTAGACTATGCATAATTGAGATATATCAATTTGTGACTTACCGAAGGTCGAGACCAACATGTTCATCTCCGCCGATATCTATTATACCCTGTTAGCGCAAAGCATACCAAGCGGCAGTGGTACAAACATACCACCAAGAGTGTTGATTGGCGGACCCCCGGTCTGCTGGACCTGGGTTATTATACTGGAGGCACCTCCTGCAGCAGCCATCACGTAGGTGAATGACTCAAGTGGACTATAGCCTTCTGTATATGGTGGTGGTGGTTCACCGTCGTCGGAAGAGCCCTCGTTTTTTGGTTCGGTGAAAGACGCTTTTGTATCAGCAACAACTGCCGAAGATGGGGCCGGCTCGAGCGACTCCTCGACAGGTGCTGGAGGCGCTAAGGCTGGAGGACAAGCGGGTCCAGGCTCAGTAACTTTGTAAGGGCGATTTGTGTCTTGCGGTAACGAAAAGGTAAGAGACGAAAATGGCGGAGGATATGCGGTGGAGGAACTTGACACTGATGCTGGGGAGTGCGGTGGAGGTGCAGTGTAATAATCGTCGTCCTCCTCTAGGGAGTCCGTTGGATGGGGCGGGCACGCCGTGGTTGATGGGTCCGACGGCGGCGTTTCTCGCGACACCGTGGTTTCTATTATTGCCTGAATCAGTCAGACAGGCTGATATGCGCAATCGAGATGATCGAATTCTGACCTAGTCTAGCAATGCGACTGATCTGGGTCGAGTGTCGTCCAAGTTGCTGTGTCGGCGAGTCTTTCCAATTCAATGACTGACTTCCAGCACCTGGTTGAAGAAAGGATTGTTTCCAAAGGGAGTTGAACAGATATAAGCTTTCATCTGCTAGATTCGCAGTGATTGAGTGTTGGAGAAGGAGAGCGCTTAGAGGTTGGGGAAGACGGGTAGATCAACTTGGACGGCGGTAAGTCCGAGCGCCTCACCATCGAAACTTGGCACATATGGTGTCCTCTGTCTTGTACTTTAGTTTCGTTTTAGTTTGGATTCAATTTCGAGTTTCTATTTTACAGGAACATTATTGCGAGACGAAATGGGCGTGACTCGAAGTCAGTCAGATGTGTTGACCTATTCCCAGCCGGTCCCCACCTGACTATGTTGTACTATTGATCTATCATTTTATAGTCCAGGGTTTGTGTACAATCTTGGAATGTCCATCCGCCGCATAGTCTTAGCTTGGATTTTACGATGAATAGCAAGGGAGCGGAAAGAATCAAATATGACCTAGTCTAGAAATCCTGGGCTGTTGGAGTAGTTTGGTGTGGAATAGGGGTAGTCACACAAAGGTCGTCCAAACGGATCTGGGAAGACATCACAAAGGAGGCTATTGATATGGATATGTAGCCACTTCCATGGGAAAGAGATATATAATATATATGCATTTCATTTGTATACTGTATATAAATATATCAGACGTTACGCTCTGCATAGCTCTGAATCAGACCCTCGAGGGTCGGTTCATACTCCTTCAAGGTGACCTGGTCACCCTCCAGAATAGTATTGGCCTGCACAAAGATCTTGCGTGGAACCTTCTTTTTCAAAACGACCTCACGAACGGAGGTTCCCCACCAGCTGTCAACGGAGGTAATATCGTCGTACAAGCCCTTACCAGCCTCAATATCTGCGGTACTTTTGTAGACATGCAGCTTCTGGAGGTACTTCTCTACGGCAGGACGTCCATGAGTCAGGATCTTAGACCGATCAAGATGGATCTCTAGATCAGAGAGATCCTCCTTCTTGTAAGACAACTTAACAAAGTCATCACCAGCATCGAGGAAGGTGCGCAGAATACTGTACCGAGCCTGCATGTGTGCTTGGCCCCATTTCTGGGTCTTCGGATCCCAGAATTCCAGGGCGACCAGACCGGCGCGAGCCATGGAAAGGTAGGCCGCGAACAGGACGTCGCCGGCCTCACCAGCCAAGTCTTCCTTGCCATCGCCGAATCCGAAGATCTTCAGGATGCCAAAGTCGCAGCCAAGAACCATGGCCACGCACTCGGCACGGCACTCCTCGTATGACGAAGCAATGGAACCAAAGACTGAGCTCCATGTCTGTCCAGGCTTGTACCAGGTCGAAATGGGCTTGTTGGTGACGGGGCTGATGGGTGGGTTCTTAATATCAAAGTTGTACTCCCCTGGCGCTGTCTCCTGCAACAGCTTGCCAGTTCCATGACCCAGCAATTCATGGATACCGACTTGAACCTCAAAAGCCGGGTCCCGGAATGAGCGGTAGACCTCCTGGTCATTCTCGGCAATGAAAGGAATAGCCTCGTTAGGAGCCTTGGCGCTGAGAACATTGCCCAGAGACACGTTCTTGAAGCCAAGGTTCTGGCGAATGTCATCATAGTTGGGCAGGTTGATGCCAGCTGGGAGACCCGAGCCGGCGAAACTCAACACTTCCAATGATGTGAAGTCGGGGCTGAGGAACTTGTCTTTCTCAAAGTCCTTACCCCAGGGCAGCTTGGGAATCATGCTCTCGGCACTATCAACCAGCGTACCAAAGGCGCGGGTGCGCTCCAGATTGACCTGCAAATGTCAGCGATACCGGCCAATATAGATCTAGCACATGTCATACCAAAGCAACGAAGCCCTCCCATTCTCCGCGCACACCGTGGGGGTCTCTGTATGTTTCAACAAAGCCCAGGTTCGTCTCCAGAACAGGCTTTTGGTCCTTAACCCAGATGCGCTGGCTCTCCTTGAAAGCCTCGATGGATCCAGCTCCGAACGAGAGAGCATATGAGTCCAACATCTTCTTCTGATTATCATTTGCAGCAGAAAGTTCTGCCTGCTTGATGCTGTGCGCGATCTTTGCCATCTCCTCCTGATGGTCACCGAAGACAAGACGCAGTTTCTTTCCCTTCAGATCTCCGTCAAGCTCAAATGTGTCCACATCGCCGAGATCCCGGTCCCTCACAGGAGGCGACGAAACACCAGACGCGATCAAAAGCTCGAAATCACCCGAGGATGTCTTCCGGAGTCTAGTATTCTCCAACGCAAGTCCCTTCTTCTCCATCAAGTCACCAACTGCCGTGATTTCCTCCTTTGAGATTGTTGGCGAATCGGGGTAGTAGGTGGTCATGTGGCCGCCCTTGGGATATCCGAGGTGCATCATCGATCCTTCGCTGGTCTCGTAGATCCCTCCTCCGGTGGTGTTCGCCTTCTGGAAAGCTGCCTTTGTCTCCGCGGTCGCCGATGCCAGAGCCTCGAATGCGGAGACGGACAGCCGAGGGATGAACTTTGAGTCACCAAAGCCCTTATAGTTTCCGCAGTTGCCCAAGAATTGACTCGCATATTCGAGGAAGAAACGGAGGTCGTCGGGACTGACTTGTGTTTTCTGGGCGAGGCTGTTCCAGTCGCCATTGGCGGCGTGGTAGAGTGACAGGATGAGGTCGTATATAGGTTCGGACTCGGGGGAGACCTGGCGCAGGGTGACTCGAGTGCCCTCAAACGCGGCCCTGTATAACGAGAAAGGTTAGCTGTCAATAGCTCTTGAGGTGGAATCCAGGAACACGATACCTGCTCATAAAGTGCGCATATTTTCTCAAGTTTTGGTCTTTGAGTGTATCAAAGTGTGACTTGACTTCCAGTCTGACCACGGTCGGAGGTGAGTCAGCCAGATAGTGCTGTTTGATGCTCAGGTCCATGGCGGCGCGAGTTAGATGAGTATACGAGGAGAAGGTCTTTGCCAGTCTGGGAGTCAACCGGCGTGAGATTCGATGGAGGGGTAACAAAGGTGACACGGAGCTCCGGGAGGACAAATGCGGCGCAATGCCACGCATTGAGTGCATATGGAGGGGTTTAACGACGAAGTATGACATAGAGTATGAAGAGGCACCAATCAGGTACGTGTCTCCCTAGCCAACGGCCGGATCACCGATGGAGTCCCGATCTACATTGCTTGGCATGGGCTGATTTGCTAATTGAATGTTCTTTTGTCACTTTTCTTAATTACAACTGCTGCTGCGACTATTTACTATGCCGGGAATGTGCAAAAGCAGCAATAACAGCAATCAAAAGGGGTATCAGCCAGAAAATAACAAGAATTGTTCCTTATATCAGACTCTCATACTTGTCCAACCCTTGCTTTTGCGTTGCCTGTGGTGTCGCGGCGGTGCCTTGGAAAGACGTTGATCTGTTGGCTGTGTTCATCGGAGGGGGTCTCGTAGCGTTGTTGGACACCATGTTTCCTGTAGGAGGAGGGGGGATTGAGAACGAGGAGTAGTTGGGTGCCGGTTGCGCCGTTGACCCGGACATATGATTCGAGGGTATCATAGTCGACATGGACCCCAAAGACTGACCTGTTGGGCCTGTATGGGACCGAACATTGGCATTGGCTGGGGCTCCCCAGGTAGAAGATGAGGGCTGCATAGTAGGGAAGGCTTGGACAACCGGTGAAGCTTGCCGAGAAGGAGCAAGAGCCGGGAAAGAACCCAATTTCTGATCTGGAGTAATGGAACGGAATCCAAGATTGGACTGTTGGCTTAAGGCATTGGCTTGGGGTGTCATGCCTACATTATTTGAAGACCACGAGAATGAAGGCAGCATGCTTGGAACCGCTGGCTTGGCTGGCTCCATACTACCCCACATATCTATACTCTGGCCATTTGCAGGCAATGCCTTCTTCCCAAGAACAAGGCGCTCGAAGCTGCCAGCGCCGCCGTCCGCATCGGGCGAGCCCAGGCCAGTGGCAGACTGCGAAAATTCGTCGGCACCAGTTTGGAAACCCGTTGGTCCAGCGCCAGAGGATAGCTCTTGCAGCTTTTTGCTTTGCTCCTGTTCAATCTTCGCTGAGAGGGTTTTTATCAGAGCCATAAAGGTATTGAACTGTTGAAGGCTCAAAAGTGGCCCGAGACTGAAACTCCAGAGAACCGGCAGAACTTCCAAAGCCAGGAATTCGGTATCTGCGATAGTTCCAACTTGACGAAACACCTTCAACGCTGCCATCATCACCGACGGCTCTTTCGTTTTAATCCCTTTGAGAGACGGGACGAGCTTTTCTTGAATAGTATACTTGTCCAATATCGAGGACTTGGCTGGTTTTGACTTAGTCGCCTGGATTCCAGACAAATCATCGTCAAACCCGTCTGAACCTTCTGCAGAGGCGCCGCAAAGTACACTGAAAGCTTCCAAACTGCGAACCTTGATAGCGAGGCTGCTAGTGCGACTAAAAGTGGCAGCAATGGGAGGGAATACCTCATTCTTGACAGTGCTGAAATCAAGAACTGGGAGCATCACAGGGAGGCATTTGAGGGAAGCATCCACCAAAGAATGAGTGGGAGAATCCAGTCCGAGCCGAATCAAGGGTAGAATATCTAGAAAGAAGCGTGAGATTTAAGCTCAAAGGTTTCCATTTACAAAACTCACCATCTTTGAACTCCATCCCTGAACAATTATCAGCAATCAGCTTCATATTATCAAGCACAACCATGAGACCAGCATCTTTCTTGGAGTCTCGTTCAGCAGCCCCCTTGCCCGAGCCAGCTCCAAAGACTTCCTTTAGACGAGGCATGATTTTCTCTGGGAATACACGGCGTCCGTTGGGAATCCGCTTAAGAATACCGAACACGTTTTGCAATATGAGCGGAAGCAATTCCCGATCCTTGAGTTCGTCCATCAAGGCTCCCAATAGCTTTCTCTCTAGGACAGAAACCGGGAACTCAGGTAGTACCCGTTGTAAGCCACGCAAGAATTGAGTCTTCTCATTGGGATTTTTTGTTGGCAAAGATTCCAGAAACCGGATAGTGGAAACTAACACATTGTCGAAGTACTGTGCTTGCTGGAATTCTCGAGCATTCATGCGCTGGGCAGGCCTTCGGGTAATGAGCCTCGGTAGGACATCAGAAAGTAGACCCTTGGGAATCGGCTTCGAACTGAGGAAATTATTGCTCTGTGACGGAGTGGAAGACGGAGAGCTCAGCAGTTTCTTATATGTGGACAAATTTGCGTGCGTTTGTAAAGGCGAGACATGCGGAGAGTTGTACAGAGCGATGATGATGAGCCCTAAAGAGAATAGATCGGCGGCCGCAGACACATTGGAGTCCATGGCAAAGTCAGGCGACGTGTAATCAAGGTTCAATTGTACCGAAGCGGGCAGCCTTGGTTCTTGATAGAGAACCTCGGACACAGCCAATGGCGGTAGCGTCGAACGAGTTTCAGAAGAGTCTGGAGGCCCCGCAAATCCCAGACCAGAGATCTTCCAATCTGATTTGGAATTGATATAGATGGCCTCCGGGTTCAGATTTCCATGCACTAAGCCCGCAGACTCGTGAAGGAATTCAAGACCTTTAGCAACTTGCAAGAGTCCCTTTTGAATTTCCAACTCATCCATCTCCACCTCTCTTCTTCTCCGAGTCCCGTCAGCCTCCTCAACCACGTACCGGCTGGTTCGCGAACCAGCGCGTGTGGTATTCTCTTGGTCATCTTTTTCCAGCAGCAGCCCGGAAAGTGAAGCGGTGAGATGTTCTGTGGCAAACATGAGACCCCCATTACGTGTCTCCTCCACAGGCTCGAGTACCTGAAGAATAGATGGGTGCCGTAGGCGCGCGAGATTGCTTGCTTCGCGCTTGAGTCGTTCGATCACATCGTCCTGTAGCTTCTTGGCGGAGGACCCAGAACTCCTTCCGAACCCATTAGAGCGTGTCTCCAGTGACTTGCGATCAAATATAAACACCGATGCCGCCGTTCCTGTGGACTTCTTCTTTGCATCGTGGATTTTCCAGGGGCCGGAGTAGACGGTAGGGTTAGGTGAGATCTGGTAATGGGCGGAAATGTTGGAACTGAACGATTTGAGCGCAGACGAAAACATGGTGGTAAGGCCGCAGACGAGAATTGGTCGGCACGATAGTCGGAATGAAGGGAGTTGTTCGTTTCACAGTGTCGTCACGGCGTAGCCAGCATAAGACATATTTAGTTTCAACAACAGTGGGATTTAGAAAGAGGGTCTATGGAAGGTGGACCGGTGTTGAAACTCGATGGCTAATGGGAGGTTAAGAACATTAGCTCAAAGGCTGAGAGAAATTGTCCACTGGTTGCATACTTGGTCAATAATCCGGCGCAATACGACCTCAGGTCCTCGATAACAGGCACTCTTCCTATCGATATTATCACGTGATCGTGTCAATAGCTGGTATGTTGCCTTAGGCATAAATAAACTATTGGCATGTGCCTCAGGCCTGAAGCCCTACCGAGCTCGGTCGTAACCGATGCAAGCCGCAGCAAGCCAAAGGAAGCCGAACTAGCCGAAGTCGGCGGGCAACTCTAATTTGCAGTCGCTGATTGGCAGCGACAATCTTTATCTGTAGGGCGGTGGCAGAACTTCCTGATTGGGGCCTCCGAGTCATCGGAGTTGTTGTCGAGCTCCGCAGAGAGGCTGCAGTTCTGGCGCGGAGTCATCTTTCTGGTTGTGATATAAACCTCCATTGACCTCCTCGATTTCAGTACGTTTATACTTCTCCCAGTGACTCAATTGCCACACTCTTCACTCTCTATACCCTTGGCTGGCCCTTGGATCGTTCCTAACATCACCACAGTCATGAAGTCGCTTCACCAATTCGCTCGCCGACAGGCTCTGACCGGGCTCTCAATGCCCCGTGTCCTCTCATCACAGAACATTACCGCCAGCCGGACATGGCAGAGAACTTTCAGCGCCTCTATGGCAGCCGCCTCCCAGCTCCCGGGTCTTGACCCTTCCAAATTGACTATCACCAAGACCACCACCCCTAAGGAGCTAAAGGAATCCAAGGATCTTGTTTTCGGAAAGTACTTCACAGGTAAGAGAAACTCTGCGCTCTATTGCCTTCCAGACCCTGACCGGATGTAATGTAGATCACATGCTCTCCGTGGAGTGGACAGCTACAGACGGATGGCACGCACCTCGCATTATCCCCTACCAGAACCTCAGCTTGGACCCTGCGACCTGTGTGTTCCACTACGCATTTGAATGCTTCGAGGGTATGAAGGCGTACAAGGACAGCACCGGTGGCATCCGTCTGTTCCGCCCCAATAAGAACATGGAACGCCTGAACAAGTCTTCGGCGCGCATTGCCCTTCCTACTATTGATGGTGACGCCCTGACGAAGATTATTGGAGAATTGGTGAAGCTCGATAGTCGGTTCATTCCTGAGTGAGTGTATCTTGTGTAGATTAGATGGACATCCTTGCTAACCTCCACAGCGCTCGCGGCTACTCCTTGTACCTGCGCCCTACCATGATTGGTACCCAGAAGACCCTGGGAGTTGGCCCACCAGGATCCGCTCTTCTGTACGTGATTGCCAGCCCCGTGGGTCCCTACTACCCAACTGGGTTCAAGGCCATCTCCCTGGAGGCCACTGATTACGCCGTCCGCGCCTGGCCCGGCGGTGTTGGTGACAAGAAGCTTGGAGCCAACTACGCTCCCTGCATTCTGCCTCAACTCGAGGCCGCATCCCGTGGTTTCCAGCAGAACCTGTGGCTCTTCGGCGAGGAGGAATATGTTACCGAGGTCGGCACCATGAACCTTTTCATTGCTTTGAAGAACAAGGAGACCGGAGAGAAGGAGCTTATCACTGCTCCTCTTGACGGTACGATCTTGGAGGGTGTCACTCGTGACTCCGTTCTGACTCTCGCCCGTGAGAGACTCGGCCCCAAGGGCTGGAAGATTTGCGAGCGCAAGATTCGCATGTCCGAGGTTGCCGAGGCAGCCGAGGAGGGCCGCATGATCGAGGTATTCGGTTCCGGTACTGCTGCCATCGTCAGCCCTGTTCGTAACATCAGCTACAGAGGTAAGACGGTTGACTGTGGTTTGAAGGCGGATGAGGAGGCGGGTGAGATTGCTCTCCAGATGAAGAACTGGATGGAGGGTATCCAATACGGTGACGAGAAGCACGAATGGAGGTAAGTTGGCACTGACCTTGTTGAACTTGGATGATATACTAACAATCTGTCAGTGTCGCGCTCTAAGACTGACATGTGAGATGAAAGGGCTTCTGTGCCCAAGCTTTGTAGTATAGCTGCAGAGGCTTTCAAAAGTCGTTGCTCAAGGGATACTTTCTTGGTTAATTTTGCATTTTGCATTTTGCATGTTGTTTGGATATTTGAGGTACCGAGGCTACCGAGCAGCGGCGGGCGTCTTTTACATATTCATCTGGAGCTTGGTTCTTTATAAAGAGAGCTTTTCCGAACTTTGGTATCCTCGGTTTTTCGTTAAGTTACAACTTCGTAGATGTATAGTGTACACTTCGAGTAACACGTGCTGTATGATTGGCATATTACCGTTGCTGGGGGGAGAAAATACAAACTACGAAGGTCTTACCAAGTCAGTTCAACTCCATTGAGATACTCCTTGGGCGTTGATTGAGAAGAAAGATTGGAGTAACAATCGGCAACGATGAACCAGAACCATCTGGTGGTTTATAGTGGCCTCCTATACTCCCAAAGACTTATTTCCATGAATCTGTTCTGTATGTTTTTTGGCATTATATTTATCAGAATATCGCTAAGTGCATCCCTTCTCCTCTGCTAAGGGATACGGGTCCTTGATCCATACCCCTTGGAAGAAGAACCAAGCTGCACTTATCGATATTTTGATCAACATACGGCCAAAGAGCATGCGGGAGGATTCAAGGTGATAAGATCTCATTGCAAATGCCTTGCCAGGAATGTGATAGGTGGAGAAAGGGCAGGATATAGAAGTGTATAAATAAGAACCATTAAGATGGAAAAGAGGAGAGTGGATAGAAGAGGAGGAGGAGAGGGAACAGAAGAAGAGGCGTTTATAAGGTGCAGAGATTATGATCCAGACTATACGGATTCAGACGTCAATAGGTGATTATTTACCTTTCCAAATATGTCCACGGGTAGATGCTCATGGGATAATGCAGGAAGGTGCAAACGACGTCTTGAAACGAGAAGATACGGGACAACACATATTTACACAACAGTAAGAACAACTCCATTCGAGGCATTGATGGAGTGCTGTTATATGTTATCATGAGGACCTCTAGGAAGGGGAAGGTAAAGAATTTGATACATATAATCACAGTATAGGCATTATAGAGTATGCTAGGATTGCATAATGTTCAATGAGTTTACAAGCTGGCGATGCCAAAATATATATCTTCACCCGGGCAATGAAAATTATATAGCGGAACTTGTTCACATAACGCCACGAACCATGACAGATTTACCAAGATGGAGAAAGAAAATAATTGGTCGTGAAATATGTCAGGAAGAAGAGCCAACGCAGACTTTGTTGACAGATGCAGATGCAGTTGAAGTAGAAATGGTACTTTTTGCTGTCGCCTTCTACACCGTTATGTAGAGAAATACCTGCCTGAGATCGTTTCAAAGCCAATAACTCAAACCCGAGTCGAATTAACTCGCTTGCAGAGAAAATGCTGAGATACCTACGAGCATAATACTATCCCAAGCACATGGAGTTTCAGATATGTAGATCGTTTAGCTTGACCTTGCACAAACATAGTGCTGACGACTGTCAGCCACCCGAACCCGTAACCCCGCCTGTTTCGTCTTATAATTCCACATTGACTTCAGACAAACCCTGAGACAGGGCCGTACATGCCAATCTAATCACAAGGGTTATGGAGCCATCCAATTGATAGCCCGGATGAATGGATCATATCGCAGGAATACAGCCTAGACCAACGGCAGATATCCAGCTGCACGTTGACCGAAAACAAGGTAAAATAGGCGACATGCAGCAACGTGGCCCACGTGGAATGAGGCTAAACCCAGAGGCGACAAATGAAGCGAGAGGAACGGCAAAAAAAGAACAACCGGCTCGGCTTTCTCTGCACTTGAGAGGGTTTCAGGCCCAGGCTGTACGCCTTTCGGCTACAGATTCAAAAGTTAGAACCACAGCGGGGTACGACAGACGTTTCAGGATGTTCCGCATGGAGAACAATGGGGGTTGTTGGATCTCATAGGCTAAATTTAGTGTTCGGCATATTCGGGGGGTTGCGATTAAGGCTCTTATGGATTCTATTGCATCGGGGAATAACTGGAATTGGGTGGCTTGGAGGGGAACAGGTGGTCAGCTTCTTATCTTGGGATACCCCCGACGAGAGTCTATAATTATTCTCTCCCGGACTTATTGTTGACCTATACATGACAAATATAGTAAAACGCAAACTTGAAGAAGTTAAGTGCCGAGTTGTTGGTGTGACTTAAGATAACCTTGGAAGAGAGCAACAAACTGGATGTTGACCATGTTCGTTTTGCAGTTGCCATGAACTCGCATCGGAGATTGTGTTGTTCGCCAGCTTCAGCACTGGACGCCTTGTCCGACGTCTCCGACCTGGGCAAATCTATTTGAAGCGAACTGGAATGAAGTTGGCACACCCAGTGAACTCGCTTGAATGGACTTTCGCACATCGGTCCATTTCACGTTTAGTGTAACAACCCCAAGCGAGAACGACAACGTGCCAGCACGACGCAAGAGGCTCGGAGCTTGCCGTCATTGATATTCCTCGAGTGACACCAAGCTCCCCAAAAAAAAGGAAATATTGCAAAAACAAGTAAAGCACAATGGGGGAAAAGACGAGGCATTCTGCAGCGACGCATGTGTCATGGGGGGTGCATCTCGGACACAGCAAGGTCGGGGGCTGCATGATAGCCCACCGCCAGGAACATTCTTCTAGATTGTTACTAGAAGGCTCCAAATGCAACCGATCCCAGCATCCGGGGACGAACATGGTATGTGAGTGGCTACAATCCCTGCAGGAGGAAGCGTTTCCGCCAGGATGGCTGTGCAATGCTTGGAATTCCAACTGGAGGCGTGAACAGCATTAGCGGTCAAGAGAACTATGTACCGGGTACCTGAGCTGCCGTGCTCGTTGAGCGTGTCACTGGGGTCATGGGATGCGTCTCCGACATTACTCAATCAGGAATAAGAAGGTGTCCAACTCAGCCCTATACAGGGAGGATAAGACGACTTTCGGGCACGCACTAGCGGAGTTGGACCAATACGCACTGCATTCCTGCTATTAACTCCGACCCGAGTTGGCGGAGAGACCCTGCAAGGCTACCTATTCATAGCATAGCTGTCTTACCTGAGAAGAGCCTCTTTTTTCGGATTTCCCTTCCGGCCCCCGATTTCCGGGCTTTGAACGATGTATTTCGTATTTGTCAAGAATCTGGGTCTAGGCGTATCTCCGGGGCTGTAGATTAGACTAGACAGTAAGCAAACATTAACTCCCAACTACAATGTACGAAAAAGGAATACGGCCAGCCCTTATTTCTGCGCAGCGTATGCCTTGATTGGGATTGTCGATGCCAATCAGGCAACCAGTGGAAATGCGTGAATAATTCAGAAAAAAAGAAAAGAAAAATCGAAAAGAAAAAAACGAATAAAGCAGGAAAAAGAGCCAAGAAAAGCAAAGTGTCATTAATTCTAGAGTCACGAAGGACGGTGGCTCGTCCAGTACATGCGTCAGGGTGAATCCAAGTATACGACCCAATTGTTCAGCATCCGTAGGCGATACAGGCCCGACTTCCCGACTCCAGGGCGCCTAGACTTCCCAGGAGTTGTTTTCGTCTATAGTCCCGAAAATCCCTTCTCCTATTCCAATAGTGCCAGAATCCTGATCCTGATCAACCAAGTCAGATCTTTATCCCCTAGTCCGTTGCCAAGATGAAGACCAAACAAAAACGTGGTCACGACCGTGCACATTGAAGCAACCCACGTGAGAATATAGGAGAAGAAAGTAAAGGCAAAAGGTGTAACCCCAAAGTCCACGCATCCCGTTTCATCCCTGGGCATATCGTGTCTCGGGCCAGTCAGGTCAAATAAGGATCGCCCTCGAGCGAACGCCTAGCGAGTCCCGGCCCAACTCCAATAATCCATCCTACCGTCTTGGATTGGGATCATACGCCGTACCACTTTGGTGCTACGTATTAGATCTGAGATCCACCGATCAGAGACCGGCCTGTCGGTGTTAGTAGTAGGAGTTAGGAGTTTAGTGGTCCCAGCTTGGCTAGTGATTGGTATATTAGATATTAAGGGTTTCGCGGATCCGTTCCAGTAGACTGACCATTGTACATATCTAGTTAGACGTTTCATGACAGTATCCATCAGTATTACCAGAGGCTGAACGTGGATCCCTGGGCAAAATAAAAAATAAAATAAAAAAACGAAATAAGCCCGGGACTTTTGTGCACATGGCAAGTCGAGTCTAATGGCATTCGAGCACGGACTGACCTGGTTATCGCGACGGGGCTTAGCTGCAAGGCCCGAAAAACCAATTCCAGCTGATCAATGGCCTTGAGTCCTCGACGTCTTATATATAAATATACTGACATCCACTTGGCCACGGATCTTTAGCCTCATAGCCCCGTTATCACATCCCTCCACTTTCATCTTTCACTTCCACTTCTGCTTCTACTTCTACTATACTATTCCCTCTCTGTCTACTCTATTCTGTACTCTACCTTGATCGCTCTTGGCCTTCGCCTCTTGACTATGAATCGCTCTCCATCGTACGATGGCCGTTCAGGCTCTCGTGGTAGTCACCTCAACAGCAGCGCATTCAGTCCTAACGCCAACCCAAACGAGGACTGGACCAAGATCTCGGATCTCGCAGAGCGTCGGCGCATCCAAAACCGTATTGCGCAACGCAACTATCGTAAGTGAAAAAGAGAAAGACCGTTCCGAGTGTACATTCCTGACCCGGCGCAACCCAACAGGCAAGAAACTGAAGCGCCGCTTGGAGGATCTCGAGAGACGAGCTGCAACTTCTGCTTCGCCCGAGCAATCCCACGCAGAGCCGGTCTCTCCTCCGTCGCCAAAGACTCGAACAAAGCCGCGCTCCAAAGTCACAGATGTCAAGCCCCACTCGCAATCAGACCGAGCTGCCTCGTACGACTACTATTCCCCCGAGGACCGCCAAACCATGTTCGCCCAGCAGTGCACTCGCCAGCTTTCGGCCTCACCCCCACCGGTCTTCTCCTACCCATCTATGGCATCGTATGACACCTACCGGCCGTCCTACGCCCAGCCTCCGATCTACCACGCGGCGCCGAGCACCTACAGCGAAATCGCCTACCAGGCCGAATATGGCGAGCAGCTCCCCTCGCTGGTGCCGATGCTGCCCTCGATGCAAGCCCGCAAACTGGCCTACGACGACGACCTGATCAGTCCGTTCAGCATGAGCTACGCAACCATGGCCGGGATCGACCTGTGCCAACAGCAAGCCCAAGCGCAGGCCCATTCTCAACACCAGTCTTCGGCGCTCCCGGTACAATTTCTTCGCTGAATCTACTCCGAATTGCCGACCCGTCAGCTAATATCTTGCTTGCGTTTCCAGATGCCAGCGCTTGCATACTACGACCAACGAGCACCGTCGACGTCACCGGAGACATCTATTTTCACATTCCCGCTCACACCGGAATCAGGCCCCTGCTCGCCGCGCTCCATGCATGGCCTGTATGAGTACGATCTACGGCCGTAAGGCGATCGGGGCGATCGGGGGCAGCAAAGCCCGAAGTGCGGGTATCTCCGCCCCATCCAGGCCCTATTGACCCCGAACACCGGACTCGAATCCACCCGACACGTTTTTGCCTCCCCACTCTTTTATTTTATTTTTGTTTTTGTTTTCTGTTTTGTTTTAGCCCTTTTTACCCCTATTACGTTGTATGTGTGATGAGATAGCTGCATGATAACTGGCGTTGATTTCTTTTTCTTTCTATTGGTAGCGTGGTGTCAAGGGAACAGGGGTGAGCCAGGGAGCCACGTTGAATGGATTCTTTTCTTTCTTTTTCTTTCGATGCTTTGTTTTCCTGCTTTCTGATTAATCCAGATCTACAGAGTACAGACGAATTTGATCACTGCACAATAGAATCATATAACCTTGGAAGTTCTCCCAGCGATTGGTCCAAAGCCAGCATAACTTGCATTAACTCCACGGCCCCCAAACCTCCGTGCGGGATTTTCAATTTCAGCCTAGCGAGAGACATTCTGTACGGCCGAGACTATCCCTTTTCTGTTCTGAAGGTCTCGAGGGTGATTGAGGGACCGTCTATTCGTCAATGACGTCCCCAGTTTGGTAACCCTAACTAGTGACCCGTGGACAGTTATAGATGACAAACCACCGACCGATATCTTAAAGCGGACAAGTTCACAAGTACATGACTCAAGAAACATCTCGAACTACGGAGTCAGCAAAGTCCAACCGTCAACTAAGGACCAGGCTGCTGGGAAAAGCCCGATCGCTGCAGAAAGAGACAATACCCCACATACGGAGTAGCACTTCTTTATCCCGGGATATTGGGCCAGTTGGACTAAAACAGCCACTCCGACATTTCAAACGGACTGGAATTCCAATAAATCCGTCGGATGATGCAATCTGCATTATCCTCCGCCCCATAAATCCACCCCTGTTTCCCTATATGCCTACGGTCCACGGACGTGGTCCGAGACTTTGCTCCGCCTCAACTCTTTCCCCCCCCCCTCCTTTCAAGCATTTGTACGGACGGAGTACTTTGGTTAGGACAGCACGTTAACCAAGGACCCCCTTCGATCCTCGAAGCTAAGAAACACCCTAAGAAAGCCAACCGAAAAACTGGAGCCAAGTAAAACACGCCTACTAGTACAATATACGCTGTCGGTTTAATTTCCAACCGTCGCATCCACTTTGGATTGGTGATGTTTCGCCCCGGGTACAGTGTACATCCGCATCCGGGTCCCAAAGGTCTGTTTCCGAGGAAGCCTTCTGACTCCAACGATTGCTATCCAAGACCAATGGCACGGGGGTTGCTGTATGCAATCACTGCCGCAAAGAAAACCTGCGATCATACGACGATGCGAAAAAAACACGGCCCCTCCATCTGTCGGCCTGAATTAGTCTCCTAGGGTACTCTGTGCTTCCGTACTCGTTTACTGGAGAGTTGGGGGCTGAACGCTATAATTTAGGTGGTTTTCCTTCCCGCTCAACCCACATGGCGGGAGTTTAGAGGCGAGGTGCTAAAGGGCTAAATGCATGAAAGTATGCGGCCTAACCAATAGCGTTCATTTTCCTATCCCAGCTTAGCCTTGGCTTAGCCTGGGGGCTTCCTCTTATCAGGGTTGGCGGCTCTGGGCTGCAGCGTTCCCGCCTATCCCCCATCCCTGACCGGTGTCGATCCAAAAAAATATGGAGATGCGGACCAGAGGGCTTCAGCATTGGCCAAAGAGGAAGGTGTTTTATGTTTGTATAATAGCGGATTTTTGACCGATCCTCCTCTCTGCACGTCGCACGTCGCATGTTGCAGTGATTCACCCGCATTTGTCCCCAACCTTATCTACGGCGAAAGCCAAAAATGTCAACTCGGCCGGTATTGCCGAGGCTGGGAATCCGAATAAAGAGAGAAAGAGATAGGATCCCCCAGCTGTGGTTCGAGCTTCCGTGCTAGTAAGACTTACTCCGTATACTCCGTATACTCCGTATACTCCGTACAGGGCGGAGGATATCTATCCCTCGCATCAAACATACCATTACAAGGCAACCCCAGTCCGAGGCTAGACAAAACAGCGCAAATCAACGGGAATATGCAACGGAAAAAAAAAAAAGTACAGCGGAATAAAGTTCCTCGAATTACCCACTACATATGTGAGCTAGCAAGCTGAACACCCGTGGACAAATGCCGTTGACATGGTGATGATCCTAATGTCAAGAATCAGAACCAGCTAAGATCGGCCTATCGCTGCCCAGACCCGTAGGGCGCCTTAAGGGATATGCGCCGTCAAACTCCACATTCTGCAGCGGGGCTGGCCGCAGTCAGCGCGGGAGACCGCAGTATTGGGAACCGTGGTCTGTAGGTCTTTCGGTTGCTATGTCGGGAGTTCTTCGTTATTTGAGCCTTGACAGATGAGGAAGGCGATTTGCGACGCATATATACATGGAGTGCTTGGCGTCTTGGTACGGAGTAGGACTATTTTTGGGTCGACATGCATGGGCAATACTCGGTCGAGCTGGTCGAGATCTTCTTGGATCGACTTTGGGTTTTGAGCTGCTGGTCTAGAGTATGTTGTGATTTGTAATTTCCACGCGGGTGTTGCTGTGCGTGGCACTAATTAGGAATGCAGTACGGAGTACTAGATTCTCGACCATGTGCCATATGAGCCTCCAATTATGGGTCTCTGAGATAGACTATTTATTGGAGCAGTCAGCATTTAGTCTCGGGTTCTTCCCGAAGGGCAAAGAGAGAACGTGCGCTCGTTAATGTTGCTGACGTGGTAGGTGGGCAAAAACAAGCCTTGATAAGCTCCCAATAGAGTAATCGAAGGCTTCTAACTAAGGTTTGGCTCTTACTTTCTCCAGTTTCTTACTTGATTCTAAATTGTGGCTCCAATGTCCCCCGAGTGGGTTTATAGAGTGGGTTGAGGCTACAGCCACCGCACACAGTCTTTCCTAAAACGGGCAATGATACAGTGGGGTTTAATAAGTCTGTTCCCACCCGCATTTTCACCCATGAACATTGAAATATATATCTTTATATATCTATGCATAGCACCACCATACTTTACTCAATTTACTTCGAATTAAATAGGGTTGAACCCTATGCTAATCTCGGGTAAAATTTAAATTTAATATTTTGTATAATACCCCTTTGCCTTCCGTACTGCCATACATCTGCGCCCTATACTCAAAATCAATGAATCAATCTTCGACTGCGGAATAGTATCCCATGCTATCTTTATACACCTTTTGAATACTATCTAATCCTCCTCAGACCTTCCTATATATATCAGCTTAGGAAATAACTCAAAAAGTTTAACCTTTAGCTACCGCCATACAGGTTCAATCGGGTTTAAATCCGGTAAGTGCGGCGGCCACTCCTCCACATATATCCCGTGAGTTTCAAACCATTCCTATATGATTTTAGCAGTATAGATCCGAGCGTTATCTTACTGAAAGATAGAGTAGGGTCGATAGAATAGAAGTAGACCTTCTTCGAGAGTATCTATATAGGAAATAGCAGTATATCCTATCTTCTTCGATTCTAGGTTAATAATATTCTCCTACCTCATAATAATCAACTCTGATCGACTCCCTAACCAGATTGCACCCCAAACCATTTGTGAAATATCTTTAACGTATACCTTAGCATTTATAAGATCTTTTCTATAGCCCTCCGACCGAAAGCGCCAACACCATTGTGGTCCACAGTTTATTATTCGTTATATAGAACACTCATCCGAGAAGACCTAGTTTTGAACATTATTTCTAGACTACTCAGAGCGCCATTTTTGAATAAAACGATATCGTTATCGAGCTAATTCCTTTCCGATTGGAATCTTCCTTTTTATCCTATATTTTAGAAGACTGGTTAGCCTTAAAACGTTAATAATAGTAGAGCGGGATAGATGACCAGGTATAGCACAACTCAGCGTTTTATAGGACCAAAAGGGGTGCCGGCGGGCGAGTATAAAAAGTAAATGGCGAGTTCGATCACTAAAGATCCTTGGGCGACCGGTTCGAGGGAGAGATTTAACAGTATTGTGTTCTTTGAACCGTTTCAAAGTATTGTAAATCGTTCGGCGGGAGCACCTAAAATCGAGTACTAGCTTTGACTGGGTGGCACCGGCCTGGTGGGCATAAATAATAGCTGAGCGCTGAGCAACAGATAGCTCACCTGATTTTGTACGACCTAAACCAAGGATATCCTTGGTTAATGCCATTGGGGGGTGTGTAGGAAGAAGAAAAAAAACCACGATGGTTGTTAGGGGGATAGCAAGTGGGGCAGTGGGAACAGACTTTTTGAACACTATGTATTACTTCGAACATTGAAATGTAATTTAGGAGCTAAAACCCCTTTTCTGTCAATAGGGCTTGGTTGAGAGAGCCGTAGATGTCCCCTTCCTCTCTATTTCCCTCTCCGAAGTCCGAGTAATACGAGGCTTTATGTTGTTGGGATAGTGCTGTCATGATACCCAATTGAGTAGGGGGGACCATTGTACTCGCTTCAATGGGCCTTGATCCACACCAGGACTATGGGTAAGACCTAATTTTAAGATGATCAACTCATTTCCAGGCTGACTGTGTCCAGTGCCAAGATATAAGATTATGCAAGGTTATTTAATTAAAGATCTCACCATTCATTCATAGATCTGTATATTAACTCATGTTCTTACAAAAGTAAATTTGAAAGGACCAAATCGTCAAAAGTATTAGCCGAAGAAAGATATACTACATTGTTGGAAAACCAATATAGCAACGTTACCAACTTTAGACCACTGAGATATTGATGTGGTCCAATATCCCTAGCTATTATTAAAAAAGAAATAGAATAAGAGAGGAGCGTGGCAATACAAAACCCCCTCATTCAAGGCAACCAGAACCAACATACCAAAACCAATAAGCCAGCACAAACAATGCACTCACCAGCCAAGACCCACCATAACAGCACCGTCAACAGCATCGTCCAATACCTGAGAATCGCAACGCGTCACCAACAAAGAATCTTAGCCATGGTTATGAGGTATACCCCATGTGACAGTCCCAGTCCCAGCGTTACACCACAATCTCACGACTCCAATAGGACAAACCAAGTCGAAGAAGTTGTCTACGCGCCCAACCCCAATAATTGACTAGGGTTGCGTGTGGCCATGCATATATACATATACGCTAAATCCCCAATGGGATTTCCAGGTGGACCGCTCATCCGCCGTTCCGCCAGTCCGCCAGTCCGGCGCACTATATAGACTTGGTGTGTTTTCTTTGTGCAGGGGTCTAGGTAGTTACCGGTTGAGTGGATTATAAATTATGTACTTTGTATCCTTACAAATCAGATTCAGAGTGTGAAGTAAGTTAACTAAGGCACGGCCTAATCAATACGAGACTGTTGTCATAGGTGGCACGGGCATCGTGCATCCTTGACGTCGGCGTCGCCGATGTGCTAACGTCAAACGCTAGCGTATGACTGAGTAGACTTAGGGACTTGCTGCATGATTTGGAATGTTTGAGTTTGAAATTCCCCATGCGTTGGGTTACGTCGGGGACGCCGGTGTACACGAGCCTGTTGGGCGACGTTCACATGCAGTTGGAGCCTCAAAGTTGGTGGAGGCTCAGCTTTTCCTTGCAGATCCTTAGGGTATTGTGGTACTTGAGGCTCTGTTGCTCTTATGATGATTTGTCTTCTGACGTGGAGGTGGGCCCTGGTGACTCTGTACCCATCGAGTCATAAAAGTGTGAAGCATGTAGGTAAAAAGATAGTTGGCAAGCAATGTTTACTACTATCATGTTCCATTCAAAAAAGTAATGTGCTGAGTCTACGGACGAACAAAAGAATAAAACAATGAATGGGGACAAGTTGATCCTTGTACTCGAAACAGGATCGCGGAAAGTGGCCAGGAAGATGCGCGCAGACAGAATAAAAGCCCAATAGATTAGAAGAAAAGAGAATCCCATTCAAAGCAGCGAGTAGACCAAGCTCAAACATCTGTCATCATCGTCATCAACTCTGAACCAATCGTCCCGTCAAGGGCATGGCACAGATATTCCCCTGACACGGTGACTTAATCTTGAAACAACCACGAATGCAAGCTTTTTATCCCCTCATCGACCGTGCACGTCCATAGGATCTGTGGGGACTAGGGCGCCAAGGTTCGGTCGCCGGCGTCGCATCGGGGCCTTCTTGCGGTTCGCAATGGCAGCATCTTGCGATTGTTCAGGGTTCATCTCGGTGTCGCCCTCCTTATCGTCGCGTGCCTCCTGCGGAGACATCCCATGCTCGTGATTCCACGCTTCGTCGAGCTCGACAACATTTTTGGGCTTCATGCGCAGCCATTTCATGCGCGGGCCGACACGCGAGACCTCAGAGACCTTGAAGCCGTAGATCTTGGGGTCATAGATCTTGCCCTTGCCGAGTCCCGGGCAGAGGTTGGGTGTCCGGACGCCGTTGATTTCTAGCGGCTGATTCTCTGGTGTGGGCGACCGTGCCTGGCGACCTGCCGGAGTGCGTGTCAGAGAGCCAGTGCGAGACTGCGTTGCTGCATTCCGTGGCGAGATGGATGACAGTGCTGCATCCAGACGGGGCCCGATATCCAGATCTGGGAATGTCATGAAAAAGAGACATCCGAACGTTGTACCGAAGAATGCGCCGTCAACGGAGTGGAAGCGGCTGTTGGGGGGTGTATAAATATCCATGCAACCGGGACAGAAGAGCTTGACCGTTTCGTGGCCAGGGGTGTCGGATCGGCCTACGGGGAGAACTTTGCATCCGTTGCAGTTGACTCGCGGACAGGTGCCAAAATGCTGCATCTCGTATTTTTCGAGCATTTGTTGAATGCCAGGCCGCGAGGTGATATACCGTTGGTGAATCAACCCATACAGGAGCTCAGCAGAGCTCTCGATCACGCTCAAATCGCTTGCGACTCGGGCGTGTCGCCGATCGCCGGCTCTTCTGTATGCAGGTTCGCCGCCGAGCGCATCGTCTTCATCTTCCTCCTCCTCTTCCTCCTCCTCTTCCTCGTCATCCTCCGGCTCCACATCGAGAATCATCTCTAGTGCCTCCTTGTACATCGGCACCTGCGACTGGAGACCAGTCAGATTGAAATCATCCTCGATGAAGTCCTCCGACACCTCTGCGAAAAACTCATGGCCCATCAACGAACAAAACGAGGAAATCCAGGACTCCGGCGCGCCTTCCGAGGACGACATGTCGAATGAGGCGGACACAGATGACGAAAGGGTCGATTCAGACAGTTGACTCAAATCCAGCCTGTCGAGGCCGTCGGCCAACGCCGAACCTGTCTCTCTCGACACGTTGCCGAGCTGGGGGGTGAGGTCTTCGGCGATGTTGGCGAAGACGAAGCGATTTCGTCACACGGAGAGGCTGGCTCGTGGCGAAAAGGGGTACAGGGTTTGGGGGTCAGAATGAAAGACTTCAAGTGTAATTGGAGGAGATCTTGAAGTTGATGGAGGGGCCAAAAGCTAGATGTTCATGGCAATGTGCGGGAGAGGGGAGATTGTGCGATCGACGGGAAGAGGTTGGATCTAAGGCCCCACTAGAATCTTATCAGTTTCTTGTGGCCTTCATATCGAAAGCCGTCGGATCACTTACCAGAGCTCAAAGACGCTCGGAGGTTAATATTGGTGATCGAGCCTGGAGGTTGGGTGTGTCGATCGAATCGGGTTAGGTCCGTTCGGTTCGTGGGGGCGGTGGGTAGTTGGAGAGAAAGGCTTGGGCGTTCACGTTTTGGGACAGCTATTGTGTATCTGTTGTCTCCCACGATGGCTAAAGCGAAGTCAATGCTGGCAGGTTTCGATTTGCCTGAGTGGCAGGAGTCACGTGTCAGCTGACGTGGGAAGAGAAGCAGGCCATCAATGTCTGCAGACATGTACGCAAGATATTCATATCGACTCAATTAGCTAACCTTCCAACTGGCCTGTGATACTATGTTACTACCTAGGTAAATATAAAAGGGTATATACTGGAATATCAAAATAAGTCTCGAATGACTCGGGCAAACTCTCCCTCATCACCCAAAACCCCAGATAAACCCTCGCCAGTGTTCTGAATTTCCCCATCCGGCCCAACGAATCCATTAATACCGTCACTTGAAGTGTTAGATATGAAATTACCAAATGCGCCAACAGCCTCAAATAGGTTTGTCAACTCTTGACTCATCTGGAGTCCATTGAGAGGACTACTTCCAAGTTCATTCCCACCATTCAGAGGCCCGTACATAGACAGGTCCTGGATTGGATGTCCCGCGAGCCCGGCCATGGCGACCGCAGCGCTTGAATGAGGATCATTTGAGTCCGTTCCAAAAGGACGGGCGAGAACACCAAGTTTCTCGCCGATCTTTCGTAGACCTTTAATTGTCTTCCATAACCGCTTGGAGACGTAGGACTTGGTACTGAACCCGTTGACCAGGTCTAGAGCCATATAGAATTCATCGCGGACCTGTCGGTTGAAGTCGACCGGGGCGTGGGACACTGCTAGGAACAGAACCGCCAAGGCAGCAACCAAGAAATAGTTGAATGTTATTTGCTGTGTCCGGTAGATATCGGACAACTGGTTCAGCCGAGTTAAGACACGGATGGAGTCTTTGGCTACTTCCACAACAGTCTGTGCGTGGCCTCGATCTTCGGCAATGCTGGCAGAAGAATGGAGCACAGGGCGATATATCAGGATGCGCAGCTGGTTCATCCGCAGGTATAAGAGAACCCTGAGTCTCTTCATGCCTCTGCTTACGTTTTCGCCGTTTTTGGGGGAGTCGACAGGATAGAACTTGAGCTCTTCTGGAACCTGCTTGTACCACTGCAATATTTGGTAATCCAGATAGCCGATCTCATCACGACGGATGTCGGTGGTGCCTTCGGAGCCTAAACCAGAGTACCAGATCTTGGAGCTGATCCGGTTGTATAGGACCATGCAGCGCAAGTAAGGCAACGATGCATCCTGTAATTTTCACATCTTGGTTAATAAAGGTAAATACGTGGCAAGAGATTGCAGCCTTACAGGTTCTGGTAAGTTCGGATCAATATCCTCGTCCTGAATCACGAAAGGCAACCCCGTTCCTAAACTCCATCGTCTGTCCAAGCTGTAGACTGACCAGAACAGCCGAGTGATCTCGTCCCACTGCACCTCATCTGGGAATGACTTCACCAAAGCATTCCGACGATGCAATCCCATCTCTAAACACATCCGTGCTGCCAACCCAATAAGCCGATAAGCCATGGCATCATCGTCCGTATGGTAATGGTATGTAGCCTAGAGTGGGAAAAAAAGTTAGGGTTATTGACTGCGGCTTTGAAAAAACTTTGGCTTACCACAATAGCAAAGAGCTGGATAGTTTTGATGGTATGAGGCTCCCACAACTTCGATTCTATAAATGGCTTAACATCCAAGTAGATTCGGTGCCCAAGTTCACTCTGACCGCCCCCCTCCACGACCAGCGTGGTTGCGAGAATCAATTTAAGAATAATCGAGCTTTCGTCGTGAAGACCGTCAGAACCCGGAAACCCTCTTTGTGCAAAGCCTGTCCGGGTGGCAGCCTCTATGAATGTGTAGAGCAGATTAGCCTGGCTGGTAACCTTGGCGATATCCACCACAGGATACATGATCCCAATCTCTTCCTCGTAAACCTTACAAAGACGCATTGCATCTTCACGCGGGATTGTCCATATTGGATCCTTGGTAGGGTGTGTGGTTGGAAGAAGTTGTCCCAGATTGGGAGGTGGTGACCCTGTTGGAGATACATGTGCGGTGGTCAAGCCATCTGGGATCCCATCTTCCGCTGGGGTGATACCCATATTCTGCAAACTGGATTTGGCCACGTCAAAGTTGAAGGCCGAGCTTGTTGGACCATGAAAGCGTGGGGGCCGGGCTCGGGACTTTTCTAGCCCAGCTTGTATTGGAGTATAGACTGATTGAGATCCATTTCGAGAGAGATGCTCAAAATCTGGTGATTCAAAGGCTGGTCTTTGGGTACGAAGTTCATTAAGGTTGCTGAACAAGCTATTGACTTGGTCTTGTAGAGTAGTGATCTGATCTGTGATTGACCGGAATTCACTAGCCCGGTTATTAGTATCAAATGCTGGACGGGTTTTACTCCTCGACTTACTCCGAATCTTTGAAATTGTTATTACAACAATTAGGCGCATAGCGACCTGGCGAGTGAGTCAGCGTATGAGACCGTTGATCGGATAGCTCGGACGAGCTATGAGCCCACTTACATTCTAAATTCAGGTGGCCACACCGTTGACAAGGCATCTGGCCATTGCACTTGATTTTGCGCCGCTTACATTCATTACTGAAAACTCCACGATTAGCTCGGATCCGCCGACAAAAGTACCGAAGGTGTAGGCAGAATCGTATGGCTTTGAATGCAGAACAGGCTATCCAATGGTGCAAGGTAAAGCGACCGAGGTACGGAAAGGAAAATGTGCCGGATCAGGTTATATCAGGCCATATCATACCATGCAATGGAGATGTAGCGATTCCGCTTCGTGCGCGCCTGCGTTCCGTTTCCTTGTTCCGCCTTTCTCTTGTTGGAATCAGACGCACCGACGGAATGATCGCGGGGATCCGACTGTGGCGGTGACATTTCTATCTGGGGTGACTCTGAAGCCATGGCCTGCAGAATATGAAGCGACTCAATGAGTAGCCGGTGAGAGCTATCGAGTTAAAGTGCGGAGAAATTCCTCTCCCGCGGGGTTTCCCCAGATTCAGCTTACTCATCTGATTATCCGGTCAGTCATTGGTCCTAGCGTTTGGAGAATATAAGAGATTTGTATACTGATGCACATCATAATATTGTTATTGCGTATATTTTTGGCTCTGAAGATAGTGCTCCAATTTCGAAAGACACAAGGAAAAGATATCATCGCTTCAATTGCGAAACCGCCGAGGCCAGCCACTCCTTTCCGGCCAGCAATGACTGCTCCAACTGAGCCTTCTGCTGAGGGTTCTTTCTCAAGAAGCCAATGGTTGTAATAAGCCCAAAGATGAGGGCACCATGGAGAGTCATTCGAACACCTCGCAAAATCCGTCCCTTTCTCGTGAGTTTCGCGGTCCAATGCCGCCACACGGGGAATTTGCAACGCAACCAATAGTGAACCTGAGTGAATCTGGATACTATGTCAGTAACAACTAGGAAGCATTAAGCAAGGAACGTACGGATATGTGGTTGAGTTCCAACCATCGGCAGTGATGTACCAGCTAGAGCAAGCCCCACGACGGAACACACTCTTCTGAAGCGCATCCTGCACCTGCTGAGTCCATTCACGCTCGGCATCCTCCTTGACTTCATACGAGCTGACCTGACCATCTAAGATCGGCTTGATAAAGTTCAACGAGTAGTTTACCGCATTCTCCGTTGCAAAGATAACACTGGTATGGCCCGTTGCGGTATTCGGGCCGAAAATAATAAAGAAGTTTGGGAAAGAATCCATTGCGATACCCTGGTATGCCTGGGCACCTCCACGCTCCGCCCAAACCTCTTCCAGATCTTTGCCCTCCCTGCCAATCACCTTCAGTGGGTGCAGCCATTGGTTGGTTTCAAACCCGTTGGCCATGATGATCACATCGGCGGGAATCTCTCTAACCTCAACTGCATCTTCAGACTTGTGCGGTGGATAGTGGCGGCCTGTACCAAGAGTCACACTCTTTGCATTAACCCTTGTCAAAGGCTGAGTAGTTAGCTCCACGTTTGGAGCATTGAGACTGCGATACCAAGTGCCGCCGATGACCCGTCTCTTACAGCCGAGGCTGTAGTTTGGTGTCAGAATCTCGTAGTATTTCTCCGGCGCAATTTGACGCATGTGGTCCAAAAACTTCTTCTCTAACTGCGGCCGCGCTCTTCGGCTCCATGCAGTGTCCGTGAACATATCCTGGAAGTTTTTTTCCATAATGAGGAAAACAACACATCGCATGAATAACGCCAGTCCAGGCAAGTTAGTCACCAGTCTAGGCGACCATTTTTCGTACACAGGGAGATATTCAGGAGAAATTGTATCAGGCTCGACCCACGGAGGCGTTCGCATGAGTTGGGTAATGGATCGAACATTGGCCTCTGGCTTGGCCAGCTCGGGCACTACCTGCGCGGCGCTGCAGCCGGAACCAATCATGATGACATTCTTGTCTTTCAAATCGATCTGGTTGTTCCAGCGGGCCGTATGCATGATGTCACCTTCGAAGTGTTCAATACCTGGGATGTCCTTCGGCCATGTGTTCGGTTCTACCAGCCCGCCAACACCACTCACGACCACCTTGGCTCGCACAATTTCTGTATTAACGTAGATCTTCTGATGGCCATCCTGGGCCGCGATTCGATCTCGTTCGTGTTGAGTCAAATCGCCGGTTCCAGGGACGAGGTGCGAGAGCGTAACCTCCCATTCCTCGTCATCCCCGATCCATCGAAGTTCCTTGACATCGGTATTCAACTGAATCTTGTCCACAATTTGATATCTCTCGCAGACATCTGCCAAATACTGTGCTATTTCTGGACCGGGAGGATGAAGTGTGGACCAGTCCTTTTTCAGAGCAAAGGAGAAAGAGTAGAATGTCGCTGGTCTTTACCTTCTAGGTTAGTTATTGAGCTTTTAGACATTAGAACACTATCACCTACACGTCGCAAGCAATTCCCGGATACCTATTGATCCACCAGGTACCTCCAATACCTGACTGACGCTCGAAAATTCGGAACTGGTCTGTTCCCAGGACCTCTTTGAGCCGGCAACCCATAGCCACTCCCGACTCTCCAGCACCTACTATGAGGACCGGATAATAAGTGTGAGCATCCTTGCCGTATGCATGGCGCTTATGAATTTGGGTGATGGAAGAAGGCATGTTGCAAGTTAATAGTAATTGTAGGCAATTCAACGACCGTAAACCTGGGAGGGCAAGAGTGAGCTTTAAATGTTATGGTCTTTCTTGGCTAGGGAAGTACAGTCACATGGCCGGCCTTTTTTCAGACGTGCAAGGGTATGTACAAAACTGCATGGATCCATTTTAACCTCGGTCTTCGTCGGCTTCATGCACCTTCTTTGTGATTGACGGCAATACTCCCTGTATGGCTCATGATTGATCCTTTTTAGAATGGGTTGAAGGGCAAATTATACTCAGGAAAAATCGCTTGATGCCTTTTTACAGCTTGTGTTGGTTGTAGTAGGGTTCGTACTCGATACCAGCCAAGGACCTATTGTGCAAATTCGGTCTGAGAAAGGAGTCTGGAGCGGGGTCAAGATAATAGATTAACTGCACCATCATAGTATATTGATTTACCAGCTCCAGCTAGCCCAATTCTCGGCCCAGCTTTGTACTGCGGAAACAAGTTGTAAACAGTGCCGTCCATGTTTGATTCGCTGCCAGAAACCACATATATGCCGAGTGAAATGGGGTCAGCTTCTGTCCCTAAATCGGTAGTCCAGGCCATAGACATACATAGCCTGCGAATCAAGATCGTAAACGATCTTTCCTATGCGAAAGGGTGACCATAGACCTGTGATAGCCAAGTTCTATATGAATTTAGGCGTGTAGAACACGAAGCTGTAGAAGTACTTCACGGATTTTATCCCGTAGGTTTTGATGCAGCGGCCAGAACGCTTCCCGGGCATTGTAGCCCACACAGATAATCCACGTAATCCCCTGGGAAGAGGCTATCGTTTCTCTGAATATCTTGAGGGAGGGGGAGAAGTTGTGTGACAAGCGAATTTGCCCGCAGCGAAGGAGGACCAAGTCCTTCCTCTACATCATGGTCTGTGATACAATGATTATGCCCCGAGAGCTGTCTATAAATGATCCATTTTTGGGTGAAAGGGGTGTTGTTAGTAGCGGAGAATGCGACAACAGTATAGTCACCGTCGCTGGTGAAGAAATATATAGTTCTAGTCCACGGATAGATCCCTCCGATAGATGCACGCTTGAGGTAAGCATTCGTCGGAAGTTATCTTAGGTATTGACGACTAAATATAGCCTATACTTATTGACACATGGAGTTTTCAGTTTTTCACCTGCAAGTCAAGCTTCCCTGCAGCTTGTGTTGGGTGACTTGTGTCGGCGGTCCAGAAACAGCATATGGAGTCACGTGGTAGACCGATAAGAAGACCGTTATCTCGGAGATCCACCCGTTCATCTCCCGAGGTCGTTGTCCGATCTTCATTGTCTCGCCCTTCCTACGTCGATCTGGATGAAGCTCCAGGCATGGTCAATCCGAGTCTGGATGCGACTCAGTTGCTCATCCCTTCATAATAAACCCCGGTCAAGCGTCCGAAACTTCTCCGCTTCTTCAAACCCTCAATACAGACCTGTCAACATCCTCGAAGATGCCACCCTGGAGACCTTCCAGCAGCGATGCTTCCTCCCCGAACAACCAGCAATCCTCCCGCGCTCTACCTTCCAAGACCTCCCCGCCCTGAAACAGTGGTTCAAACGCGAGAGTCTGGAGTCAACACCGGACACCTCGAACCCCGGCGCAAGCCTGAATGTGGAATATCTCCGCCAACACGGCGCCGACGCGTTCGTCCCACTCGAGCTCACGGAATCCACACCGGCTGACGCTATATCCAAATCCAACGGTGAAACGGCAGAAATCCATAGCTTTCGGCAATTCCACGCGCCGCTCACGCTGTTCCTCGACTGGATGCGCACGGCCGAGACAACTCCCCAATCAACGCGGCTTTACCTAGCACAATGCCAGCTCCTTGACCTCCCTCCTATCCTCAGAGAAGATTTTCCCACGCCGGAGCTTGTGGCGTGTGCGGGAAAGGGCGATGTATACGATACGAATGTGTGGATTGGACACCCGCCTACTTACACGCCGCTTCACCGCGACCCGAACCCGAACTTGTTTGTCCAGCTGGCTGGGGAGAAGGTTGTGCGGCTGCTTGCGCCAGCGGATGGACAGGCTGTGTTCGGGGCTGTGAGGAGGCAGCTGGGGAAGAGTGGGAGTCGGGAGGCAGCGGCTTTCCGCGGCGACGAGATGATGCAGGGGAGGGAAAGAGCGTTGTTAGATGAGATGGTTTGGGGGACTCCGGTGTCCGCTGGTTCGGATGCTGGGGTTGGCTTTGAAGCGTCTCTTGGGGCTGGTGATGGGTTGTTCATTCCCAAGGGGTGGTGGCATAGTATTAAGGGTGTTGGTGAAGGTGTTACGGCTTCGGTGAGTATGTTTCTTCTAGTAGACTTTGTGTATGTTGCTGATATACTTGCAGGTCAACTGGTGGTTTCGATAGTTTCATATTTACACCCGTATCATGCGGTAAGTCCACGCAGGACTCCGATGCTTGGTAACCATAGAATATAGATCTGGAGTATTTGAGGTGGACTGGGCAAGTTTTGAGACTCCCGATATGGTAAAATAAATGGTAAAATAAGCACCCATTGACACCCACCTCTTCTCAACTCTGTAATCTCATGTCACAGACAAAATTGAAGATAATATATATGCATACCCAAGATAGAACTATTTGCGTAATAATTAATCATGCAAACTCATATCTAACACAAGCGCAAGTTGAAGAATGCGGTGTAACAATCCACGACGAGCTCGAATAATCTAGAAACCGGAGCCAACTCCGCAATCCTTATTTCCCTCCCACCAGCCCATCAAACCTCCAAAACCCGAACCATGCAAGTATCGCGCACAGTCTACCGCGCTGCTCTCCTCCATCTATCCGTCAACCCATTCGTACGCGCCACAATCTCAGCGGGCTCTACTACCTGGACATCCCTCAACGCGCCAACCACGCAATCACCAAACACCCGGCTGTACAGCATCCTCTTCCCACAGTGCACAACGAGCTTCAAAGCATCAGACTGCACGCACCAAACCCGCACAATGTGTGACTCAACCTCGAACCCCAACTCCAACTCTGCAGCCGCTGCGTCCTCAAACCCTGCAACACAAAACCAACAGACGCAAAACCAACAGACGCAAAACCAAGAGATCCAAGAACAAGAACAAGAATCCCAACCTGAAAAGCACCTCTACCTCCCCGCTAGCGACCCCTTAAACCCCATCGCGAACCAACAAGGCGACGGGAGTATCAAACTCGACATGAGCGGAGGCGGGACAGCGGTGAAATTAGATCATTTGGGTCCGATGGTTGTTAATGTCGACGGGACGTTGTCGCAGATTGGGAATTGGCAGCAGATGACGGAGATTGAGAAGAGCAATACTCTGCGCGTTCTTGGGAAGCGGAATCAGAAGCGGCTGGAGGCTTTGAGGGCTAAGGAGGCGGAGGGAGGATCGGGTGAAGCTTGATTGTGTATAAGGAAAGACATATAGCACGGAAAGCTTGGCTTGGCTTAGCTTGGCTTTGTGTGTGGCTATGGAGGATGTGCATCTTCTTACTGTTTGGTGTGTGTTGATATTACTTAGATGTATTATAAGGGCATTGCGAGTCGACTAATAATCACGTCTATTCTTTCATTTCCTATAACAATATCGGGTATCATAATGACGCTAACATCATATAAACATGCTGTCTATAGTTCGAAGTAGAGACGGCCAATGGTTCGCAGCGGAGGTCACCTGGGTATGTTCTAAATCGCAATCTTCCAAAGCAGCGACGAGACCCATGAAAGTTCTATTCAAAGATAATTTGGAACCACTTGTATACGATATTCCTACAGGCATTGTCAGAACCAAATCATAACTAAAAGAAAGAGTGTACTTACTTCGGCGGTATGACCACGAAGTCTCTGGTATAATCCTCGATCTCAGCGACACCAGTGACCAGATCCACCTCCTCAGGTTTGAGCAACTTGGTCTTGTGAAAGAATTTCCACCCGAAGTAGATAACCGGGAAGACGCCGATCATGGTGTAAGAGAAGAAGAATGTCGCGATGGACCAGTTGCCGGGCAGGAAGACGGTATAGCCACCGACGAAAGCCATGACCGTTGTGCAAGCGCAAGCGAAATAGGCGATATACGGCTGAAACCAGCTGCGATATGGCAAGGTTTCCCGGGGGATCCCTTGGGCGTCGAGAGCTTTCTTGAAGCGGATGAACGTGAAAGTGACGACGGAGAAATTGATGAGTTGGGAGGCAGTGACCTGGAGTTAGGATTAATTAGGTGTATGGGAATGAAAATGGGACTGGGTAGGGGATCATACCAGATTGACAAACCAGTCCAGCACGACTGCTGCGCTGTTGGATACCTGCAGGAAACTCAAGAGACCGATGACGAGCACTATACCGACACAGTAGATGGGAACGCCGTTGTTGGTGCACTTGGTAAGGAAGCGTGGGGCTTTGCCCTCAATCGCTAGCCCGTACAGACTGCGACTGGCACAGTACATGTAGCTGTTGCCCGCACTGAACGAAGCAGTGAGAATGACGGCATTGACGATGTCTGGAAGGATAGGGATCTTCAGGCGATCCATGGAGATGACATAGGGTGAGGCGGCAGCACCGGGCTTGCCGTTGTCGAAAGCATCGGCCATGGTCTTATCGTTGTACGGCACCAGAATGCCAACGGAGAGGACACCCAGAACGAAGAATGCCGTGAGACGGTAGAAGACACCGTTGAAGGCCTTGGGCAGCACCTTGCGGGGATTAACGGTCTCACCGGCGGCCATGGAGACATAGTCCGGACCGGCGATGGTGAAACTGGCTGTGATGACAGCTGCGAGGACACCGAGGAACTTGCCAGTATCGCCTGTCTTGTAGTACCCGTTGAAGGCACCTGGTTCGTTCCAGTAGCGGAAGCCGAATCGATCGCCGAGCGGGTTGCCGCCCAACATGACGATGAATGTGTATAAGATCAGGCCTGTGCTCAACAAGACCTTGCCTAGTGAGAGCCAGAACTCTGCTTCACCGTACCATTTCACAGCAAAGAGATTTAATACCCTGTTTCCCATCTATTAGCTGGCATCGCGTGCGCGGATCACAGAAAGATGACCAACCCATAAAGCACAATGACAACCACATTCATGGCGGCGACGGGAATCGCATCGGTCCAGTATTTGATAATCATGCTGACGGCGACAATCTCGAAAGGGACCAGAGCGGCCTCGAAGATAAAGAAGTTGTATCCAGCGGCAACACCTAAAGCTTCATCAACGTAGCGGCCGGCGAATCGGATGAACGGCGAAGAGATAGGCAAGTACGTGACCATTTCAGCCAAGCCTAGAAAAGAAGATGTGAGTTTGGATGTCATACTACATCTAGAAGAGAGAACAAGAATGTTGCAGCAATTCGATCGGGGCAAGAGGCTGAACCGTTGGCGCATTGGGTCATATGGCATTGGGCCATATGGGATACGGTGGGAAGAATGCTGCTGGTGGGAAAGATGCAAAGGGTGTTCGTACAGACAGTGATGATCAAAATCACACAACTCCTAGATAACAGTATAAGAAGATATACGCAGGACGGAGGCAGGACTGTTGGGTTCTTGGGTGTCCGACTGGCTTTCGGCAGATGCATTGGCAGAGGTAGGGCTAATGGCGCTTTCGACATGTATACATCTGTTTTGCATGGAAGTGTCTGGGCTAACGGCGTCCTACATCCTTGGAATTTGAAATTGTGTTATCAGGGATTCGAATCCTGTTTCTTGATGCTTCGTTTCGTTGTATTGTTCCTTATTCTTCGCTTTTTTGCTTCTCTTTCTCTCTTTCTCTTTCGATCCATTGACGGATTTCCTTTTCGTTCCTCGCATTTCCACCTACTTACCGTCCATGTTGATATTGTCGAAAGTAGCAAAGCCGGGACAACCCAGGTCGAGAACCCAATAGAGTCAACAAGACAGTATAACAAGGGAAAGACTAACCAAAGACTGAATCCAATGAACAAACTACCAGGGCCACTGGTTCGCAGTCCAGACCCGATCTGAACGTATAGTGCCGTGCCAATTGTTCCTCCAATTCCGATCAATTGTACATGGCGGGGTTTGAGCTTGCGGTGAGTATGGTCATACATGGATCCGCTACCGACCGAGGCCGCGCCATTGGCGCTAGATGAGTCCTTCTCGGTGACTTCCATCTCTTTCTCTATCTTGATATGTTTCGATTCGGGGTCAGAGAGGCGGGTGGGCTCTGCGCTCTGTATGGCGGCCGTCATTGGAGTATGAGAGCCATACCCCGAGGTAGGGGAATGTGACATTTCGAAGGTCTTTGTATTTCCAGGAAAGAGGGAAGCAACATAAATAAGTGCACGAATAGAATAAATGAAGATAAGAGAAAGCGGACAGGAAGAGTTTTTTTTCTTTCGAAGCCCAGGTGGGTAGGATTTTCCTGTTTTCGCTTTTGGGTTGGACAAACTAAAGAACAACCGGAAAGGGACAAATCACAGCCAAAGCAGACACGGCCCCCTCCGTTTCATCTCCACATGGCCCCTCTACTCTATGGAGGGGCATTTTACGAGTCAACTTGGAAGTCAACATGATCGTCAAGATAGAGCTGAGCAGCAGAGTCTATGGGTTCCGGTGTTGTCCGGGTCTTCATGTGACGTCGGTAGTATGTTTGAACGTGGATGCATGTCGGGGAACGATTATCTCGAATAGTAAACAGCACTCTGCCGTGTTATCAAGTGATAGTTATGTCAAGGAAGCAGTCTAACAGTTGATGTTGTGTATACCTTGACGTCATGAGAGAATTCCCATATCAGCACTCTTCACAAGTGCTAACCAGATTAGGGCAAAAAGAGAGAAGCTTTCTGTTTACATGCATGTGCAGGTATCAATCTACCCGAATAAGCAATTGATCACGTTCTTATCATTGCAGATTCTACGATTGGGTCAAACCTGGAGAGGATATATTGTCCAAGAGGCCGAGGTACATTATATACGGAAATGTCAAAGATTAACGATATAGCCTATCCAGAGTACTCCGTATATAGAAAATAAATCGAATCCTCTAACCCTATATCCAACATAGGCTTCAACAAAATAAGAATAGCTTAAATAGATTAACCGATCAATCAGGTAGTCCACAGTAAGCAGCCCCGAAGCGGCTATGTACCGACCTCGGCAAACCCCGCCAAACCCCAATATTGTTTTTCCCCCTCGACCTCACCTCCAACAATCACAATGACCGAACAAGAAGGAGAATCTAAGCGTTTCGCACCCAAAGTAGCAGTCCAGCTGGACCCGCCCAAGGACGACCCAATTTCCGTCGAGGAACTGGCCAAATGCGACGGTACGAGAAGATTATCCCTCACAGATCACAACACCCGGCAATTCCTTATTTTCAATGCGCCCAGCTCAAGGATCATTGGCTAATGTCTATTTCACTGTAGGTTCCGACCCTAACCGCCCGACTCTGGTCGCCATTAAGGGTGTTGTCTTTGATGTAAGCCGAAATTCGGCTTATGGTGCCTCGGGTTCATATCGCGGTGAGTACAGCACCTATCCCATCACTATAAAGAACAATCAAACTGACTGTTCTTTTTCTTAGTCTTCGCTGGCAAGGACGCCTCCCGTGCTCTTGCCCTATCTTCTCTCAAGCCCGAAGACTGTGTACCTGAGTGGTACGACCTACCGGACAAGGACAAGACCGTCTTGGATGAGTGGTACACTTTCTTCAGCAAGCGGTATAACATCGTTGGCAAAGTTGAAGGTGCCAAGAATACTTAAGGGCTACATTACCATTAAGCGGCTGCCTTTGCATGGATAGAATGTACGACATTATATACCCAGTGTGATAAATCCATGCTTTTCATTTTCGAAATTGGTGGTATCGCGTAGGTACAAAAGAACAGTTCTTCCCTCTGAATGCCGGGATAAATAATGCCTATACATTAAACAAGTAAACATGTAACATTCACGCCTTTAATTCCCCTTGCGGGACTTCCGCTTCATGCGCTTCTGCCCGATAATGCGGTTGCGCTTAGCGGCCTTGTCCTCCTCTTCATTCGTCACTTTTTCATCTTTGGGGCCCTTTGCATTTCCATTTCCAGTCTTGCCGCGCTTGGCATCACGACCATCTCGGCCATCTCGGCCACCTCGTGCATCCCTTCCATCCTTTCCTTTTCCACCACGAGTATCGGAGCGCTTCCTCTTCTGACCTCTCTCTCCGTCCTCGGCATCATCCGAGCGCTTGGGCCTGGGCTCGCGGGATTTAGCTTGCAGCTCATTACGGCGCTTAACGACCTGGGCATTCTCAATAGCAAACTCAACAACAAGGCTCTTCTTCTTGTCCCGGTCATCGGGAGCTTGAGCAGAAGGAGGGACTGCCATGGAGTGGCAGTTCAGCCAGCGCAAACTCATGAGCGCATGACGGTGAGTGAAGAACTCGATGAATCCGTAGCCACGACTGCGACCACCACCGGTCTTCTCGGAGACCTTGGTACCCTCGCGAGTCTCGAAGACGACCTTGGCTTGGCGCACGATACCCATCTTCTTTTGTTTGCGCAGCTGCTCTAGCTCCTTCATTGTATCGCGGGATCGCTGCTGCTCCTCTTTTGAGAGCGGTTGACGTGCGCCCGCCTTGACATCCTTGGCGAATTCGACGACGGACTCTCGAGCAAGCTGCTTCAGGTCCTTGGAGTTGATGTGGCGGGGGAGGTTACGGATGGCGAGACGGGTGAGACTGAGGTGGAGAGCGGGGTTCTTCTTGATGAAGGTCTCGCGCTGCTTGTAGCTGTCCTCGCGCATCTTGATTTCGGAGGGAGAGAGCTTCTTATACAGCGGGGAGTTGGAGGGGATCGTACCCTCGTTGAGGAGGTATAGGCGGCGCTTGTCTGTGTCGCGGACCATACGGCGTGATACTCCCTCTTCTTCCAGCTTGGCGGCTTGACCCTTGCTCACGGCCCGCGCGACTTGTAGGACGCGGCCTTCTAGGGTGTAGCGGCCGCTTGGGTCGGAGTTTTCATCTTGGAGGACGGAGTGCTTCATAGCGGTGTTTGACTTAGGCTTGTCCTTGTTCGGGGCCATAGCTTCGGCTCCCCGGGGGGCTTCACGAACGCATGTGTTGGCGTCCTCCGGCTTCCAGAAGCAGACAAATCCAGTGCCTCGAGGGCGCTCGGTCTCGTAATCCAAGACCACACGTGCATATCGTAGCGGGCCAAACTGAGTTTTGAAGTGGTCGTAGAGGGCCTGATCTGTAGCGGTGAAGGGGAGGTTGCGAATGAAGACTGTAGTGGCATTTCGGTCATCCTCCTCGTCTGCCTCATCATCATCGTCCAAGTCGTCCAGCTCATCCAGGTCATTGTCCTCTTCGTCTTCGTCATCTTCGTCGGAAGAGGTTTCGTCGTCTGAGGGCTCTTCCAGAATACCCTCGGCATCTTTCATCTCAACATCATCAGACTCCTTCTCTTCCTTCAGCTCCTCCTCCTCGTCGTCGTCTTCTTCCTTCTTGGTAGTTTCCCAAACGTCCTTCTCAACAGCCCAATCGACAGCAAGTTGGCGTCCATCGATCTCCTTTCCGTTGATCATCTGGAGCGCCTTCTCGGCGTTTTTCCTGCCACGCATGGTAACGAAACCAAAACCAGCAAGTTTGCCATTCCTCTTGGGGAGAGTAGCAAACTTGACTTTTCCAAAGCTGCGGAACAGGACATTCAGATCCTCGGGCTCCTTGACACTCCACGGCAGATTGCGAACAATCAGCTTGGGTGGCAGACCCTGCCCTCTCTCTTCTTCCTTCTGCTTCTTGGATTCGCGGGATGCAGCAGTGGGGACACTGCGTCCAACCTTCTCATCGATCTCACGCTTACGAGACTCGGCATAGTCGACGCGAATGATTTTCCCGTCAAACTTGGACCCATTGAGTTCTTTCAGAGCACTCTCCGCATCCTCGACATCGGCGAATGTAACAAAACCGAATCCCTTAGATACCTTTGTCTCTTTGTCGCAGACAACAACAGCGTGTTTGATAATGTAGGATTGCGAGAAATATTCTGCGAGGCTTTCTGTCGTGGCTGAGGTGGGTAGTGAGCGGACGAAAAGAGTTCTCTTGTTCTGTGCGGACGCGGCCTCGGCGGCGGGTGTAGTGGCTTCGACTTTGATTTCGGTGCTTTCGGCGTCCGAGAGACGTCGTTTCTTGTGTAATTCAACCATGGTGGCTTTCTTGCGACTGCGATTTTTTTCTGCGGTCTGGGAAGAACAAAAAAATTAGCGGCAGAAAAAAGCGAGGCAGATTGGCCTGGGCGGTGTGGGTCCCATCCAGATAAGCAATAGCTTTATCGACCTATCACCTCTCAATTGATCGCTCTGCCTTTAGAAACAACACACGATGGATCCCTTACGCCCGAAGAGTGGTATATCCTCTCGCCCTTTAGACTCCCCTGCTCCGAGTGCATCTTCAAGACCGAAAGTTCAACAGCTCAAACCTCAAGCCCTTGCCAACCGCCCTAGTACTCCCGCGACTCTGGACTCCCCTGCTCCAGGTGAATCGTCAAGGCCGAAAGTTCAACAGTTGAAACCCCAAGCCCTTACCAACCGTCCTACTACTTCCGCAATTCTGGTGTCCGCGCGACAAAAGGGCAACCCGATCCTGTCCCATATAAAGCTCGTACCATGGGAGTATGCCGATATTCCCGCAGATTATGTGGTTGGCACCACAACGTGCGCAATGTTTCTCTCCTTGAAATACCATCGCCTACACCCCGAATACATCTACGCCCGAGTGAAACAATTAGCAGGCAAATACAATCTCCGCCTCGTACTGGTGATGGTCGACATACCAAACCATGAAGACAATCTCCGAGAGTTGTCCAAAACATCCATCATCAACAATCTGACCTTGATATTGTGTTGGTCCGCACCAGAGGCTGCGCATTATCTTGAGCTTTACAAGTCCTCAGAGAATGCACAGCCCACCGCCATTCGAGCGAAACAGGCTCAATCATATAAAGAATCGCTGGTGGAGTTTGTCACAGTACCCAGAAGTATCAACAAGTCCGATACCGCGAGTCTGATCTCCACCTTCGGAAGTTTACAAAATGCCATAAATGCACAGCCGGAGCAGATTAGCGCTGTACCGGGGTGGGGAGAGAAAAAGGTCCAACAATGGTGTCATGCAGTCCGAGAAGACTTCAGAGTCGAGAGTGCGAAGCGGGCTTCTGCTCCTGCCATAAAACCTCGGGCTCGACTGCCAGCCGTGAATGTGGATGACAAAAACGACCAGGATATCGATGAAGAGGATGAAGAGGAGGCGATTCTTCGTGAGGTTTTAGCGGAAAGCAGGAAAACAACAGCTGCGCACGCTGCACAGTCTACTGAGCCTCAGGCTGAAAATAAACCAAGTGAAGAGATGAGTGAAGGTATCGCGGCAGCACTTGCCAGGCTCAGAGATAATACTGGTTGAGAGCCGACCTAGCTTGTCTTCACTACACATCCACTTTCAAACGTTCCCGAATTCTAGAGATGGACCTCATTCCCGCCCACCGACTACTGACTATGGCACACCTCTTGCAAATAGCCATCGCCCGCAGATTATTGGGACAAGGACGCAATGATATCTTGTGCATAGTGGTCACAAATTGGATAAGCTGGGCAACTTCATGGTCGTGATAAGTTGCCTGTGTCCGAGACATGGACCTAGCTCACGGAAGCCCACTAATACCCATATCCCTAGCTAGGTGTAATATATCAGAACAAAACAGAATAATCAATGACTGTCATGACTCTCAATCAAGTCCTGCTCCTTCCAAAAAGCGAAAGGCTTGACTTCCGCCCTAGACAAACCTAGTCAGCTCTCTTTCCCCCATCTCATTCCCATCTGATCCCGACCTCATTCTCACGATTTCCCGGAAATGCTCGACTGAATCAGGCCGACCATGATCTCGTGATCAGGCACGTGACAACGGCCCACTTGATCAATATGCGCGTTGAGATATGTTGGCGCAAGCCGAATCTAGAATGCTACAACATGTCTGTTCCTTCAAATCATTCAACGCGTCGCCTAGGAGTCCTTCCAAGGTCAAGGCTAGGATGCAAGACTTGCAAGTAGGTGCTTGCTTCCTTTTCCATAGACAGAGTTTGATATTGAGCGTGTCGTAGAATTCGACGAGTCAAATGCGGCGAAGAAAAGCCTAGCTGTGTTCGATGTACCAGTACAGGTCGCAAGTGTGACTTTGAAGGCATACAGCCTTCTTCCACAATTTCGCTCATCGTCAACCCATTGTCATTATCAGCAAACACCAATACGGTGTGGCGAGAGCGACGTGCATTTGCATATTATTTCGAATGTGCTGCCTCCTCCATTGGTGGTGGATTGGATGTTGATTTCTGGCGCACTACCGTCCCACAAGTTTGCCGCTATGAACCCGCTGTTTGGGATGCCATCATCACCATTAGTGCCCTATTCGAGTGTCCCCAACAAAGCTCAGGACCTATGCTACAACGCCGTGATAATCCTATTTCTCTCGCTAAAAACAACCCAGATGCCTTGGGTTGGTACTCACGCTCGGTATCTGCTGTTCGCCAGCGCATTGAGCAGGGTAGCATAGACCTCTTTGTCGGACTGATCAGCTGTGTGCTTTTCATCTGCATTGAGGCCATCCAGGGAAACGCAGACGGGGCATTGCAGCTTTATCGTCAAGGTGTGCAGCTCATTACCGCTTTGCGTTCCCAAATAGCATCTAGTGCTACGAGTAAAGCTTCCTTGTTGGAGGATACTATTATCCCGGTCTTCATCCGTTTGGGAACATTTGCTCTCGCCGTCCGTGGGGCTCCAGTGACGGCTTTACTACAAGACACCGAGCATTTCTCAACGGAACGGTTTGACTCACTCAAATCTGCTCGGGAAGCGATCGGGCTATTAGCTGTAGAGATCCCTCTCTTCGAAGCAACATGCACCAAGCACTTACACGAGGCTCATGTCTATCATCTACCCGGAGAATTCAATACTATACTATCCAGTCTGGCCACCCGACTGAGGAACTGGCATACTGCGTTTGATAAGTTGATGACAAGCCTTCGGGCCAAAGACCTTCTCTCGCCGCAAGAGATTGGTATTAGTGCCCTTCTGTTGAGTTGTCATGAAATGTTACATGTCATGCTCGAGACCTGCACATCATCGTCATTGATGCAATTCGACGCTTATCTACCAAACTTCCGAAATATAGTTGAACAATCTGCTATTGCCCCTAAAGCCTCGGTGCGATCAGACGGCACCCAACCACCATTTACATTTGACATTAATATCGGTCTTCCGCTTTGGTTCACAAGTCTTCGATGCCGTGAACCGCGTATCCGACGCGCGGCACTGGCTCTACTCCGTCAAGCACCCTCAGTGCAAGGTTTTTACCAGTGCCACATATGGGCCGCCGTGGGCCAAATAATCATGGAGCTAGAAGAATCACAAGCAATGGAAATGAACGCAGCCCATCATCCACCTCACTTAGGTGTACTGGAGTCCACAAAAGAGCCAATCCCCAGTTCCGAACTTGCTGCAAGCTCATATTGTGCTCGTGCGGACATGGAGCCGAGAATACCAACAGCACTGCTTATCCCGGAGGAGGTGCGCATTGGACCCATTTCCGCCTTTCGGCCAATAGATGGGTTTCCTCCTGGAATCACAGAGGCAGATATCGCGAAGTGGAACCGGGGCCCTGATCAATTCTTTCTGGGGGTTTCCAGGATTGACCGTGGTCTGACTGGAGATGCTTCTCGGATGGTATACCAATACGTTCCTCTTGACTTTTGATCATAGGATCTATTCGTCCATATAAACTAAGTATTATTGGTCCATTTGATGCAGATAGTCTCAAAAGTACATATAATAGCTATTTATTGGAGTCCGGCGTTCCTTCCTCTATCCATAACCGTTCGAGTCACATACGGCAACCACCACCAAGCCTCCCTTACTTGGGCCTCTACCACGAAGGCCACTTGAGGTCGTGAATTCCTTGTAGTTAATGCATTTCCGATGCTTTGCTTTCTCTTTCCACTTTTACAGGTTCCTTCAACTACTTTCCCTGTTGCCCTGTCCTATTCTCACTACAATCTAATCCATCTCCAACGATGGTCAAAGTACGTGCGATACCATGTTTAAGCTTTCGATACTCTCCAAGTATTGGTGCCTTTCCGATATTGAAATCTGAGGAGATTTGAAAGTTTGCAGACATACAGCTCGCTGGCTCGATGAAACGGGACGAGCTATTGGCCTCTCAAGAAGCAGGACTATGGGAGACGTTGGTACCTCATTTCCAAGTGCCTTCGATATTGTTGTTGTCGCCCAAGATTTATTATGCGACATCCTCATCTACAACCCGCTACTGAACGCTATACTTGATGTGAGCCGATAACGGTCCTCCGATATGAACAAATGTACGACAATAGTACCGTTAAGGTTATGAGGACGTACCACACGGACAGTCCGATGGACTGATGTCCTTCAGGTCATTGTGGAAAAGCGTTTCGGCCTGCAATTCGCCGTTCCTTTCGACTCCTCCCATTCTGTGTGTCCGCCGGAGGCTAACGGGACTCCAAGATTCTGGAAGAACGTATGATAGTTCACGGCCATGACATAACTCGGTCCTATATGGGATGTGTTGAAAGCTAATTTCTCAAGCTCTTCCTTGCCCTCGGAGTGCTCTTTCGATATTCCTCTCTGCCTTTCAAACAAAAGGAAGATATCATCCGGGAATCCGACTAGGAGCTGAACATGGTCACATATGACTGTGAACGCGCATACACAGGTCCATGACTCCATAACTTTGTTGACTAGCTTGGGCAATGTTCATTTGTCCTCGTGACTAACCCTTTTGAAAACTAAACCTTGGGAGCAACATAGTCGACACTAGCCAATTAGCCGGTACTTGTGGAAGTCGCACAAGGATTGGCAGGTAGGCGAGGACAAATAAAATAAACGATGCGATATTCCACGCTCAGGTACACACAATTCAGCCAATGCCTTCATAGAATGGCATTATTTCATCGGCTCTATACGCCTAGTCAACTCTTGGCAGAGAGTCTAGAGAAGCGAGGTACATATTGCGGTTGGGGGCGAAACTGTTACGTGAAAAAGTCCTCGCTTAGACATAAAGTGCCTTGAATTTCCCCGATTTAGGTTTTCCTGCCTTTGCATTAATCATGTAACTATTTGTGATAGGATCGAAAGGATTCAGCAGTGGATACTCGGTACTCGGTGCACGATGTGCAATTTCCGATCGACGAGGGAAAGGTGGCGTGGGTCGGCCCACGAACGCACGCACGAGCACGAAAGATCTTATCTTTTTCTTTTTATTGAATTTCTGTTAAGCGCCAGTGGAGAGGGCTCGGGGATGATTCAATTGAATCTCCACAACCCTGCTGAATAGAGTACTTGACTGGTTGGCTTCCAGCTAGTCCGTAAAAATACGAAACCCGACTTCGGTGCTTGTTTACTATAAGGGCAATGATTCCCTACTGTTTCACGTGTAGTGCAACCTGATCAACTTTGGACTTCTAAAGTCAACCATTATGGGTGTTCGCCCTTTAATCCGCAGAGCACGTATCGTGTTCCGCCGGCTGTCAACCGAAGACAATGGAAATGACTCCTTCGCACAGCAGAACACGATCGGTGATCGTAAAGATGGCACTCGGAGTCCCACCAGTTCTGTGGCACTCGAGGAGATACCGGATGGGAGTGCGCAGCATGGTGTTCAAGACGTCGAGGCCGTGACCATGACCTGGTCGAGAGGTACATTGATCGCAGTCTTCATCAAGTATGTTTCCCTGTATTATTTTGTGCCGCGTATCCGATACCATTGACAAATGTTCGGGCATACACTAATACCAGGGCCCCAATAGCATCTGGTTCCTTTATTTCGCGAATGCATTTCAATCTACGATTACCGTTACTCTGAATCCCTATGTGACAAGTTCATTCAAAGCACACTCGCTATCCGCGGTTCCCACAGCTCTGGGTGATGTCTTTGCAGCTGCCACCTACCTCCCTGTCGCAAAAATGATGGATGTATGGGGTCGAGCGGAAGGGTTTCTGTTGATGGTTATATGTTTAACCATCGGCTTGGTTCTCATGGCTACCTGCAATACCTTTGAGATCTACTGCGCCGCCAACGTGAGTTCTAAGAATGTCATGGTGTTGAATACGGATGCTGACGGGCATACAAGGTCTTCTACTATACCGGTTTCTACGGTATGGAATACGCAATAGACGTTATGACAGCTGACGTTTCAACACTGAGAAACCGTGCTTTCGCGTATGCGTTCACTTCCTCCCCATACATTATCACGGCATTTGCGGGACCCAAGGTGGCGGACGAATTCTACTACAAGATTTCTTGGAAATGGGGCTTTGGCTGCTGGGCAATCGTCGTTCCTGTAGTAGCTGCCCCGCTATACATTATGCTGAAGTACAACCTGCACAAGGCGGAGAAAGAAGGCTACCGGATCAAGAGACCAAGTGGCCGCACGGTATTCGAAAGCATCCAGCATTGGACTGTCGAATTTGATCGTAAGTTCTCTACTTGTTGATTCCTATCCTTTACGAAAGAGGGCAAACTCTAACTGGGAGTAACTAGTCTTTGGAGTCTTCCTGTTCACTGCTGGTCTTGTGTTATTTGAGCTTCCCTTCGACCTCGCCCATTACGCCCCCAATGAGTGGGCTTCCGGCTACATTATTGCCATGCTTGTCGTCGGGTTCTGCACACTTTTCTTCTTCGCTATTTGGGAGAGGTGGTTGGCTCCAGTGCCTCTTTTCGAGTGGCGACTTCTTACGAACCGCACTATTATCGGTGCAGTCCTCTTGGACGCAACCTATCAGCTGTCGAACTATTGCTGGAGCTACTACTTCACGTCCTGGCTGCAGGTCAACAATAACCTATCCATCACCACGTCCAACTATATCGTCAATATCTTCGACATGGTCTCTGGTGTGCTGCTACTAGCCACTGGTTGGCTAATCCGGAGAATTGGCCGTTACAAGTGGACTTTGTATATTGCAATTCCGCTCTACATGTTGGCACAGGGCTTAATGATATACTTCCGCCAGCCTAATGTGAATGTTGGCTACCAGGTGATGTGCCAAATCTTCCTCGCTATCGGTGGTGCAACATTCATCCTTGTTGAGCAGCTTGCTATCCTAGCGGCTGTCGACCACCAACATGTCGCGACAGCACTCGCCGTGTTAAACGTGGTTGGCACTATTGGCGATAGTGCGGGTCTTACCATCAGTACCGTCATCTGGCAAAACACATACCTGAAAGCCCTTCTTCGATACCTCCCGGAATCGGAATTGTCAAATTTGAACAATATTTACGAGGATCTCGTCACGCAACTGAGCTATCCAGTCGGATCTGCCACCAGGTTTGCTATCCAAAAGGCCTATGCCTACGCCGAACTTCGACTACTTTCTGTCGGGACTGGCATTATAGTTCTGGCGATTCCTTGGACATTCTTGATGCAGGATATCAATCTGAAGAAAAAGCGGCAGGTCAGGGGCACGGTCTTTTAGAACCAGTATAGATAATAATTTTACGCGACCCTGAATGATACCCACCACCTTTTGCTACAGTAGTCGGGAACAAATAAATCCCGTGAACAGTTAAACGGCCTCAGCCTTGAAAAGTTCCACATGTGGGCTCCGACCGCGTGGCACGAGAGAGAAATAAATGACGCGGCGGATCCTCTGTCTACCAATAAACATGTCGCGTCCAAGGTTCTCAGTAAGTTTCGGATCAGATAACTCAAAACTCTCCGATCGTGGCCCAAAGCGGTTAGCGGCGGTCCGTGGCAGGGGCGGTTAAGCAAAATTCCGATGATCGGTTGCTGATCGTATCCGAGATCGGATGATAGTTCGGGGTTTTTCGCACGACCAGAAATTAACGTGAGAGCTACCGAGTACTATAAGTGGATGCCTCGTTAGCACGCTGGGAGTACCCCACTAGCCAAACATTATCAATCGCTCGGTCTTGCCTCGACCGTAGTTCAGACACAATGCCATGTGACCACAGCGACCGTGCGGTTCGAATGACACCTGATTTAAATCCTTCCATGGCTGTCCCGTCGCGATGGATCAGACAGAGACAAAAGAGCGGAGGGACTCGGGATCTCACGACATCACATCTCCGGAGAAACTCGTCTACCAATACCAGGGCAGCGTGGAGGTTGTTAGGGCCGGAACCCTCGCAGCGCTGGTGGAAAATCTGACGCACCACGACAAGCTCGACGGTGCCTTCAATCGAGTCTTCCTCGCCACTTATAAGTATTTTACCTCTGCAGCAGAGCTTATTGAGCTCCTCATCGATCGATTCGACTGCTCGCCTCCCAAATTAGACGCCACCCAGACGACAGAATGGACGACCCAGATAAAGCCACTGATACGATTGCGCGTGATAAATGTTCTGAAGCAATGGCTTGAACATTTCTGGTCTGAGCCAAAAGGCATTGATACAGATCAAAATTTGCGAATACTGCAGTCATTCGCCAAGCGCGCCACGGATGCCACCGAGGCAAGCGCCGTACAACAACTTCTCACAGTCATTCAGCGCCGACTTGCGGGTCTCGAGTGCCACAAAAGATCGCTATCATCAATATCCAACCCACCAAAACCTATTCTACCACGCAAATTAAACAAACTCCAATTCCTCAAAATCGATGCAACGGAAATTGCGCGGCAGCTGACTATCATGGAAGCACATATGTTCGGCAAAGTACAACGAGATGAATTGCTAAACAAAAACTGGCAAATGAAGGACAGCTCCAATACGCCCGAGCTAGCTCCAAACATCAGAGCCTTGATTCGGTATTCCAATCAGCTCTCTAATTGGGTCGGCACCCTAATACTCGCAGAATCGGATGTGAAAAAACGGACCCAAGTGATAGGGCATTTGGTCAATGTGGCCAATGTACGTTGTAATCTCTAGCCTGACCCTTGTAATTATTCCAATATGCTAATGTTCTATTCCAGACATGTCACCAACTCCGTAATTACTCCGCGGTAATCTCTATCCTGGCAGGCATGGAAAGCGCACCCATCTACCGGCTTGCCCGCACGTGGGCAATGGTTACCGAACGTAGTTGCAATACTCTAAGGCCCCTGCAAGCTATGACATGCAGCGCACACAATTACCAGGCCTACCGTGACACGTTACGGGTTGCAATGGCACCGTGCGTGCCTTTCCTTGGTCAGTTCTCTCGTGAACCGTTGAAATTGCCGATGATTAACCATTCAACAGGATTGTTCTTGAAAGACTTGACATTTATCGAAGACGGAAACCCAGCCATGACACCGGAAGGGCTCATCAATTTCCAAAAATATACTATGCTAGCGTCAACCATCCATGAGATTCAGCGTTTAAAAGAAGCCCCTTACTCGTTACGACCCGTGCCTGAGTTGCAGGAATATCTTGCAACTCAGTTGCAATCCGCTGTTGATTTACAAAACATGTGGGACAAAAGTTGTCAGCTGGAAGCTCGAGGCCGGGATCTTGGAAATAGACCCCGGGATTTATATACCCCCACAGGAGGCATGTTCGCGTCTATGGTAGTCGCGTGCATGGTCCTGGATGATTGATATGTTAATACAAAATTTTATGCAGTGTTCTTCGTTTTGAATTCAAACTGAAGTTAGTCCAGGTTATGCTTTTGTACTTTTTTCGGCGGAGACACGTGAAATTGCAACACAAAACAGATTAGGAATGATTCCCGGCTTGAGATGCAATTGCGGTGAACATAGGCTCCTTTTGGTCATAACCTATTGAGTCATGGGTCGGTGTGGACTGTCGATCTTATCCTTCTGAAGGAGGTAGCAGCAGACCCTCCACGGGCTGATTTATATATCTCGGGATACACAGATACAGAAGAAACTCCGGTGCTCGGACGTTATGGGGGACTACCTCTGCACTTTAGAGTTTTCCATGTCAAACGTTCAAAAGATTGACGGTGCGTTGAATGTCCCCGAAATATGAGGTGTGGAATCCGATATACATAGACGTGTATCTGGCGCTGAAATAAAAACTCAGATCTAATAAGCCATGAATATAGTACGAAAGTGATGATGATTGAGCTCCGATGAAATATCTCTTGTATAAAATGTCAGCATTCACCGGATCACCCCCGCGGGTGGATAGTCAGCCCTAATCGAGCTAAGCTTCACAATGCACTGCTATCAGCTTTTTCGGTTTGTTCTCTTCATATCAGCATCACTCGGCAGCCCAGTGCCTTCATACATATTAAAAGAAGCCCAGGATGTCTCAGATATATTTAACAGACTATTCAACACCTCCACAAGTCATGCTCCCTTCAGCCCAGAAATATACCAAAATCTATCTAAGCTCGAAGCCAAGATATCAGATATAGCAACAGGCAAAATCAAGCCCGTCTCAACAATCGGAGAAGGCCTCTCGGTCCTCGCCTCAATTCCACACAACAACCAAACAATTATCCAGAATGCCATCGACACAGTATCCCTAGGTCTAGTCCCAACAACCATCCTCGACATAATAGACGGCATAAGAAACCACGAAATAAACTCTATAGCCAACAACAACACAAAAACCCCTAGTCCCCGAATCCACCCAACAAAATCCTTCGGGGACGCACCCTACGACATCCCCGAAGACACCCTCCGCAGCGCAATCTACATCCCGACAACTTTTTCCTACGGCAAGAACAACAAAATCCCCATCCTCTTAGTCCCCGGCACCGCCGACCCAGCCGGCAGCACCTATTACTTCAACTACGCGAAGATCTTCGCCGCAAACCCACACACAGACCCAGTATGGGTCAACATCCCAGACACCTCACTAGGCGACATCCAAAGCAACGCCGAGTACGTCGCGTACGCGATAAACTACATCTCCGGACTCTCGGGGCGTACCATCGGGGTACTAAGCTGGTCGCAAGGCAGCGTAGACGTACAATGGGCGCTGAAATACTGGCCGTCGACACAGGCCGCGGTCAGCGATTTCATGGCTGTCAGTAGTGATTTCCACGGGACGCTTGTTGCGACGCTGTGCGTGCTCGCTGAGCCGTTTTGTACGCCCGCTGTGCAGCAGCAGGGGTATGATGCGCGGTTTATTCGGGCTCTGCGGGGTGGGGATGGGGACTCGGCGTTTGTGCCGACGACCAGCGTGTACTCTGGGGATGACGCCATTGTGCAACCGCAGAGTGGGGGGTGGGCTTCTGCGGCGTTGGCGGATGTGCGTGGGGTGGGCGTGTCGAATGTGGAGGTGCAGGTTGCTTGTGCGGGGCGTGCTGCTGGCGGTTTGTATTCGCATTCGTCTTTGTTGCTTAATCCGTTGGCGTATGCTTTGTTTGTTGATGCTTTGGTTCATGAGGGGCCGGGGAAGTTGGAGAGGATTGATCTTGATGCTGTTTGTGGTGAGTCGCTTGCCCCTGGTTTGGATGTGGATGACTTTTTGGGCATGGAGGCTGTGTCGGATGTGGTTGGGGTGCTTAATGTGTTGTTGTTTGGGTATAGTGGGAGTGAGGAGCCGCCGCTTAGGGACTATGTTCACTAGGCGAGATTGCTATATACTAGGTGATGGGCGGATTAGGGTTGTTCAAGGCAACGCTGGATTCCGTATTCACTCTAGGAAAAATCTATAAGTCCGTACCGGACAGGGCACTATAATACATGTACAAGGCCAAATGCTTCATTGGTTATTATTGTGTGGATCTCTAGAGCGAAACTCCAAGTCCGTAGAGATCATCACGGCAACAAAAAGCGCAGCAGGAAACCCCCCAACCCCCCCTTCCCCCCGACACCAGCCGGCAAATGGCGACATGACAATGAGTATGAATAAGAAATCAAAAAAACAAAAACAAAGTGGATATAAGACCCGGCAAGCAGACTGAAGGATGTGCCGCAAACTAACCTTGGAAATCGCAGTTCATCGTAATTCGGGACTCCATTGCATGGCCAGCACCGACACCCGGAAATGGACATCTCGGCATGGGGTATGTGACAAAGGCATGGCATGCTATGGAGCAACTCGTATGGGAGTCATCAAATTTTGGTCAAAGGAAAATCATAAATGGAAAGCCGGCATTTACGTAGGCTTTTCACATCCAATCCGACCTAAGAGAGCCTTCCGATCACTCGGATCGAAAGGAACACGACCACGGCCGCGCGCCCGCACCGAGGCAGTGCCGTTGGACCGCCGACGACCCAAGCCCGGGGCGTTTCCGGTCTCGAGTGCGTCGGTAGGGGCACCGTCTCTGGCAGTCAAGTGCGCTGGGGCGTGAGATGTGGGCTGGTCTTCGACTTCCGCTTCGTCTTCCTCGTCACTGCGGGTATCTTCGGCGTTACCGCCGCAAATCACACCGTAAGCAACACGGACAATCATGCTGAACCATAGAATAGACAGTCCCTCAAGGAACAACAGGAATGATAAGAAAATCCACTTGAGCGCGGGATTGAAGCAGATGGGGTTGTCCAAACTGAAGTATGGACCGAACATGTATGCGAAGGAATCCGGCGCCTCTGTTGAGATGAACTCGCTTGTCGAACCGGTGTAGCAGCCATAGGTAAGTTGGCGGGGAAGATCATAATAAACGGACCAGCACACCATGGGGTAGATGATGTGTCGGGTAATTAACCATGTACCCATGAAGAGGCCAAAGCCAACATTGCACGCTGTTTCAAACTTGGAGTATTTGAGGATCTTCGCAAACTGTGGAGGTATTAGTAGCTGTTCAGCGCTTGGCGAATAGTACGTGACGAACCGGTAACAAGAAGTCCACAATATCCATGAGACATAGCACCACATTGGACACATTGTACATAGCGTAGATGTAGGCAGAGCTCAGGAGAACCGAGGTGATAATGTGGTGGGAAAGCATCTGGACATGGTCCTTCCGTCTCTCTTCCACGTGGATCACGAAGATCTGCTGCACGAGGAATGCCAGTTCAACGAGAAGATACCACTTCATCAAGCCCGACAAAGGACGGGCGGGCCACTGCGACCACATGGCGGCGAAATCGCCCCAGTAGTATGACGTCTTCCAGAGATACTGTAGGGTCGAACCAGCGGTTAGTTATATATTCCCGGGTAGGTATCTCGGGCCGAACGCACCAATCCAACACCCCAGATGAACGAATAGTACATAGCTTGCCAACCCTGCTCAGCGATGCGAACCGATTGTTTGCGCTTCAAACCACAGGCGCGGGCCAATGGTTGCATGCACCATTCAATGGCGATAGCGCGGATACCGGTAAGTGCGATAGCCGCACTGATGACGAAGTAAACATCATCCCAGCCCTGGACGTAGGAGTCCGAGGATTCGTTGTAATAGGACAATTGGAAGAATGGCTGGGTATATGGGCGGAGTGAAGGGTAGAGGTTATGAAGAGCCAGCAACATAGACAGAGTGGTCAACGAGATGCCTGCAGAGAAGCAATTAGTGTTAGCGGTACTCGTATTAGATTTCGCATGTGCTGGGATTCAATTAGAAGCGCAGCGGCTCTGTGCAGCTTTGCTTTTCCTTCATTCTCATGTAAATTCAAAAACCGGGGTGTTTCTTCATACCGATCTGGTTGGTGACCACCCATTCACGGAACGTGGTCTCCTTGGCCGGTCGTAAACCACTAGGAGAGGAAACGTAGGCATTGCGTCCCTTGAGCTCTGATCTTTGTTTCGACGGCACAATTGTGTCTGCCATGGTGGAGAGAGCACCAATAGTGTGGAGGAGATTCGAAATTCCACCGAGGGAGAAGAGGGCCGGGAGTCGGGGGAGTCGGGGAGTCGAGAACGGGGAATCAAGCCAAAGTGATCAATGCTGAAATAGATGTGGGACCTGCCTCATCTAAGCCCTTATTTACTTCTTGACTTGACTCGTTCAACCAGGAACAGGAAAAGCAACAGCTTGCGAGTGTAAGAAAATGTTTTTGTAGGAGAGGGAATAGAGGGGGAACGTGGTGATTTCGTTTCATCTCTTCACGATCATCCACTCACCGCCTCGTTAAATGTTGAGTGTCGAGATTGTTGATTGGATGGAAGTGCATGCACGTAAATTGTCGAGCTGAGATTGGAATGAGATTTGGAGATTTGATTTTGATTTTGATTTTGTTGAATTCTGGGAATATAGATGTTGGTGTCAACAGTTTACCATTTGCGGTCTATTTATTGACACTTGGCAGGGGAGAGGAGAAATGGGATAATGACATCTACATGTACGCTGTACGATTATATTGAATACAGAGTAAGATATTCATTCTAATCCCTCTGTAACGTGTCGCACAAAATCATTGGCACTGACCCCCAATTGAGCCAAATCAATTCCACCATGTCCGGCCATCGCCCGCGACATAGCCCGAGCAACTTCTTCCTCCTCCCATATATTGTTGAGGATCTGCTCCCCACCTTCTCCAGGCCCTTGAGTGGGGTTCTCGGAAGCCACCATAGTCCGCCAATACAAATCGTCGCGATTCTTCAAAGTCGAATCCCGAACCACCGCATTGCGGGTAACACTCGCGGCATGGAGTTTCGAGTTTGCGCCCATGAGCGTTTGCACGGCCATCGACACTGCCTCGTCAATCTGCTCGACGGTCGAGGGCGGCTTGAAAAAGAACCGGTTAGTCGCGGAGAGCCAGAGCACAACCGAGCAGATCACATCGCAGATTACAAAGGCCAGCGGGCGCAGGAGCGTAATATGGTTGTAGATGCCGGAGGGCGGTGTTTGGCCCGCGCGCACAGAGCGTGGCGCACTTTGGACCGCATCGTAGGTGGCCATAATGTAGATGTCGACGGCTGCGAGGACAAGTCCGGCTAGGGTGAACTTGATGCGCCAGCGGGAAGCCTCGCGCCCTGCGATGGGCGCGGATGTGGCTACACCTAGGAGCAGCAGGTGCGCCAAGTGTGGTAACAACACGTGGAATGGGAGGTAGTAGAGGAGGTATGTGTAGATGTTGTCAAATGAGCAGTATTGGCACGAGACCAAGGCGTCGGGGCCATAGGTCAGATATACCTTGCGGGCACCCAGAGAGGTGAACTTGGACTGGAGGAGATTGTCGGCTTCGGTGAGGAAGTTATCTGGCCGAAGGCGGGCGAGACGGTTGAAGATGACATCGGTAGGGGTGTTTAGACGAGAGCGAGTCTGAGAGAAGATGTTGGGTTCGGGCGCGTGTGGGTTGAAGGGTAGGCTTAGGAGTAGGAAGAAGACGATGCCACCGAATAATATGTTCAGCGCTCGACCGGGCGCAGCAGGCAGAGGACGCGGCGGTGGCCGGCTCGCGATGGATACGCGCAGACTTCGATAGGCGGTGATTAAGCGTGGGAGTATGATTGGGGCGAAAAATATGAGGACTGATTTGACGCTATTCACGGTCAGAATAGATTGCGGAGGATGTGAAGAGCTTCAAGACTTACGTTCCCCAGGAAATTGCGATTGGAGCCATATTTGCTATGATATGGACCTTACTTCATCGGAATCTCTAACAAGTTGAGTCGAGATTCGAAGAAAGAAAGGTGTTAAAGTGTTCGAATGTCCAACGTAGCTTCATTGAAGTCGGGGCCAAACGTCAACGTGGGTCCCGTCCTTTCTAGACATTGCCCTCTCAACCTACACTTCTTCTACTCCATACTCTTCTAATTTTGGAATATTTACCTTTCAAATCTATCCTTAATATCTACAAATCCTACGAATGCTGCATAAAAAAAGATGTCTCAATTAAATCAATTAAACACGAGCAAGCCGAAGCGAAAGACCAGGGGTAATAAAACAGCGCCGGGTGCGCCCATCGCAATAACGCAGGAATTCTGACTCAATCAGCACGGTTCTTCCTTTCCTTCCAAACGCCGTTCTCAACCGAGTTGACCAGGCAACCGGCTCAAACCATATGGCCCGAGTACAGAGCAGGGTGGTGTGCGAGGTCGGGAGGACGGATCTCCGCAGAATCACGAGAGTACTTGGAGGAAGCAGCATCGTTCTCCTCAACAAGCGTCGGGCTTATGGGCTTGGAGATCTTGAGTGGGAATCGGCCGGTGAGACGCTTGGTGGCACGCTTGACGGGGTTTTGGCGAGAATAGGTGGGCAGGGTTTCCTCGCGCTTCACGCTCAAGTGAAGGGTGCGGTGGCTGCTAGTCCGGCTCATTGCCTTTTGCGGTGCAACAGCGCCGTCGACCCGCACCTGGCGGGCACTGACGCCGGTCTCGGGGTCGCTGAAGATGTAGCTCTGTTGGGGAAATGGGTCAGCATTGGGTCAAGGGTATACGCTGGGAGTTTTGATCTCGATACTTACTGCCAGAACGTTCACCACGCTAACTATCATTGCCAGGACGCCGGCGGAGATGATGATTCTCCAGAAAGTCAGGCCAATGTTTTCCTGGGTCATAGCCTTGGTGTTCAGGTTGCCCAGTGTCGAAACTCCCAGGATCATCATGATCCCACCGAGAGAGTAGAAGCTAGATTCTTGTCCGAACATCGGCCAGTGGTGGTCGAAATAGCTTTGGAGTATTGGGAGCTCCGAGATGATCATGAAGACTGCCAACGTTAGCATTTATATCACGAAAACACAAAAGGAAGATTATACTTACGGCTGACCAGAGCCACAACGGCGTGGGTCACGGCCTCGAAGAAAAAGAAGCTGTTCAGCATGTCGATCTTTGCCAGAAGTACTGCACAAGCAGCTATAAGGTCCATGAAAGTGATAATGTTGAGAACGCGAATGACGTTCAGGATCACGTACCCTGGACCGGCCAGGGATTCACGCAAATGAGCCATCATAACTGAGGCACAGCCTGCTACACTTGTTAAGAATGGTAGATACTCGATGCCGAGGGTGTATCGAGAAATGTCTGCTAGCAGACTTGGGGGGAAGGTTGGTATTAAAAGAGGGAAGAAAGCGACTGTCCAGCAGAAAGCTTGATATTCCAAGAAAGAATGGAACAATGCAATATAACGAGATCAACTCGAGGACAAGAAAAGAAGAATGAAACACAAAGACAAAGGAAACGGGATGAATGGGGGCGACAATGGAGAAACACCTGGAAGAATGGCTATTGAGGTGTAGCAGCCTAGACGTATACTCCCAACAAAGGCGATGGTATTTTTTTTCTATGAATAGACTTGAAACGTCTGCGTGAACCACATAAGTGGTGCGCATCTAATTAGAGTCCTGGTCAAAGAGATCGGCAGGGTTCTCTTTACCCCATCTCTGCAGTGGGAGAGATCCTGCAGGAGTTCATTGGTGCGATTCAGGCAATAAACAGGGACCCTTAGGCGCAAGATCGGGGTTGTAGCCAGAATAAGTCTAGTTATTTACTCCTCCAGCATTGGGATCTCAACTAGGGCTCGGTGTAGCCAAATGACTGGTGGTTAGTAGAGGATATTCGAATATGCTGAAACGAGTTGGCGGCTACAAGTCACCCTTCTTTCCCCTATATTCCCCGTGTTTTGTTTTCTTTTGTACCTAAAAGATCGGTTGTTCTCCCTGTATCTCGAATGTTCCAGGATATGCAGTAACATGCCTCTCTAGGCGCTAAGGGGAGAGGAGGCAAGGAACTCCGTCTCATCTTATCGAGTGACCACGAGGAGAAAATGAGGCACAATATGAGTCGGAGGAGAAATATACTGCTTATCTCGGACAAGCCTGATTACCTGTTGGGTATAGTTCAAAGAATTCTATATCGTACGTGTACCAAGGTGAGTACAGCATATGGTTGTTAGACAGGGGCTTTTAGGCGAAGCGCCAGGGTGAAGTATAAAGCCAGAGTCGAAACAAGGCAAGAATATAGCCCAATCATAGCCATCACATAGTCGCTGATCAAATTAGCCAATAGGCATAAAATAGTAAGAATTACTCCGATGGTAAACACGATAGTCAATTAAGTGAAGGTATACTGAACGATGAGTGGAACCCCCGTGATTCGCCGGAATCCAGCCGACCCCTCCAAACTTTTTTCTCTCACTCTCCAAACGTTTCGCGCTCACTACTCTCGGTACTCTTGCGATAATCTCACCATCACACAACATGACACGGGGTAACCAACGTGACAACGATCGGGCCAAGGCCCTGAAGAAGGCGGGCAATTCGGTTCGTCTTATCTCCCCCTTCTGTTTGCTCATACTGACCATTTCTACAGAAGAACAAGAATACCCAGACCGGTAGCGAATTCGCGAGGGCCAAGGAAGATGCCGCTGCCATCATGCGCGAGAAGCAGAGGAAGGGTGTGTATCATTGAAGGCGCTAGACGCAAGCCCAACCCACATGAGACTGGTTTACTGATCGCTTCTCTTCTACAGCGGACGAGAAGAGAGCTGCCGAGGCAGCGGCAGGCGGGAAAAAATAACACGCCCGAATCCTTAGATCCAAGCCGTCAGTCAATCTCATCTCCCTCCACCTTTTCCGCGATCGCCCGAAACGGACAACCCACCGAGCAGCATCGCAAAGTGTGCTACGAGTGAAGGACGGCGCTGGATTTATGGATAAGATCGGAACCATCCGCCTATGCCCATTTTCAAAAAACGGGGGCTGGGTGTCTAGCGAGGCGTTCATTTGAATCTCTTTGGCGTTTATCATATTTAGCCCAAACATGTATACCACAGCGCTAACCAAACGAGGCAACGACACATGAGAAATATCATGGAGGTGCAATTTGGTGGTAATCGTAAACGCGTAAACACATACATCCATATCATATCCGGTTATGTATCTTGCCCTTGATCTACGACCCAACATACTCTCGCCCGGGCTAGCCAGGTCTGCCATGACTTCTTCTGTCGACTGTCTTGAACCATTTGGCAATCAGGAGGTCTGGCTGCTTGATCGCAGTGCAACAGAATAATATCTTTGATCACACTTTCAAGCCCAAACTGCCTCGATACTTGGTCGACAAACGTCCAAAGGCTCTCGCCTTCCCATCCAACGTTAAGCGCAAACTTGACCACTCTCTCAAGAGCGTTGGCTCGATTCTGTTGCTCTGGAACATTGCTCAGCATGTAGAGGGCGAAGCTCCAACCCGATATATCGCGTGGGTTAGCCAAGCACCAATCAACCACCCGTTCGACAACTGACTGCGCAGAATGGGTTTCCCATGTCGATTGCCCAGGTGTATTCGCTGTAGCAGCGAGAAGAACATCCAACTGTCGCATATAGCTGAAAGCATAATAGTTCTTGGGATGCAGCTCTCCAGCGCGGAGAACAATATCTAGTTCAGTCCTTCGCAGCTTAGACAGGTCCTCAAGACCCCAATGCCGTTTTTGAAGCAGATAGACAACCACCCACAGGCGGTGATGCCAGAGGGTCGGCGACTTGGTATGTCGATGGAGTGGCGAGCATTGGTAGCTCGACATGAGCGTGAGTTCTGCTTCTAACAACTCTGCGGCAGAGGTCTGGTTTGAAATACCAGGGTAGGCCATGGCCGCCTGCAGTCGGCGCTTGCGCCAGTTGCAGGCCGTGAGATGCTCGCAGTCAAAGAGGAGCATGATTTCTGTAATAGCCGAGTCTGCGATTCTGGACTGGGCGTTTGTCGTAAAGGTGGTTTGAAGGTCATCTTCGGACATGGGCATTAATCGGTCGAAGAAGAGTTGGCGCGCGACCGTGAAGGCCTGCACTAGCACCTTCTTGGTTATTCCCACTGAGCATCCATCTTGGAGGAACGGAACGCCTAGGCTTGATGGAAGGATCTCGATCTCGAGGACTTGGTTGTCTCTAGATGAGAAGATGCGGACAAGTTCCTGGAATGCATCTTTCGGGTTGGACATCGGAGGGCTTGGTTGTTTGGCGAATATGGAAAGGTACAACCGTCAAAGCCTCATCATATTTTGTTTGATTGTAATATTTCTGTATTTTATTGTCTTGCCATGCTATAGGCAACGTGATAGACAGGATGGTGTAGTGCGTGATACTGTGAAGGCGGAAAGGCCGAGTCCGCTGTTATTTCCACCTTTCCACAACGTCATTCACACCTTCAACCACATCTATCTTGTCAGGACATTTCCAATCTCATCCAGCAGAGCTACCAGACACTCACTTAGTCGGCCGACTGTGCCGCTCTCACTATCTTCCAGGCTCCCTTAGCCTGCGCCGTCGCATTCAACGCTTCATCCCGGTCTTGCCAGTCCCCGCTACAATGTTGTCCCTCGTCCTCACAGTCTTTTTCTTGCACGTCGCAATTTTCCTGGTCAATACGGTCGGCGCGAGTACCGTCGATGGTCTTGTATGTCTCCAATCCACCCATCTCTGGCCTCGGCATAGTTTCCCAGCTCCGCCGCGCACCTACATTGTAATTCCACACGCTAACACCTACTCTCTTTGCAACACAGCTATGGCTCCTTTATCTAAAACTGCCGACCTCAACCTCGCGGACTGCACGGAAGCAGCAGGAGCTGAAGCGCCAGGTCCTCGAGCAGAAACACGAAATGAACAGCACAAGCTCCCAGGATGAGTTTGCGAAGTGGGCGAAGGCTAGAAGACGACACGACAAGACTATGGAGGAATACGAAGCGCTGAGTACGTGTCACTACTACAAGACTACAGGAGACGTTGTTATATCTGTTGAGCAGACTGCTAACACTTTGGTTTCTAGACAAGACCCTCACCTCTAAAAAGTCCTCCTTCGACTGGACCGTCAAGATCGCCCGCTGGATCAGCACAAACGGATTGAAGATGTTCCTCCAATTCTGGTACTCGAAAACGCCTGTTTTCCCGCTTCCCGAGGCTTGGTTCCCCTACTATGTTGAATGGATCGTGTCCTTCCCTCGCGCCCCGCTTGGATCCGTCAGCATCCAGGTATGGAGCAATGTCTGTGCGACTAGCATTGCGTTCGCCGCCGAGCTTGTAGGAGCACTGCTGGTGCAGGTGGCTGGCCAGAAGAAGGAACCCAAGGAGGATGCGCCTGTCGGTGCTGAGGGCATCAAGGCCCAGTGAAAAAAAATCCCCCCCAAAAAAAACAAGAGCCTAGCTATGTGGCATGTAGAACGGCTGTATTATATATACGAAGTGAAATTCTACGATTTAGTTATGAATACTGCATTTTAATCATTCATTTCAATTGCATTGGTATTTTGGAAACTGTTCGAACTGAAAAGCTGGCTATGTAGAATGTTCATCAGATAATTTTAAATCGTTTATCGTCAACAACCCCTTGGGATCTCTGTGCTTGACTCTATGATTGGTATATCATCACGCGAACAAAAAAAAACGAAGCCTATGGCAAGATATAAGAGTCCGGCCCCTGTGACAGGGCTTCTGCAATGAGACAGAATCTCATCACCGCTTTGCCATAAGCTACAGACTCCTGAAAAGAAAAGATCAAGGAACTCCTCGCCTCAAGAATGAGCCCCATTGAGTTACCTCCATCGACTTCCAAAGAAGCAGACAGGAGGCAATCGCATGACTATCCGAACATGACGAAAGGCAACCCAATACAAGAAAAGGTGTTTGACCACCAATCCTTCCCCCCTCCAGTACCCAGCACGCACCCCATTGTTTCCAGAGACATCGTGAAATGTAACCGTCGGGTGGCACGGGATACCGTGAGAGAATAGGGCGTAAGCCGCTATCGAATTGCTTCTATGGCGGCGCGTTTCCGCATTGCCTGACTTGGTACTTTGGTTTTACCCAAAGTGCAGGGTGTCCGGGGACTTTCTCCCAAAGCGAGATTGAAAAGGGAGCGAGGCTTCCTTTTGTGTGTGAGCTTTGAATGCGATTCTTTGAGCGAGGAGTTGAAGAAAAAGAAGAAGTGGAATCTTCGAGGAGAGGGTTTTATTTTTTCTCGCACTGGTCAGGTGATGTATGCTAGGCTTAGTTGAGACTAGCGCGAGTGGCATCGGCTTAGGGCTATGTTCCGAAGGAATATATCCAGAAAGTAAAGTATCGAGCACAAACGCCTGGGGAAATGCTAATTTTAATACTGCTACGGAAGACAGGAAGGTACCGTTTTAGAGAGAGACAGAGATAATATCCTGGGGCGAAGAGAAAAGTCCTTTCAACCGGCATCCCTATCAACGACTACCATACTTTTACTTTTGTTGCATTTAGGATTTGAATGATAATACTGAAAGAAATTTATTGATCAAGGGAAAAAAACACAATGCATTTGGGGAAAAAGGCTTGATGAATGAAATTAGAAACAATTTTCAGATAATCCCTTTTACGCCTTGGACTTTGTCTTGGTGGCCTTCTTAGTGACCTTTCCCTTCGCCTTGGTGGCAGGAGACTTAGCAGCCGGTGACTCTGTAGCAGCCGCCTTGGGTGTCTCCTTCTTGCCCTTCTTGACCTTCTTGGAGGTATCATCGGTAGGGACAGGAGCCTCAACGGGGGCTTCAACGGGAGCTTCAACAGGGGCTTCAACGGGAGCAGGGGCCTCGATGGCCTTGGCAGGCTCCTCGGTGGCAGTGTCAGTGGGCTCAGCGGCCTCGACAGCCTTGGGGGCCTCTTGGATGGGGACATCGTCGACGCTCTTCAGTTGGGGAAGATCAAACTCGTAACCAAGGGCCTTCTTGAGCTTCTCCTGCTTGTCCTGTCTCTTCTTCTGCTCGGACTCGATACTCTTCGACCACTGGTCACGTGTCTTGCCCTTCACAAGACGCTTCTTCTCGATGCGGTTCCATGGCGTAACCTTGAAGCGACGGTTGGCGCCCTTCCAAATCTCAGGGTGCAGCTGTTCTTTGGGGACGAACTTGCACTTGACGATGTGGCCATACATAAGGTAGTTGTCCATTGTATCGGCGACGATCTTGGCAACGGTGGTCGAGGAGAATTCAATGAAAGCGTAGTGCTTGGAGCGGCCGGTGAGGCGGTTGCGCGAAAGACGGAGTTTGGTGATTTCGCCAAATTGGGAGAAGTAGGCCTTCATCTGGTGCTCGTAGAAACCGTGGGGGATACGTCTGGAAATGAAATGTTAGATGGTTCAAAATGATCATGAATTACGGTCGAAACTCACCCAATGTAAACAGTGCCGGGCTCCTCGGGGGGGCCGTTCTTGCGCAGCTCCTTGGCCAGCTTGCGCTCGGCCTTCTTGGTATCTGGGGCCTTGGGGATAGGTTCACCCTCTTTGTAACCCTCACCATCAGACTCGTCCTCGTCGCCACTGCTCTCGAAGCCCTTGATCAGAGCCTCAGTCTGGTCGTCATCACCCTCGTTCTCAGCCTCACTCTCATCAGCAGGGGAGACATCCTCCTCGGCATCTTCCTCTTCGGACTCAACGACGGGCTCGGCCTTCTTGGGCTTGGGGGCAGCCTTCTTCGCGGCGGCCTTCTTGGGAGCGGGGGTGGCCTCAGCCTCCTCCTTCTTAGACTTTTTAGCGGCAGCCTTCTTGGAAGCGGGCGCGGCCTCGACCTCCTCCTTCTTGGACTTTTTAGAAGCGGGGGTGGCCTCAGCCTCCTCCTTCTTAGACTTTTTAGCGGCAGCCTTCTTGGGCGCGGGCGCGGCCTCGACCTCCTCCTTCTTGGACTTCTTAGCCGCAGGCTTCTTCTCGGCCTTCTTGTCGGCCTTCACAGGCGCAGTTGCCTCTTCGGGCTCCTCGTCGGTGAGGAAGTCGGCAGCACGCTTGCGAGGCTTGACCTGGCGAGTGGGCTCGCCATTGGTCTTGGCCGGCGCAGCAGCCTTCTCTGCCTTAGGCTTGGTGCTCTTCTCATTCTTCTTCAAGATAGACTTAGGAGCAGCCTCTTTGGTTGTCTCATCAGGCTTAGCCTCGACCTTCTTGGTCTTTTTGGCGGGTGAATCGGCGGCGACAGGCGCAGCTGTAGTATCGTTAGTGAAAGGAAAGAGAATTTCGCCAACCAAAACCATTGTACATACCCTTGCGCTTTGAAACTCTCTTATCGGGAGCCATTTTGAGGTTTTGTTGTGTTGAATTGAGACTGTACGCTGCCCGATCATCTGCGGGAAACTTTTTTTTCTTCCCTGATTTGCTCGGAAGGCGGTGAGCCGCCTCAACCATAACCACAGTCACCGCCAAGATGTCTAGTTACTTACTACAACGCCAAATAGGTCAACGTCATGGGAAAGAATAAAAAAAAAGTGACCTTGACCCATGCAGAGGTCTGGGATGATTCTGCCCTGGTTCAGTCCTGGGACGATGCTGTCGAAGAATACCAGGTCAGGCACCAAATGTCCAATTCACGTGACCAATATCTAACCTGACCGCAGCATTATTGGAGCATTCACGCCAAGGGTGAAAATGTTGAGGATGTCTTGAGAGCAACGGAAGACACTGGTGTTGTTCCGGCTATACATGACAGTGACATTCAAAGCACCAAACCTGTTGAGGATGGTGCCAACAAAACCCAGAATGAGGATGTCTCGATTGTTGACGAGCAGATTTCTGAGCCTGTTCCCGAGGTATATTGCCATTTTAATGTTGTATTCTTCTACAAAGGACTCGCTGACAATATATAGCCTTCTCAACCCGTGGCTGCTGCCAGTCCTGCGGTTTCCACGCCTGCTATGCCGATGCCTCACCCAATCATGGCAAATGGTATGCTCCACGTTCGGGATATGGTGATTCATGGAACTAACATATATCTGCAGTCCAAGATGAGTCGTTGAAGCACCTCATGATGTCATGGTACTATGCGGGCTACTATACGGGACTTCATGAAGGGCAACAACAGGCAAGCCGCGACCAGAGGTCATGATGCGACTATGGGCTGATAATGAGAGGGAAGGTGTTTTGGTTGAACAAGCACATTTAAGGATACATTTTTACCAAATACAGGTTGGGAAGGAGACATAACGGACAAATTATTGAACTAATCATATCAAATTAATCGTGAAATTTATCAAGGATCTCATTGGCCATTCCCCTTGAAAACAACATAAAAGAAAAAAGCGAATATCGACCAGCCAGTGTTTACCAAGAGAGAATTGCGTTCATCGCAGTCTGCAGCACTCTCATATTCAGTTTAATACATGGGGGCTTGATCATTGGTAAATCAGAGACCGCCTCCAGCACCACCGAGAAGACCACCGATGAGGGGAAGACTGCCCAAGGCGTTAGGCTGAGATGTTGCCTTGTGGGTGGGAGTAGCAGTTGGGGTCACGAAATTGCCGGAGGAAAGTCCCTTGGTAGGGGTGGCAGTGGGCTTGTCACCAGCTGCCTCCTTATCGGCCAGCTTCGCGGCAACCTTGGCCTCCCCCTGTTTAGCCTCCTCCTTGCTGGCCTGCTGCTGCTGCGCCTTGGATTCAGCGGTGTCATTATCCTTTTCGTTGCTATCCTTGTTGTCAAGACCATCCATCAACTTAGATGCATGCTGAGTTCATTGGTTAATAAAAAACTTCTCATAGGAACTTTGACATAGCTAACTAACCATCAATTCCTTGAGAGTGCCATCGAGGCTGAAAGGTTGAGTAGCAGCTTGCTCATCACGCTTGGTAGGCATGGAGAGGGCGAAGACCGCAAGGACCAAAAAAATGGAGATGAAGGAGAGACTGAAACGAGCCATTGGGAATGGTGATGTATGTTAAGTAGGTTATAGATAGAAGGAATGAATATATGTCCAAATACTTGTCTTCAAATGAATGTAGTAGAAAATGAGTGATTGTTGCAAATGGACAAGATGCTGAGAGAAACAGAGCCCTGGGCTCTGGGGAATTACGTGGGATTTATATGCAGCCCCTTCGATCCACATCATGGAGGGAATGGAAGGCCAAGGGGGGCTAGGGTGAAGAGTCTTGTTACGACTAGCTACCGCGCGTCTTCACCTGGTATTCGGACTCCTTCTGGGATAAACAGCAATAGTATTACCTTGTTTATTTTATCAGGCCTCCGGCCATACTCAATGGCTGTTTCGGGAGAGAGGGATTTGATGATTTGTAGATTGTATGGGCATTAACGCCATCTACTATGAAGTATATCTGTTGGAGCCAATGATTGGTGTGGGATCAATCAAGGGATATCCGATGATAGTGAATCGTGAACAAAAGCCAGAAAAAGCGACCAAGGCTATGCGGACCACGCCTCAAGACGAATCGTGTCGCATTCCATGTTCAAGTCTCAGAGTTGCAAGAATTTCATACTCAAGTCTGACCGTCATACCCGAGCGAGCGCTCAGTAATTTCGATGCTGGCTTTGGTCAAACAGATTCTGAGGCGCTGTGCAGGTTTCACGAGCTTTCTATTGACAACTTCAGTCATGCCCTATTGCTACTCAAAATGCAGGGGAAATACTCTCACAGGGATGGCGAAGTAGGTCTTCGATGAAGGGTTGCTGCGAGTCCCTAGCAAGGACTGATGTGAGATGCAGATCTACAGCATTCCACAACGACGGAGCATATTTGTGTTTTCTCCGATATCAGTAACAAGCTTTTTGGAATAAGATTCAAAATTTATAGCTGTTTACAAGGAATGTATCTCCCCTACTTTTGACACCACAGCCCCATAGAGGGAGCGGACGTAACAAGTGGGAGTCTCCAGAAGGACGTATCCAACTGTGAGGGCTTAGTGTAGGCATCTTTTTGACCTCAAACATCAAGATATGACGGACAAGACTTCGAAGATGCCAATGCTTTCTACATCTATCTAGCTGTGTTAGTAAATCAAAGACGCGAATATGGCCATCCCTGTCTGGAGGAAATGACCATGCAAGTTGCAAGAACATATGCCTCGCAGGGTTGAAACACAACATCAAGAGTTCAGGGCCAGCCAAAGCTGGCCCCTGCGAGTAAACACCGGTTGCAAAAGCATAAAAGTCTGCAAGACTAAATCGCAAGGTTCATATCAATACATAGTTGGGAATGTTGGCTCAAAAGCGAACCCGTTCCCCTCTGGCTGCATGTCAGGGGGCGGGATTAGAACGAGCATTCTTCGGTCTGGGTCCCTAAACTGAAATATGTAGATAGAGTGAGATTGTTCCATCGACAAGAGTGTGTTGGGGACCGTGTATATGTTTTGAAGTGAAGAAGAAAGGAAAAGAGAAAGCGGATCGCAAAATTTTATTCGACGGGGCCAGTAGCGCGGATTATGTCATGGTCACGTGGCTGATCTGGCAACCTCTGTGTTGCGATTTCAATTTGTCAACTTGGGAATCTAATGGGCTGTCAAATCTCTCAAGTCTTTTTTGCTGTGACTTGATAAATGTTGCATAATGTGTTTGAAGATACAGGGAAAGTGCAGGTGGGCGATATATATCCATGGATGGATAGAAACATGGTTTCGAATAATGAAGGAAGGAATCAACCGATCTAACAATTAATGGCTCGCAATACTTTCCTGCGACCCTCTATCGCACACACATTCATGTTTTCGACCTGTGAGAATGAAACCAGCAATTCAATTTGCAATATCTGCAACAGGTTGGGACAGCCGGCCCCGCGGTACCCACGCTGTCGCTGGAGTGAAGAACCACGAGATGAGCGCGAAGATAGTCACAATAGCCATGATAATTGGCGCATCTGGAAATATATTAGCACAAAGTCTCTTCCAATGGCTGCTAGTTTCGCGACAAGACGACACCTACAATTTAGCGTCGAGGCCTCAACCGGGAATTCATATGGTGAGAAGAGTACCGCAACAACCCAACCGTTCCACAAAACCGATATGAGTTGGAACGGCTTGCTTAGTCGCCCGAGAGACCATTTAGCCTCAATCTTCTCACCCGAGGTCAAAGTCAACCTTCCAAGACTAATGAGCCCATATGCCGCAGCTGAAGGAACACCCGCAGCTGAGACCAGAGAAGTAAATGCCACTCCGGACGGCAGGATAGTGCAGGTAATAATCGCGGCCACACCCCACACAACAAGGACTGCGTTCCTAGGTTGACCCTCGTTAGAAACCCGCGATACCCATCCAGATAGTGGGAGTACTCCGTCACGGGCGACGGCGAAGACAAGACGGGAGGCTGCTGTAATGGCGATGGCGGTATTCTATCAGATAGGTTAGCATGTCCTCTTACATCGAGCATTTGTTGTCAGTTGTAGGAAAGAGCAATCGAAAACATACTAGCCATAAAGCTACGACAGAGAGAACGTTCATAAAAACATGTCCGCCTTCACCCAGAAGTGCAGCATACAAGGGCACGAAAGGTTGGGGTGCGTTATATGAGAAAAGAACATCGATTGGCGGCTGGCAATTGTTAGTTTATGGGTCTATATAAAAGTTCCTGAATAGACTTACCGATGTGAAAAGGAATAAGATCACGGCAGAGAAGCCAAGAACTCCACTGACGATTGTACTCCAGAAGATACCCTTAGCGGCATTGACGGCGGCATTCTTCGTCTCTTCGGCAACATGACCGGAGGCATCAAATCCGATCAGAATACCTGCTGTGGCCAGATATGAAAGACACCAGTTCCAACCAGCTGGAGCTCCCGTTCCGTTATATGTAGTCATGAAAGCTTCATGAGCAGTCCGCAGGCCGAAGGTGTTGTGCGCACCGATTGGAAGCCAGACGACGTTCAATATGAAGTCCAGAAAGACAGCACCGGTTGAGAACCAAAACACGTATTTGAATACTCGCGCTGTACAATTGAATCAGCATTGCAGGCCAAGATTAAGAGGTGAGCCCATCATTCTAGGCCATCTATGAGAGTGTACATACCAGATGCGAGGTTCATCAATGCGGCTAAAGCCAGGAGGATTTCGGTGCAGATCCATTGGACAGCGCGAAACTTGATATTTGAGACATCGGTGGGAAAGTCGACATTGAAAACAGTCAATTCCTAAGTCAAATTAGTTCAGAGTTGACACTGTCAGATATAACAACATGATACCCACCGAAAGCATGTAGTTCACAGCTGACTGGGTATTGCCTATCATTCGTCAATCAGTCAGTTCAGATATGGACAACAATGACACGCAAGAGACATACTGGCACAAAATGTTGTCCAAGCCGTTGTGCTCCACCAGGCTACAACGAAGCCAAAGAGTCGCCCAAATCTTTTACCACCTGCCTCCGCAGCCCAGAGATAAATCGAACCAGCAGAAGGAGATGCCGAACACGCTTCTGCGATCACAGCTGCTGTGATGAATGTAAACACACAGGTTATAATATAACTCGTCCTAATATATAGGTTAATAAAGCCACCTTATTGCGCTTGAATCGGTTCGGGATCATTACCAATAAGCCAGTGGCCCTCCAGCTGCGATACCCGTCGTGAATGTCACACGAACTCCACCGACGAAATATAGAGCAGCTAATAGAAACAGTTAGTGACCAAGAACAAGACGCCATGCGCAGCAATAGATACCAAACGAGGTTGAGAAATTCTCAAAAAGTGAATAGCTGCGGTTAAGAACCTATGTCGGGAAGTATCAAGTCAGCATATAGTTCTCGAATCGAAGATTTATATCATTCCACTCACTTGTTTATACCCTAGACGCTCCTATGAGAGACAACAGATGTTAATTCGTGCTATATCTCCGTTGCACATAGAGGATACCATACCAAAGTATTCTCATCACTGGCATTCACCTCCTGCGCCAAAAATTCTTCAGTATTCTTAAGATCATCCATGGCTGCGAGGTGCGAAAGTGGATTGTGTATGGTTCTTGACTCGATTCTACCAGGGGCCCGAGTAGAATAAGTAGGAAGTCAGGGGAAAAGACTACAATCACATTATTTACTAGCTTTCGCACGATTCGACATCAATAGAGCTAGAATTTTTAGGCTGTACAAATGTGGACCTCGGCTCTTCAATGGGAAAATTGTGAATGGCGCGAGATTATGCCACAAACGGTCGCGGTGGTGTTATCCTGGCGCAAAACCACTACAACGGGAAAAATCGAGCAATACGGCAGGTACAAGCGATGTGTTGCTTAGGGCCGACCGTATATAATTGTTTCTTATAAAGGCATCTGTAACTTCTTTGGTTATCGGTGAAAATCGTGAAGTGAGATTCTAGAAATCATGTCATTCCTGATTTGGGGCATTCTTAGTGCTCTGGTAGCTGTTATATGGGTATGCTAAGAGGCCTAAGACTGCTGTTTAAGAGAACCAACTGATCGTTTCCAAAGCTTGTCCATACGTACTTCTTTTCTCCTCTGTCGCATATTCCAAACGCCAGTCTACTTGCGCCGATATCGCGCTTACTATGGGAATTCCCCACGGAATATCAAGGACATCTGACTTTGGAGCTACCAAAGCTACACAAGCGGCTTGGTAAGTTCTAGTTCTAACACTGATTTTACTATCTTTCAAACGTGGGGATCCAAGAATGGTTGGCCGACAGAAAAGCAACACTTCAATCTTGGGACAAATTCTCACGACTTTCAAGGTCCTTTGGTTCGAATAGGTCCAAATGAAGTATCTTTCTACTCGCTCGATATTTACAAGCGCGTACATGCGCCAGCCAGTAAATTTGTCAAGGATCCTCGAGTCTACAGCCAGTTCGTTCAAGATGGACACCCAGCTCTTTTCTCAATTACGTGAGTGAATTATCAAGACGAGGAATAGAAGGTTACTAAATTGCTTCTATAGAGACCCAAAAGAACATGCACAAAGGCGCCGGCACATGGGTGTTCTCTTCAATCGAAGCAAAGTGCCCCTTCTCACGCAGATGATGGTAGATGAGATATCGAGATTTAATATCTTGCTTGAAAAATTAAGCCAGGGACCTTTCGATTTGGTTACTACCTGTCGAGCCCTTGAAGCAGACATTGTTTGTAAGTGAATATCCGGTAAATCACCACGGCGAATTTTTGACGTGATGTCTCTAGCAAGATTCGCGTTTGGAAGCTCTATTGGGTCCATTGACTCGTTGATGGGAGGAAAAGAACTACAAATCATCAAAGAAAACGACCTAAAGTCATCAAAAATGTCACTGGTATGTACCATGATTGCACTAAAGATCACGCTGATATAAGTTCTCAGCACACCAACCTTCCCACTATAATGAGAATGTATGGTAGGATTTGTGAAGTAACTTCTCGAGTTACCGGCTGGGGTGGCCCATCGACCTCAAGCAAGGAGTTTGAAGATGTGCGTATAACCAAAAGCTCAAAGATATTCCCATGTTGAAATCCTAACGAGTATTCCAGTGGGCAATGGAGCAGCTGAAACTTGCAACAGACTCTGAAAAAGCACCCGAGGCGTCATTTCTGAAGGTTCTGGCGGGGGAAAGAATTTCTCCAGAGTCTGCCTTGTCAGAAGGCAAGGAGATGTTAGGCCCTGGCACTGATACAACCTCCGCCACGCTCGCGCATATACTGTGGGCACTATCCCTCAACCAGACCTTGCAAAATGATCTTGTTTCAGACTTGAAGGCTGCGAATTGGACCACCGATATGACGGAACTCGAGTCTATACCAAGACTGACAGCTTGCGTGAAGGAGGGAATTAGATGGACTGGAGCGGCATCAGCCATGCTACCCAGAATTGTACCGACGGGAGGATCGTTGCTTGCTGGAAAGCATATTCCTGGCGGTGTAAGCCCCCTTACCAAAAAAGTATTGTTATTTGGCTAATAATTTGCAGACTATGATTTCCAGCTCGCCTATCTGGTACCTACATGATGAGACTGCTTTCCCTGAGCCTTACTATTATCGGCCTGATCGATGGCTCGAGAAAGAGAGTGAAGACTCGACTGTTCTGCGCAACGATTATTATATCCCGTTTTCCAAGGGTCCCAGTACCTGTATTGGCAATCAGTAGGTGATAATCTGATATTGGCGTGCACATACAGTTATTTTCAATTTGCTGACCCAGAAAACAAATAGCTTCGCATATTTGGAACTTTACCTATCTGTCTCCCAGATCTTAAAAAAGTATCATATTCAACAACTGGAAAAGTCCAACGATGTTGAAGCAATCCTTCCCCCACGACGAGAATGGGTTGCTGCGGTTCCTATCGGGAAATTGCAGGTTGTTATTTCAAAAAGACTCTAGGAAGGATGATCCCGACAATGCTACTCAATGAATGATCTACGGAGAAAGAGGGTATAAATCTATAAATGGAGTGGACGGAAATATGGATACATGCTAAGATGTAGAATTTTCAAATATTCATTCTGACTCGAAGTTCTGGAGATCAATAAATCCAATCAACTCAATATTCCCGCACTCTGGATTTATGTGGATGATTCTGTCTGCCCTGTTCGCACACACCAATATCAAGATTAAAGCGTACTTCGAATGACAAAGCACGATCATAAGCACGAGGAAGTACAACGTCTCTCATAGGAATCGAGCAACGATAGAGGTGGGCGGTGGGCGTGGCATGATTATGTTGCTACTTTATACTCTGTATAGTAGCAATTTATCAGACATTTTCAAGAGAAAGGAGGTATTAGCAAATTACTATAAGGGGATATTGGTGAAACGAGATCAAAGCAAGAGCGAAGACAGAAAAATAAGACATAATGTGGAAAATAATATAGTGTATTACCACTAGGCAACAATAAAAACCATAACTAGTCTCTATTTATGGCTTTTAGAGGGCTATATTTGTCCTGACTTATGAGACAACAAGGACTCCTATGGTTCTAATATCTGATTGTCACTGTAGGCCGATAGTACAATATATATAGAACCACTTATCAGATGACACTACTCCGCAGGAATGAACGCCAAACATAACAGGGTCAAGGGTAAAGCCAAAATAAAACACATGTTCATCCACATCTAAACCTCTCGGCACTTCTCCTGCAGATCGTGCAGATCTTGCAAATAGGGGTGATATTCACACCTAAGGCACCAACATTCCCGCATGATCCGAAATATCTGAAATATCAACGCGGAGGCAAAAGAAATGAAGACACATATAATTGCATGAATTAATATACAAACATGGGCCGAAAAGTACAAAGATCACTTATCCAACTAATCTTCTTTCTCTGCATCTTATTTTTCATCCTATTCTTAAACCGCCCGCAATCAACCAAGGACAAACTCTTTGCCTGGACCAAAGTCCGCTACCAAACAACCTCATCCATCATCCCAGAAGCCCGCGGAGTTTGCCCCGGCCTAGCAGAATCAACCAAACCAGCCCTGATAGTCTCCCATGTCTCGTCGGACGGCGACCCGTCCTGGCTAGAGCCGCTCCGCACCCAGTACCATGTATGCATGTACCAAGTGGACGCGCCGGCAGACAAAACCTCCAAACTGCTCCAAGTCCCCGCAAACCGCGGACATGAAGCAATGGCCTACTTAACCTTCCTAATCGATAATTACGCGGACATACCCTCCGCCGGCGCCGTCTTTGTGCACGGCAGCCGCTGGGCTTGGCACAACGACATCCCGGACTACGACAACGCCGCACTCCTACGCAGCCTGGACATCCACGCCGCACTGAAAGCCGGGTACAGCAACCTGCGCTGCGACTGGAGCGCCGGCACGTGTCCTTCTTCCGTGCCCGCGCAGGGCAGTCTCGAGACGAGGCTGTCGAGCGCCGTGTCGCCGTGGAGTGCGCGCTCGGCATCGGATCTCGCACTGCCGGAGGCGCTTGGCCAGATCTTTGGCGGGGATGCTGATGCGCGTGTCGAGGAGATTACCAGTGCTGTCCATCTTTATCTTGGTCGGCAGGATGCCGTTCGCGCGCAGTGCTGTGCGCAGTTTGTGGTTTCCCGCGAGCGCATCTGGCAGCATGCTCAGAGTGAGTATATTGCGCTGAGGCAGTGGCTGCTGGATGGGAGTGATGATGGGGTTTCGCGGAATGTGTATCGGGAGTCTAGGGCTGCGCCTGGTGATGACCGTATAGCCGGGCGGATTGTTTCGTACATTTGGCACATTCTTTTTGCGGACCATGCTGGTGAACGGGGAATTGATCTTGACCGGTTGAATCGCGATTCTTGTCCTAGTGCTGCTGAGTGCTATTGTCGGTTATATGGCAAGTGTGATTTGAAGTGCCGGGGTCCGGGAAGCTGTAAAGGGCAGTATTCTGTGCCGAAGGACTACAGGCTCCCCGAGGATTGGGAGAAGACGCATTCATGATTCATGATTTCTTTTGCGGTTTAGGAAACTTGTTTATAGAATAAAATCTTAACATTTTGGGCATATAGATGGGATAGATTAGGGTGCATTTTAAAAAAAAATTGGATATCGTTCATGTCAGTCTGGTTGAGTTATGTACAAATTGCTTGGCCAAAACGGTGTTTAGCTGTGCCTCTAGAACCTGGCAAGGACCCGCTCTTGGGTATCTGACAGGGCATACTGAGAGCTGTGCGTCTTGCTCACGACGGACTTGGCCTGCTCGGCAGTGAAGCCCTTAGCCTCCACAGCTGGGTTATAGCCCAAACCGTTGATTTTGCCAACGACGTCTGATGTCACAGCCGTGGCGGCCTTGCCATCAGTACGCTTGTAGACGGTGACGACAACGGCACCGCCCAGACCGAGGTTGTGCTGCAGTGCCGCGGAAGTACCGTCAACCAGGCGATTGTTGGCCCAGCCACGCAGGTGCCAGACCAGCTCAGCACACTGCGCAATACCCGTAGCACCAAGCGGGTGACCCTTGGAGATGAGACCGCCAGATGGGTTGATGACCATCTTTCCGCCGTACGTGATATCGCCACGGCGGACCATCTCATGGGCCTGGCCGGGTTCACTCAGCTCCAGCGCATCAATAGTAATCATCTCATTGGCCGAGAAGCAATCATGCAGCTCGCAAACCTTGATATCCTTGACATTCACGCCGGCCTCGGCTACGGCAGTGCGGCACGCCCGACGCGTCATGCCGAAGCCCATCAGGTCAATGGAGCTCTTGCTGTAGACTGTGTCGTCATCGGTGGCTAGACACTGACCGGCGATGAGAATGGCATGTTCTTTCAGGTGGGGACGCGCATCGAGGAACTCCTGCGAGACAATAACGGCGGCGGCACCGCCATCCGAGGTTGGGCAGCACTGTAGCTTGGTCAGAGGCTCGTAGATCATGGGCGCGTTTATGATCTGCTCGAGGGTATATTCGGTCTGGAATTGCGAGTAGGGGTTCCGCTTGGAGTGCTCGTGGTTGATGCGGGCGATCTCGGCGAAGTCCTCGTTCTTAGCACCGTACCTGTTTTTCGCATGTTAGCATGATATCCTTTCTTGTTACTCCAGAGGTTGTGTACTTCTCCTTATATTCCCTACCTGCGTTTCCAAACATCTGTGCGGCACCGGGCGCGTTCGTCATACCTCGCGTCTCGGCCATCATCTTCCCAAACAGTGACGTTGGGTTCTCCCGATCGTTGTACATGGATTGCAAGCTACCGGGGTTCATCTTCTCGAAGCCGACGACCAGCACACAGTCCGCAACACCATGGGAAACCATATTGCGGGCCATGGCGAGGCCAGTCGAGCCGGTCGAACAGTTGTTGTTGACGTTGTAGATAGGGATGCTGGTCTGGCCGAACTGGTAGAAGACGCGCTGGCCGCAGGTGCTGTCGCCGTAGACGTAGCATGCAATGCCCTGGTCAACATCGTCATAGTTGATCTTGGCGTCGAGCATGGCTTTAATACCAGCCTCATAGCCGAGCTCATGGTAGTCGACCTTACCGCGTGGCTTGATGAACTTGGTCATGCCAACGCCCAGTACATAAGCGGGGGTTCCTTGCTTCTTGCCCATGGTGTATATGTGGGTTGATTTATCAGAGATAAATTTAGGTGGAGTTGGTATAGGTTCGACTCGAGAAGCGAGGCCTCATAAATAAGAATCGGCGGGATATGTGGAGAGCTCAACATAAAATTGCGGGGAAGGACCGAGGTCCCGAGGAACCGAAGAGGGTTGGATGCCTGATTTTCAGCTATTGGTGCCTGATTCATGCCGGCAAAGTACTCCGCCACCGATCATCCCATGGTAGGGTGAAGGATACACACAAGTCATTTGACGCTGTGGTTCGATTCTTCCGGCAACAGTGACACAACATATCGTTACAATCTCTGCTCATTGGATTGCAGAGGTATTCTATACCATCTTTAAGCAATTCAAGGCTAGTACTAACAACCTTGGAACATTCAAGTATGCATCCCGTACCATGTGTGTACATGAGGTCAATATTCAATCCCGGTTATCATCCCATCTCTATGACGGAGATCGGCCGAATGTAAAATAAGCTTATACTGCATGGATATACAGTGCTACTGCAAATGTTTCCGTAAAATTGTAGTCTACCTAGGAAACTTTAAAAAGGTGAGAAGGGGTCTATAAAGAAGACGTCTAGGAAGACTACCAAAATGACATGACAAGGTCGCATAAGTGGCCGAATATTATGATTCAATCGACTAGAAAGGGCCGAGGTAGTCGATATATATATTTGAGCAGATTAACGGAAACTTTTGCATTGTGACTATATATTGCCTGAGGTGACTCGATTACCTCAATACTCTTTGGAACTTGGTTGACAATTTTAAGTATAATAACCTCCAAATTAAGCTATAAGTAGGAATCTATTCAGACGAGGAGTAGAGATCTCATGTGAAAAGAGACCGGGACGTACGAGACAATCACAAGGTTACTATTACAATTCATCTCTTCAATTCTAATCTAGTTGATTCTGGTAGCACAGTTTGAGCCAGGCGTCGACAATCATGCAATCGATCAGTTGATATTTTGACTACTACATATGGACGTTCTATGAGCCACATTCCAGCTAATCCTTCTAGCCCTAGCAAGGGAGGCAATGAAGTGTTGCTCAATGATCTGCAGCATCACCCAACCACGGCAATGTTTGTATTTGAGGCTGTAATCTGGGTTACAATAATTCCATGGTTTCGACTGATGCGATTAATGGGTGGTCATGACCCTAATCCCTGCGTGGGGCCCCGAGCTCGTCACGGAGTACCGTCCTCCACATATATTGCACTGATTACCATGATCCATGGTCTAACCTGCGATGATCTCCCCGCTTTAAGTACTCCATACATCGTAAAGTATCATGCTTGTCTCTACCTATCTCTACACGAAATATAAAGAAGTGATGATCAGACCGCGACCGGTAAATGTCCCTCGGCGGTGCCGAGGCTGGAAATAAGATAAAATATGATCATGATCTCTGCATGGATATACATACAAAGTACGAAGTAGTCAATTAAACAATGCGAATGTTCAAACAATGCCAGTATTCACAGAAGAAGTCCTGTTCTGTTCACAACGACGTCACTCTGTTTGGCCCTAAACCCCTTTGAGCGCCTGAGCTAAGCTCGGTCCACATGCCATTTTGCAGCAATTCCCTCTTCTTTTCTTCACATAGTATTGAGGTCACAGTTTGTCTGGTGGAATAGGGGAATATCGTCTGTAAGTTGTCCTCTTGAAAATGAATACTCACAATCCGTTCTGTCCTACCATCGAGAAACATGGGGAAAGCAAATTGATGCTAATGATCGTCTTCTCATAGCTCGCGATCACTGTTAGTAACCCATTGCTATAGACGATACACCTTGCGCAAGAATATCCCGACTGGCTGAGACAGGGGACTCTCTTAGAACATCACTTGAACCGCTCAATTCTGCACCATACCTCGATTCCATCTGTGAACGCGTGAACGCGGGGTTGCACCCATTGCCGTGGCCGTCATTGTACCGGCCACTAATATCGAATCTATCTCATAATCTGGAAATCGGATCTAAACGCACCAATTTATACTGTGAAAACCTGCTGGGGTACTCTTCAACAGACTGAAGATAGCACTGGGTTGGTCGAGCTGTTTAATGGTCAACTGTGGGACGCTGAACGGTCTACTCTAGTTCTGAGAGGCCGCTTTGCGTTCCATCGGGTTCCCCAGCCTGAAAGCATCAGAGTCTGTGCAAACTAAAACGCTTTTCCACGGAGAACCATTGTTATAGCTATTTCTCGGCGCCGCGCTGCCAATGGAGAAAGTTTCGGGGTAACTAAACAGTTCTGAACATGTACCATATTTTCATCAACTCACCACACAAGAACCGCCATCATGCCTGATCACAGAGCTTGGAACATGGATGAGGCCACACGCAACAGACTCCTCAAGAAGTACAAAACCCAGGTCGCATCGGGGGTGTCGACTATTTGCGCTACATTGTCGGTGGTGAGTGTCTCATTCGGCGAGCTTTTGTTTTACACTCCAATCCTTATTTGCGACTAATATGAGATGCGAATGATGCTAATCCTTCTCCGATGGGCAGACTCCTCTAGAGAACGTCAAGACTCGGATGCAGACGTGAGTATTCGATATGACCTTAGAGATGGGATTAATATGCTGATTAGTTTGAAAGACACAATTTCAAGAACATATGGCAGTGTGTCCGCTATCTCTGGGTCACTGAAGGGCCTCGGGGATATGTCGCTGGTAAGTCGGTATCTAAGTCGGTAGCTGAAGGATCGACTGACCATCACATAGGCGCCCTTCCACCCTTGGCAAGTGTCACGGTAGTCCGCGTCGTCAACTTTACCGTATACAATGCCTTCAAGGACATCATCGCTGATAACGTCGAACGCGTAACTGGTTCTAACCCTTTGGATAACTACAACAAGCCTGGAAGCCTCCCCACCGTGACGGGTGTTCTTACTTTCACCACTGCAGGCCTCATCGCTGGCTTGGTCGCATCGCCTATTGCCTGTATGTTTAGATTGATACATGGAAGAGTGAGAGGAGCCGCGCTTACATTAAAATAGGCCCCTTCGAGTTGGCGAAGAATGTCGTTCAAACTTCAGTTCTAGTGTCTCACCGCGCCATGGCTGCCCCGGACGCAGTCCGAGACCGATCTCTGCGTGACAAGCCTCGCTTGGGTACCGTTCAAGCCATCAAGAAGATCTATGGACGATATGGAATTTGGGGCCTTTACACCGGTTTCCGCCTGCATGCGTTACGCGACACCGTGGGCTCAGGACTCTACTTTGGTGTTTATGAGACTGTGAAGCAACTCGCAGCCAAGGAGTTGGGCCAAGACAAAAACCCCTTCGGGGCACCTATGATTGCCGGTGCCATTTGCAGCACCGTGCCCTGGTTCTGCGTATGTGATCAGGCCGATACCCTGTTTTGGGACATGCACTAATGTGACTCATAGACTTATCCTCTGGATACGCGCAAGACTCGCGCACAGAGTGTTCTGCTGGGAAAAGCCAGTGAGATTGGTGAGGCCTCACAAGCTGTTGCCAAATCCGGCATGTACAAGGGCCTGTCCATCATTCTTATCCGGACCGGCGTCAACAACATGATCCTGCTCAGCATTTTCGAATACATCAGAATGCGCATTGACGAGCTGCCAAATTAAACTCAACCGTTGGCAAGGCTGCAATCATACTAGGATGAAATGGCAGTCCTTTTTTTGAACATTTTCTTTGCGTTGAACATCTGGATTTTCGTCTTACTCTGCATCCCGAGGTCTTTTCTCGTATTTATTATCCACACACATACATGGATGAGCTTAAAGCTCTTTTTTATCAAATAGCACAATGAATTATCAACATTTGAAATATGAAAGAAAGGGAAACCATTAAAACAACGGGCGCAATCGGCGTAGCGCTAGGGCAACTTCATAATCGGCAGCATCTTCTCGGCCATATAGTGTGAATGCCACTTGCAATTTCTTTACCCAGGTTTTCTGTTCCATAGCTAGCCTGACAATGCATTTATTGCTTTCAGACTTGAACAATTGCGCCGTTTTGATTAATGTCGGTCTTAACCTTGCGTCCATAAAATCATCTAGCAATCCCTCTTCTTCGAGAAAGAAAATTGTCAGAAGAGTATAAATCAATCTAGAGGAAAGAGGTATGCTGAAAGTCTCTGCGACAAACTTCAATGTCGAGTCGACAATAATAGGATGCAAACCCTCAGCCTGCCCATCCAAGTCCACGCCACGCGTAAGGTATTGAAGCCCTCGGATCAATCGCCGTCGCATGTCACTAAGTTCTTGGAAGGGAGTGCCAGGCCGACATGCCAAACAATCGCAGGTAAAACGTAAGGCTTGATGACGCTCATATCTAGTCTTTCCTTCGAAATCGGTATTATAACAGAAATTGATCTCCTCGCCAGCTTCTATGTCTCTGGTCGCAAAGCTTGAAATGACCTCGCCATTAACCGTTGGAATTTTCGAGTTCGGTATACAAGAGTGGTTGAAGCGCGAGTGAAGAGGGAAAAGGCCATGAGCTTCGGCCCTATTGCGGTCTGAACTTCCGATGTTGAACGAGTTCTCAGCGAAAGCTTCGTTCATACTTGTAAACCAACTTGACCCATTGTTGCGAAGGAGTGAAAATTGTACTCTCTGACTAGGCAACAGTTGTTGAATCGCCATATTAACATGATAATCCGTGATTTCTCTGTGAGACCTCCAGATAACGAAGGTTGGCTTTTCGCTAAGGATGAGAGATCCTCGGTCAATGCGTCTTGTGGCAAAAGCACCCCATCCTTTGCCTGGCGAGGGTTTCAGCTCGAATGGTACTCCATCAGGCACTTCCAGGCGGCGATACGCTAGTATATAGTGAGTCAGATGCATTCTCAAGCTACTTAGCAGGGTAACATACGATGTCGTGCCGTCATGGCAGTGTTGTCACAACAGGAACGCTTTGCACCAGGTTGTAGGTCGGAATAGAGTAGAGTAGCGGAGTTGAATAAAGTTGGATATAGGATGGAGGGCGACACGATAGCTCTATTGGAGAGGGGGAAAGCGGCTATTAAAAGCTAGGGAGGTCTACTAACCAACCTTGTAAAGTATATGTGATCGATCTCAATAGTACTGCCCAACAAAGCCTAATGATGATCCCAAAATGGCATAGCGTAGCAATTAATAGTTCTTGCGATGGTGCTGCACCCCATGTCCCGCCTAGCCATGGCTGGCTATGTCTGACACGGACCCCCTGTTTGTCTAACATCTTATCATCATGATCTGTCTGGCTCCAAATGCAGATGTCTGAATTTTACGCCTTAAAGGTATATGACTCAGCGGTATACGAGGGAATATCCTAGGAGGTTGAGAGGCTGTAGCCACACTAGCCGCGTTTGGCTGAGGCCGAGATGGCAAAGAATATGTGATTATTGTAGAGATCAGCCCCTGACCATCCCCCACCTCTAAGCCAAGTAGGAAAAAACCCTAAATCGGTGTCCTATTTGGGTCTTGGTATCCTATGTGCCTATCTTATAGATACGATGGAAAGATTGCTCATGAATAGCAATGTTGCTCGCTCCTTTCCTGGTACTTTGGGACACAAGGTTCTCGAATTTAGAAGACTACTGCGGATTTTATCACCTAAGATATGAAAGGTGACTTGGTATCTAAGAAGGTTTCTGTGGCTATCGGGAAACCCGGGCAAGCCTATATATTAGTTTTCCCACCTGTTAAAGAACCTGTGCGTGACTCGTGAGCTATACGGTGTCGGGATAAGACCGATCTAGACTGCTTTTTCTCCCACGACACGTAGGATTTTGGCTTCGGTGGGACTCTTCCATATATAGGTGCATTATACGTTGGCCAAGAATGTGTTGTATTCCGGAGTCGCCGAGTTATCCTCGTCTCCATATCCTAACCTAATTTCCCCGCTAGTCGGAGTCTAATACGAGCCCTACGACTACCGTCCTAAGCGGAAATATGTATGAGTTGTGATAAATAGGACTAACAATGGTACAAATTCAGTTTCTGCTTCGGCAGTCTAGCACTGATACATAGACAGCTGGGGCCCGGATTTGCCGATCGAGTCAGCCAAGTGCTGCCAAGTGGCATAGAACTAGAGGGGATATTATCTTCAGCACGCTATTCGGCGGGCAGCGTAGTACTGTCTAACCTCAGTATGAACTAGGTTAAAGACAGCGCGACAGACTGGTAGTAGTTGCACAGCTGTTCAACGGTCCATTTCTTAGTGACGACTGCAACATGCGCGGCTGCGAGGCCCTCGATGTGCGCATCATCTGCAGATGGAAACCTCTGGAGGGAATAGCCATTAACCCTCAAGAAAATATCAGCCGCTAGCAGGGCAGTGCGTTTGTTCCCATCCTGAAACGCGTGGTTCTGCATGATCCGTTCGGCCAGGATCGCTGCCAGCCGAAACACATCGCGATCCTTCTCATAGTGGTTCTTATTCACCGGCGCATTGACTGCAGATTCCAGCATAGCTATCTGGGTGAGGGGGGCATGGGGGACTCCAAATCTGCGATGAAGGCTTCGGATTTGCGACATGGTCAAGAATCGAGGCATTGGTGTCGCCATTCTGAGAACATATGATGAATGACAGGCGTTGGAAATAGTGCCTCAGGTAAAGGGTCAAGAATATATTGTTCAATCCTTTTTGTCCTGGAAAGAAACAGCTTTTGAGTCTACTTAGGTAGATCAACACTGAAGCCCGAGGAACAATAATGGGCGCGTTGGTCGTGGCCTATTCTCAGCGAGGAGTCATAGGTGTAGGTCTCCTTAATTCATTGCCTGACGGAAACGGAATGCGCAATAGTTTTAGTCCATACTAAGACGAGTCAATTCCTTACATTCAGCAAGCGCTAAATGGGAGGGGTAAGACTTAAGTGTCGAAGACAGCTTTTAACCAGGCCAAGTATTGAGTTGATGCCTCAGGCCACGAAGCGTCATTCCGTTGCCCGGTGGGGTTGAACTTCCCGCAGTCAAAACAAACGGACTCTTCCAAACCCCGCCTCGAGCGACAATGGCGTCGTGAGTACCCCCAGCAGCATATGAGCGAGTGCGAGAAGAGAGGAATGACACTGACTGGTTCTTCTGTTCTATTCCTACAGTAATATTCTCCAGCTCCCGTTTCGGCGTTCCCATCCCGTCTCGCTTTCCGCAGCGATCACCCAATACATATCGACCAAATATGACCAACGCCCGGATATGTTTGCGGAGGATCTGATGATCATTGATCGTCTACGAACTGAAGCCATCAATGTTCAGGAACCGCATTACAGTGGCATCAGTCGCCTGGTCACATATGCGGCTCAGCTGAAATGGCTGGGTGGGAAGTTCCCAGTTGATGTGCGCATTTTTTCTAGTCCTGGCTCTTGGATTTTGGTATTCGAAGCTGACGGTCGGCGTGATATTTAGGTCGGAGTGGATTTTTCGTGGTATCCGGCTTTTGGCTTTAATGTTTCGCGACCAGGTGAGTTCTTTTTTTTTGGATTGAGGTCCGATTTGGTGGTCACGAGATTAATAGAAATACATCATGGCTTCTAGTCTCACAAAATAACCTGCGCTTCGAACTAGCGAATATCATATTCAATCTTGCCGCATTATACTCCCAGCTTGCATATGCGACCAACCGGACTACCGCAGATGGACTCAAACAGGCGTGTAACTACCTCTGCTCCGCCGCCGGAGTGTTGAGCCACCTTCGAACCGATATCATCCCAGACCTTCGAACGTCGCCGCCAGAGGATATGGATGAGGTGACCCTGCAGAGTTTGGAACTTCTTTTGCTCGGACAGGGCCAGGAATGCTTCTGGCAGAAAGCTGTTAAAGATGGACTGAAGGATGTATCTATTGCGAAACTGGCAGCCAAGGTGTCTGACTTCTACGGGGATGCAGGTGACTTGGCTGTGAAGTCTAATGCAATTAGCACGGACTGGATCCACCACATGACTGCAAAGCACCACCACTTTGCTGCTGCTGCTCAGTTCCGACAGGCGCTTGACTGCCTGGAGAAGCGCAAATATGGAGAAGAGGTTGCTCGGCTGCGCGATTGTTTGGTCTGTGTCGGTGAAGGGTTGAAAGAGCAGCGGTGGATTAATCGGACTGTATTGGGTGACTTGAATGGCATGAAGAGCCGTGTCGTGGAAGACCTCAAGCGTGCCGAGAAGGATAACGATATCATTTACATCAACCCTGTGCCGCCCAAGTCTGAGCTCAAGACTATTGAACGTGCCAGCATGGTTCTCGCCAAGGCACCTTCGCAGGTTACCGATGCGATCTCTATGCTTGGTGATAATGGTCCGTTGGGGCAGCCGCTGTTCTCAAAATTGGTCCCATATGCAGTTCACATTGCCGCCAGTATCTACACTGATCGTCGAGACCGACTGGTCAATGATACTCTCATTGGAGAGCTGGAGTCTATGTCCGACAAGTTGCGAGAGTATGTATTCAATGGAAATACCACACCCAAGGGAAATTCTGCTAACATCAGGTTCAAGCTTGCTTTCATCGCTCAATTTGCCAGGGTCATTACAAGCGCTCGAAAAACCATTAGGTCTCCCGCCAACGCTTGTGTCGCACGCAGAGGAAATGCGCCAGCAAGATGGCCTGAATCGCTTGCACCGGTCTATCGACGACACCGCCAGAGTCAAAGGCAATGATTTGGCTGTGTATAATGAAGGTGTTGAGCTTCTAGCTGCTGAAAAGGCAGAGGACCTTGCGGCTCGCCATAAATACGGCACCGATCGCTGGACCCGCGGAACCTCGGAATCCGCCGCGCCTAAGCTCTACAGGAGTTTGACCGAAATTGACGGCTATTTCACATCCGCCCAGGGCAGTGATGACCTCGTGCAGCGCAAGCTGCGAGATTCACGATCTGTCTTTCTCGTTCTCACTGGTACAAATCGGGACTTGGAATCCTTTGTGCCTAGTAGCCGGAGGGTTGTCATTCCACCAGAGGTTGAGCGCGAGGCTAACCGGTTGCGCGGTTGCTTGAGCGAGGTCACTCGAATGGAGAATCGGAGGAGGCGGCGAATTCAAGCTTTGAAGGACAAAGGTCGCGCGGATGATATTCGTACGTATTTTCTTTTCCATTAATCTTGAACTGGACTAATGGATCGCATTTAGACCCGGCACTTTTGAGACAGACAGCTCGACTAGAGCGGGAATTCCCCATGCAGCCTATCCAAGCAAGCCAGTTCGAGGATTTGTTCGAGGAGCATCTGAAGCTATACGATTCGGACCGTGAGATGCTAGCCCAAGAGCGAAGAGAGCAAGATCAACTTTCGGACCAAGTCCGAGAAGCTAACCGGACATTTACTGGGTCTCATAAGGGTGATGCGTCGACAAAGGAACGAGAAGCGGCACTGCAGGATCTGGAAAATGGATATCTGAAGTATAAGGAGATCATTTCCAACCTCGACGTCGGGCGCAAGTTTTACAATGATCTGGCAAAGATTGTAGCCCGATTCCGCGACGATGCAAAGGTTTTTGTCCATCAACGTCGGATGGAGGCAAGCCAGCTGGAAACGTATGTGTTACCCACCCATTACTAAGACGGATTATCACTGACGTTACATTTCCCCGAACCAGAGACATCTCCAATACCGCAGCGATGGCCTCACTGCATATTTCTCAGCCACACCTGCGCCAACAACCTCAGGAGTCACCTCGGACCCATCACTCTCCCTCCGCCTACTCAGCTGCGCAGCCCATCCATGTGCCATCACAACTACCCCCACCCGTTCACACCGTACGCCCAGCTGAGACAGCACCCCCTCTCACGGCACCCCAACCAGTGCGCGCGCCTGTAGCCCCGCCTCCGGTTTCTACGCCGAGCATGCCAGGAGGTATGCCGGGGATGTGGTCCCCCGAAATGGGGATTCGATTCGGATCTGCCGCTAACCCTCCGAATGCCACTCCAAGCACAGGAGCTGGACCAGCCCCGACTCAGCCCACTCGTGCCCCTCAAACGGGAACCTGGGATCCTAGCAAGGGCCTGCGTTTTTCTTGATTATGCTGTGATACAAAACTGTTCATATCTCATTTTGTAGATCCACACTTTCGCACATAGCCTTGGAGTTTTGTTAGCTGTTTAAACTGTTTTGCCCATGCGGCGCGAGCAATGAGGTGCGGGCATAGCCTTGATTGCGTATATAATTTCTGCAATTTGCAGACCACCCCTTGGAATGATTGTCTATGTGACCAGCGATGATCAAACCCTAGTTCAAGTCTAAATTATTATTATCATATATCGTATGGCACATCTAATCGTACGAAGTGAGACATCGCAACAGCAACGGTCAGACAGAGAAGAGAAAATCGAATCGCCATGATACATGGCAACATGATGGATTAGATTGAGCAAATACTTTTGTTCAAAATCGTTGAACAGCAAAGGCAATGCAAGGTAAGAGAAGGATGAATATGTGGCTCCTCAGTGTGAGCACCCACAGGAAGGACCAAAAAGCCACACGAGCATCGTTAGGGCGCCTTGACAGAGATATCAACGCCATCAGCGGCACACTGAGGCTTGCCATTGGGCAATGCACTGCCATTCAAAGCATGGCCATTGATTTCCCCACCAACCTTGTATTCCTGCTCAATCTCAGACTCATCTGGCTCGGAGCGATCGTCCTTCTTCTCCCCCGTCAGGAGGAACTTGAAGGCGCTGCGCAGCAGGCAGTACAACCAGAACAGATTCAGCGCCTGAAGCACAGCCAGCAGTGCGAAGGTGATGATGTTGGAGATCCAGCACTTGTACTGTTGAGTCTCCCAGTTGAGCTCGTAGGGGCCGACGGTTTGGAACTCGTTTAGAAGGGAATAAAGGATCCGGAGATTTAGTACATGGCGGAGATATATCCAGCTGCCGACGGAGGTTGCGTAGAAGGGCACCATTATGTCCGGGGCTATGTAATGGAGGGATTTCGAAACCTGGGAGATTGTCAATATTCGGGTTGTCGGAAACCAGAAGAATTGAATGCGACTTACGGCGAGGAAGAAATCACTAATATCATGTGTGATATAAACAGCAATGCCCATATACGTAAAGTGAAAGCGATAGCTGAGGGCAATAAGAGCCAGTGTGACAATGTGATGCGCAACAAGCTCCATGAAGTCCTTGCGCCGCTTCTCCATCCCCAGCAACATAACAACCGCCTGCTGCGCCCAATACGCCGCTTCGAACAAGTAGTACGCCTTGAACTCCGCCGCATGGGTCCTGTGCGGGAAGAGCTCGTACATGCCGCGCGTGTTGAAGTACCACACCGGCGTCTGGCGCATGACATACAACCCCACGGGACCCAGTACTCCGAAGTATATCGCGGTGTACACCTGCTCCATGAAGCGGGTCTGTTTTCCCCGCGACTTGATGTGCGCGGCGGCGAAGGGGCGAAGGATTTCCTGCATGATGAATTCGCGCGTGAAGGATAGCACGATGACGTAGAATGACACGAACGCTATGTCCCACAGACCCTTGCCATACTGCGCCGGGGCGTTCCGGTCGCCATCCAGGGATGGCTCTTTGTAAGATAGGAATATGAAATGAGAAATTGGATTCGACTCGGTCGGATGGAGCGCATATACCGAGAGGATGGCTAGCATGAGCGCTAATGGGAATGTCCATGTGTGCTTACCCGCGAACTCCCTGCTGCGACGGAGAAGGGAGGGCGGCTTTTGGGGCTTCGGGGCTGACTTTGATGGGCTGGTATGGCCGTTTCCAACTGTCTCGACTTGCGAGCCATTGATATTCCGGCGTCTAAGGGTATCTTCTTTCATTGGGATTTGGTTGGCCCCGTTCAGGGGTATTGAACGGGTCATGTTGTGGAATTTGGAGGTGAAGATGTGGTGGGAAACAGAGGGAGCTAGGAGATACGTCAATGATGATATAATCTCCAAGGAGGCCAAGTTAGTTAGACTCGTTCAACGTGAAGCCCTTCCCAAGAAAAGTGTCGGGCTTTTCCCTATTCGGCTAATCAATCGTATTCGGATATCTCGGGTCCGCCGATGCTACAGAATCTTCCCTTTGCATATGGCCATAGAGGGATGAGCGGAATTTAATAAGCGGAATCTGATAGATCAGCTCGTCTGTATCTGTCTACTCTGTTTATCACAACAGACCAGACTCTTCCCAACGAGACACCATACTCTGAATATCCTTCACTGCCCACTGTCTCTTCATCTGAGGCTTTCATGCACCCCGGACAAATCCGACTCCACTATTTATGAAGAAACCGTGCTCAGAACATCTAGTTCACCGGTCCGTACAGTGTGTTACCAAACTTACAGACACTTGATCGTGATCGACGCAAAATAAAGCGGTATTTGATACAATAATGACCGTATTATTACGCAATCTGGATAATCTCGTCCTGGGCAGCTGGTTGGCTGACATCAAGTGAATATCCCCCCTATCGCGATAGAGCCGAACTTAATCCACCGGCCTTGGGGCTGGTAATCTCCTCTACGACCATACTTCGTTTTCTTATTATCCTCTAGACATGTCTGGTATTTGCATGGATGACCGAGCTGGGAAATATTAAGGGGAACTACACTTGATGATGCTCGCAGAACCAAGAAAACGCCATAATGGCCAACCGCAAGCCTGTGAACCATGTCGCAAGGCTAAGATTCGCTGTGACCATGCAAGTCCGAAGTGTTCGCGATGTGTCCTACGCAGTTTGAATTGCATTTATCACCCTGCTCCTATGACCAAACGTCGCCCTCCGACTTCTCACACCCCCATACACTTCGATACAACACTGCCCGCCGACTTACTGACCACTCAAAATGTCTCTAGCGCTTTCCAGATTCCTACTGAATCCTCGGTCGCGGCAGCGATCTCACTCTCTCCTGCAGATCCCAGCCCCGCCGCGAGCTCGGGGCTAACAGCCCGTTCCACCGCATCAAAACGGAACATGCTATTTCAAGAGGAGCTGGGCCAACACGAGACGACCCGCTTCTCGGCTGTTTTTGTTGAAAATCAAGATAGTTTTGGCGCAGTGATGTTCGATGCCACAAATTCCAGCCACCGCGAGCTAGGCCGAGAGCCTGATTCAACGGCCAGGTCCCGTGTGGAACTGGCGGTCAGAACACTACTTAACTTCCCCACTGCTCGTACATGTGACATGCTGATGGCCGGAATTCATCATATCTACGATGTATGGCTGTCGCCCACAATGATTCAGCGGTGTTTAAAACAAGTATGGACAGAATATGCAAGTGCGCTGGGTGAGCTCCGGACACGTGAATCAGTATTGAGAGTGGCAAATGATCTATTTCTCAATCACAAAAGGTCTCAGTCGACACCTGAATGTGATCACGCAGGCAATTCCGACCATCCTTCCTGGATGAACTGGTTTGGTGGGCCTCATTTGCGATGGGAAATGATTGGGATCCTCTTCAGCTGGGCTGGAATTGCTTTCAGATGCAAGCAAGAGTGGGATCCAGTATTTGATCTACCCGAACAGTATGGACGGAATCGAAACACCGCCGCAGACAAGATGAGAGAATGTGCTGCGGCCTGTATAAGGCTTTGTGAAGGGAATTTTGAAATCAGTGATACCATGGTTATTTGCATGAAGAATAGCACCAGACTACAAAGCATCATCATCAGCGACGAGAGTGAGTCGCAAACATCAGGACGAATTCTGGCAGTATAGAATAGAGCTCATCTCGGGATAGGTGACCGTGTACGAGTCGACTACGGGACTGTCCGCGGTGCTTTTATAAGCGCAGGATTCCACCGCCTCACTCCTGCAAAGGAAATCACCCCGTTCTCTCAACACCGAGCGTCACTCGCTGCGTCGATGTATTACCACGACAAATGCCACAGTCTATTCAATGCGCGACCACCTATGCTCAGTAATCGTTACTGCCAATGCCCTCTCCCACTCGATTTAAGCGAGGAAGATGTATATGGGGACCGAGAAAGATTGGCCCTGGCTATTGCAAAGCTTGACTCGAATGGCTGGAACACAAATGGCCAGATATTCACAACAACCTGGCTTCGAGCACTGGCCATGCTTAGTCCTATCCGGGAAGGAATCTTGGAACTAACCCTTAGTGTCAATTCGGAATTTACCAAATCGCAGGTAGAGTGCGTTATTAGAAGCAATATTGCATACTAGGTACATTTCGCTGACTCCGACCTTCTTGTAGAAACCTACAAGTTCAGTTGGGGAAGATAGTTGCTTCATATCCTCCGCACATTCAGTATCGGAGAAACTCCGAATGGCCCCAGTCAAGCTCACAATGCCATGAACGAAGCGCCCATGAAGTCTATATTATCACCCGCATACAACTCGACGTATTGCAATGCCAGTTCCTCCTCCAGCGCCTACTTGTATCGCGGCAATTCAGCGGTGGCCAAGACTTGTTTGACATCGCCCAAGAGACAATGTCTGTTATCCTGTCTCTTTGGCTTAAGCGCGATCAACTCCAGGAATTCCACCATGCCTTTGACTGGATTGTAAGTCTTTGACGAACCTAGCCGTTCTGAATTGAGAATATTATACTAACTGAATCCATCCAGGCAGTATCATACGCAATGCCCTGTGCGGGAATTCTATGCGTCGAGCTTCTCCGAGCAAGTAATCTAGCCCCATCTTCGCCACAAAACGAGCTCACATCGACGTCCGCCGCTAGCAACTGTGTTAAATTCTCGCGGTCGGAAGTGGTCCAGATTCTGGTTATGTTCAGAGCGTTACTTGACTGGATACGTCCCACGGATAATAATGCGCAGCTTAGCAAGAAGTTCAAGACAGTTATACAAAGAATCATCGACGCTGTGTTTGATTCTTTGGGGTCATCGTGTGGCATGCAAGCACAAGAGTTGCCAGGCGAACAGCAGTCCCTGAGACAATATGGCCCGCAAGATGAGCGGTCTCCAGGGCAAAATCTACCTATGGCGATAGGCAGAGAGCAGGATATTGACCCAGAGATGAACAAATTCCATGATATGGATTGGCTGAACACTGTTGACTGGACTCAGGGTGGTTGGCTTGACCAAGGTAATCCACCTTTTCCGTATTGAGCACTGTCAACGGACCGACATTTCCGGGCCATCGGTGTTGACTACATTAAAGCCTTTGACTATGCTTTGTCAAAGGGGCAAACTGATAAGATAACCCCTGGGTCAGCTTTCGGAGTTCTTTTTGGCCTTTCGGAGTGGACTACGCCGGGCCCGACACGGGGTTTGCGGGGGTTGATAAGGGCAGACACGGCGTTGATCAGTCATTATTGAATACCGACGAATCGGAGTTCGTTATCTTCATTCGGTGTATTTGCTAAAGTGTCCTCATCGAATGATCAAACAACCTGATACTCCGGCCATTATTTAATGCCGACAAAGCAGGTCATCGACTAGCCTACTCATCAACCTGCGCAAGTCCTCCGAGTCCAAATCAAACAGCAACAATCAATTCTACTCCGATGACTATGTCTCCAACCGACTCATCTAATGCATCCCGGCAACCCGTCGAAAATGCAACTGTGCCATTTTGGCACCGAGACATTCACGAACTGCACGACCATCGGACCACAGAGGAGCTTCCAGTATCGAGTGACGTCGTCATCATAGGCGCCGGCTATGCAGGAATCAGTACAGCGTACCACTTGGTCAAAGGAGAGGCCAGTGACAACAAACTCTCTGTCACAATCCTGGAAGCACGGGGTGTCTGTTCGGGTGCGACAGGACGCAACGGTGGTCACCTACGGCCTGACATGTACACCCCCATGGCCAGGCTCATCGACCGAGCAGGAGTTGAACGCGCGCTGGAGGTAACGGAGTTCGAAATCGCACATATACACGCCATAAAGTCCTTGGTTGAAAAGGAGAAAATCGACTGTGACTTTACCCTCACAAGGTCTATCGATGTGTGGACCAACGAGGAAACTGCCCGGAAGGCCGAACAGATGTATGACGCGCTGGTATCCCGTGATCTGAATTACATGAAAGATGTCTTCTTTGTGTCTGGCAAGAATGCGGAGGGTATTTCGGGTGTCAAAGGTGCCAAAGCATCTGCTTCTTTCACAGCCGCAAGTCTGTGGCCGTACAAATTAATTATGCATCTGACCGCCTCAATCCTCAAGACTGGCTTGGTCAATCTCCAGACTAATACCCCGGTGACGTCTGTGAGTCGGCAATCTTCAGGCAGCTTTATTATTACAACTCCACGAGGCACGACCGTCGCTCGGAAAGTCGTGTATGCGAACAATGCCTACATCGCGGGTCTTCTTCCCCAGTACCGCGAAGCCATCGTTCCCTGCAAAGGACAGTGTACTCATATTTCAGTTCCCGAGGGCACGAAAGCGCCTCTGCTGAATAACTCCTACATAGTCCGCGAAGAAGACAACGTTGTTTCATATCTCATCCCTCGCGCCGACGGCAGCATTGTTGTCGGTGGCGCCAACTTGCTTTACTACCCTGTTCTGAGTTCATGGTACAACAGCGTGGACGATTCAATCCTCATCGAGGAGGTCAAAGACCATTACGATGGTTTTATGCAGCGGTTTTTCAATGGCTGGGAAAACAGCGGGGCCAAAGTGGATAAAGTTTGGACCGGGATCATGGGCTACAGCTGGGATTCCCACCCCCATGTCGGCACCGTGCCTGGAGAGGATAGCCAGTTTGTACTCGCAGGCTTCAATGGTCATGGAATGCCTCAGGTGTTCTTGTCTGCCCTTGGGGTTGCTAAGATGGTTCAGAATGGGATCAAGTTTGAAGATACTGGTATCCCCAGATTGTTTGAGTCGACAAAGGAGAGGCTTGAGAAGGCGAGGAACGGTCCTGTCGGGGGTGATGTCCTCGGCATCAAGCGTTGAGATATATTTATTGCATATTGCACATTGAGAGAGTTATGCAGCTTGACTGTTCTTATCATTATCTAGTCTTGTACAACCTATACAAACAAAGGCTCCATTCTTCGAGATATAACAGTGATGACCTGCAAAAAGTTCCTTTAATCCTCAATCTATGTACTCTATAGCATTGTAACACCAGACGAATGAAAAATGACATATTAGTTAAACACCCAGCACGTCTATCTGGCTCAACGTTTTCTGATTACTCCGTACGTACTCGTTATTTGGTACTCCGAGCCGCTATTCTAAGTCATGCCACGATAGTTATCTTATCTCTCGGAGCTTCCTACTATCTCACGGAGTGGGTTTTACGGCCTTCCAGTTCTGCGGAGTTGATCGTCACCCCATCTATCACCCGTGCGCTGCTATCTCACATCCCTCAGTCAACGTTTGTCTCAAAGATACTCAAACCTGCTGATTGGGCCCTGGCAACCTTGTATCTTCCAATCAAGGTCTCCATGTCATCCCTCTAACTGCTTTTGGAAGGCCACCCTCGACGTCAATTTCAATATCATGTTATCCGCATAGTTAAGTGTACAGATAAAGAATGTGTCGCTTAGCACGGTGACTTCAGAGCCATCTGGCCACTAATAAGGGAACTATAAGTCGAGGCTAATCATCCCCGGACATAGGTCTGCGCCATATAGCAAGGACGGCCCAATATTGCCGACATTCTTTTTTTTACAAGAAGAGAAAATACAAGTCAATCGCGATGTCCACAATCAAGACCTTTCACAACGATCATTCCACCGACGCTGTCGATGAATTCGACAAAGACGTCAAGACCATGATACACGACCCAGAGTCGCCTGTTCAACCAGAAGATGAATATGTCGGAGACTTCGAAGAGATTTCGGCCTTGAAGCAAGGCCTTCATCAGAGACACATCCAAATGATTGCTTTGGCCGGTACCATTGGAACAGGTCTCTTCCTCAGTTCTGGTCGAGCAATCTCACGTTCTGGTCCCCTGGGTGCCTTTCTAGGATACTTGGTCATGGGCTGTGCTGCTGGAACTGTAACCCTTGCGACGGGCGAGATGGGCACACTTGTTCCTTTGAACGGTGGAATAGTCCGCTACGCCGAATACTTTGTTGACCCGGCATTATCGTTTGCCAACGGCTACAACGTGGTATATTCCTACCTTGTGTCTATCCCTGCAGAGATTGTGGCCGCTGCTGTGCTCGTGCAGTTCTGGTCTGACCTCAATAGCGCGATTTGGATCAGTATCTTTGGAGTGGTCATGCTGTGTACCTCTATGGCCTTTGTGAGAGTATACGGGGAGCTCGAGTTCGGTTTCTCCTTGATGAAGATCTTGCTGATCATTGGAGTCAATCTAATGGTAAGCTCAAGTTTCTGCCACTGAATTGACCGGCTTTGGTGCTAACAAGGATTAACCAGGCTCTTGTTATTACCTGTGGTGGCGGTCCTGACCATAAAACCATCGGGTTTGAATACTGGCGCCACCCTGGGCCTTTCGTTCAGTACCTTGGCATCGGTGGCTCTCTTGGTCGCTTTCTCGGTGTTTGGACATCTATGAATAGTGCTCTTTATGCCTATTCGGGGATTGAAACAATTACCGTTGCCGCTGGAGAGACAAAATCGCCGAGGCATGCTATCCCGCAGGCGGCTAAGCGGATTTTCTTTCGTATATTGATTTTCTATGGTATGTTGATTCTAAAAGATAGAAAATCCTTCAAATCTGACGTCTTCCCTTTAGTCATCTCAATCTTCATGGTCGGCCTTGTGGTCCCCTCCAATGAACCTAGACTCAGCAGTTCTAGTGGCACAGCTTCCGAGTCTCCCTTTGTGATCGCAGCTACCCTAGCCGGAATCAAGGTGGTGCCATCAATCATCAACGCTGTCATCATCACGTCGGCGTGGTCTTCAGGCAACTCGAACATGCTCGGAGGGTCGAGAGTATTGTACGGGCTGGCGGTAAACGGTAAAGCCCCCAAGTTCTTCACTCGACTTAACAGATTCTCGGTTCCCTGGGTCGCAATTTCGCTCTACGGTCTGTTCATGTGCCTGGCATACATGTCGCTCTCCTCAACTGCCAACACCGTGTTTGATTGGCTGCAAGACCTTGTCTCCATCACAACTCTGACCAACTGGCTCACTATCCTGGTCACGTATCTTCGCTTTTATTACGGCTGCAAGAAACAAGGAATCTCTCGCAAGTCTCTACCGTGGGCGACGCCGCTCCAGCCATATATCAGTTGGGCCTCGTTGATCATGCTCAGTCTCCTGCTCATCACCGGCGGGTACTCGACTTTTATCAAAGGGCAATGGAGCGACGAAGGATTCGTCTCCTCTTATATCAATATTCCTCTCTTCTTCATCTTTTATTTTGCGTACAAGTTGATTCACAAGACAAAGATCATCCCCCTGGAAGATATACCCATTCAACCGTTTATTGATATTGCCAATCGCAACCCAGAGCCGCTGCCACAACCAAAGAAAGGCCTTCGCAAGCTGAACATTTTATGGGACTGAGCGTGGATTAGTATGATATCTTAGCTTAGTCTTCGGGTCTTCAAATCTACCTGACTTTGAGAGATATTTTGTAACAATGAATTCGATGTATCCCAGAGATTCTATGTGTTGAGTTTATGAATAGTAATCTATTGTATATATTGAGACTGCTCCAAGTATGAGAATAAGTGTATTCCTAATGCCATATGCTCGCTTTACCCCGAACCACCAGCCTTTCTGTTCAAACTGTGTAATATATATATCAGCTCTTTCATATCAAACTACCAAGACTCTTTAAATTATAGCTGAAAGATCCCAGGCAAAGTCGCATTAATTTCTACTTCGCCCACCTTTCGTTGCAACATCGACTTGGTCAGATTTGATACCCCAGATGCTCCCCCTTTCCTTCGATCTCGGTTCTCGGCAGAGACTCCGGTGAATCTCAAAAACAATGCAATCGCCTGACGGAGTTCGGATACGGAGTGGGCCTGGTCCGGTGACAGCTGATTACCAGATATCGTTAGCCCCGGAGTGGAATACCCACACCGCCACTGTCTACGCATCACGGAGTAGACCTCGATCTTATCTAGATTATCGGATAGCGGTGTGCCGGAGTCAGACAATGATTGAACCATGGTTGCCAGTGGAGTTGGCGAAGGGCATTGAAATAAATGACCATGAGAAGGCCAGGGGCAATATGTATCCCAAGAATCCCTTCCGTCTGCCAATTCAATTTCATTCAATCATCAGTCAACATCTTGTATACACAACATGATTTCCCCCAACACAGTCTCCCCCAGGAAGCATGCCGTCTTTGATGTCGTCGGCACTTGCGTGTCATTCGACTTCTTTATCGACACCATCGAAGACATCCTCGGCCCACGACTGCGAGCAAACCAATTGTCGGCCAATGCCTTAGGATATGCCTGGATGCAAGCCGCCGAGCTCGAGTCTCTGATGCTTCAGATGTCCAAGCGATGCGTTCCATACAAGAAAGTCTTCAAGGCGCTCTTCTACCGTGTCTTATATCTGTCCGGTATCCAAAATCCGAGATCCTTCGCGACCGACGAGGAAAGGGACATATGTCAGGATGCCTATTCGAAGCTGGAACTACGCCCAGACTGCCGCGCCATGATGGAGAAATTGAGGAAGAACGGTTTCACCATCTGGTGCTTGACCACGGGCGACACAGAAAGAGTCGGTGGCTACTTCAAGCGCGCCGGCTTTGAAATGCCCGCCGAGAACCTCGTCAGTTGCCATCAGTTCATGAAGTATGAATCTGAGAGGGAGTCCCCGCTTGATATGGTCAAACCCTCGATGGGATCCTACCAGCCTATGCTGGATAAGTTTGAGCCTGAGGATGATAAGTGGTTCGTGGCGGCGCATATGTGGGATGTGAGCGCGGCTGTTAAAGCTGGGTAAGTTTTGCTGTTGCTCCGAATGAGGAAGATATCCGGCTAACTTGTCTCGAATAATCAGCTTCCGTGGTGCTTACTGCTCGATCTATGAAAAGGAGTCGTGCATTGACATCTTTGATACTAAGATGGATGTCATGGCCGACACTTTGCTCGAAACGGCTGACAAGATGATTGATATGTCTTCCTAATTTGAAATTCTACCTGTAATTTAGCGATCCAAGAAATAGCTCCGATTCTGATTAATCTATATATCGATTGCTCGGCAACACTATTACTTGTCCCTGTAATTTTGCATACTATTATCTTCCTAGTGCGGTGATAGGCTTGAACAAATAATAATCAATTGCAGCAGAGTTCGAACAAATTATACTATGTGACAACTTGGCTAGCCATGTATAGTGAGTTAGGACACAAGTATTGATAATTATAAAGAGTTGTAAATAGCAATAACATGGTATTTTGGAGGTATACGTAACCTTCCTGAAATCCCAGGTGCACCCTCCTAACTGAATATAGTTCTGCCTACTATCCTCACCGCTCTTCTGGGAACTCCGGGCTTCCAAGGTTACTCCGTTGAACTCGGACAGGATTTAGTCCACAAGGTACATGTATAGGTCCAATTTCAAACTTGGGTCCGGTGCTATAATTCAAACAGTATCCCTTTTATAGTCAAGGTGATTTGCTGACTTGGCTGCTGTTCTGTGAGTGGGGATGCTAATGATTATGTAAGACTCGGAGGCTTCCGAGTCTCGGCAAAAAGCGGCAAGGAAAGCCAAGCCTTTATAAGCTCGTAACCGGCCGATTCGGCTCGGCATATTTCATATACACATGTGGAAGACATCAGAAATGAGATAGAGTATATCAGAGCATAGCAAATCTGTCAGTTTCAATCGAGATACGTGGAAATCCAAGATTTATCACACATTATCATCCTGTACGCGGGACAGACTGTACAAAGTTCAACAGAAAAGACCCGGGTTATTTTCGGTAGAATTAATGTAGAGATTGTGGATCAAGAAAAAAAATAAGGTCATCTTGAGTGACGATGTTAGCTTTTACCTAATACTTCGGTAGTGGTTGGAGTCTGTTGGAGTAACTGGGTGTCGTTTGTTCCTTATATTGTATAGATTACTATATCCCACAAAGCTATGTCTTACCTAAATGTTGTCTAATTCTGCGTCGGAGTCAGTATGGGAAAATTATATTATGTAGTAGTACGCCCAAGTGCGAAATCTCCATTTCACCTTTTCCCTCCATCAATTAAACACACATTTTGAAAAAATGGTTCACCTCATCCATATCGCCGTCCTAGACGTCGACATACCAGCCCGCAAACTATACGAGGCTCGAGGACTCTTGAGCGCCCACTTCCGAACCATCCTCTGCGAGACTGCAACACACCTGAACGAAACCCTGCTCCCCGAGAAAGAGCAACTCGAAGTCAAGATCACCCCGTTTGATATCCGAGGAGGCCATTATCCCGACCTATACACTCTCCGCGGCCATGAAGACAAGGATCATATACCCGTACGATACCCAGTGGACGCAGTCTTGATCACCGGCGGAACGCCCGGCGTAGGCGAAATGGACCAGTCACCGTGGATGCAAGTGCTCGAGAAATTCATCAAGACAGTCTACAACCAATACCCCGAAGTCCGCATCCTCGGCACCTGTTTCGGCCACCAGCTCATCTCGCACGCTCTCGTCCGCAACGTTGATGACCCAGTCCACGACGTCTGGGTTGAGAAATGCCCTTTCGGCCGTGAGGTCGGACTTACCACCGTTCAATTGGAACACGCCTTTGTGAAGTTGTTCCCGGGCGCACTCGGTGCTCTTCCTAAGGAACGGTTGCGTATTCAGATGTTCCATGGAGATCGGGTGATGGCGGTTGCGAAGGGAACTGTTGTTACGCTTGCCGAGTCGCCGCCGGTTTCGCTGCCCGCGCCGTGGATTAATATTGGAAGCACTCCAATCTGCCCTATTCAGGGACTGTACCACCCAGGCAGGGTACTCTCTGTGCAGGGTCATTACGAAATGGATCCCTTTGGCCTGACCAATATGTGCTTGGAATCTGCGCCGATCCTGGGATGGGATGAGTCGAAATTGGCGTTGTTCTTGGAGCAGATTGGGGATGCTCGTAAGGGAACTGATGATGATTCTAAGGCCTTTGCCTCTGCTGTGGTGTCTTTCTTGGCTGGCTTTGAAAATTGATGTGAGGGACGAGAAATCAAAAATAAAGAGGTTTTCTTCCACAACTTGTGGATTGGGAATGAATAGAGTGAAATTGCAGAGGAATAAAATAAACACTATGCAAAAAGGCCATACCTGTGCAACAATTAGCACTGCAATATAGAACCGAGAATTCCCAATCAAATCTGCAAGCAATTCATTACATGCAGTGCTAAACGTTTCCAACCCGTCGAGGGAGGCCCGGAGAGCCACGGCTACTTTTTCAAGAATGTCAAAGCCGCGATGCACAACGCATCCACCCCAGTTTTCATCGTTGGCTGGATCACTGGGGCAAACAACGCCGAATGATTCCCAGGGATCTCTTCCATGGGAATTTCGTTTTTCTGACCCTTATCCCAGAGCCCTGGGTCAATTCCTCCAATGAACCAAAAAGAGCAAGGAAGCCCCTGAGAAGTACCTAACGTGGAGAAGTCCTCACTAACATTGGTCCTTGGGGTATCGCCGTCAAAGTCTTCGAAATGGTCTGCAAAAGAGGCAGCCAGTTGAGAGGCCACATGTTTATCGTTGTCGGTGGGCGGGAACCGCCTCGTTGGTGTGAACAACGGCGGCTTCGGCGATCCACTAGCAACACACTCAGCCTCAACGATGCGCCTGATAGCAGCAAGTATTTTCTCTCGAGTCTCCAATTTGACAGTCCTGAAATCAATTCCGATTTCCGCCCGGTCCGCAATGATATTTTCTGTTTGCCCTGCCTGCAGGCTCCCGACCGTCACGACAGCAAGATCATTCGCGTCCACTTCTCTACTCACAATGCCCTGAAGCCTAACAACAACATGCGCAGCAAGGAGTACGGGGTCTACCGTCTGATGCGGCTGTGATCCATGACCACCGCGGCCATAGAGAGTGATCTTCAGGCTATCGGCAGCAGCCATGATCGTGCCAGGCCGGGAACCAACACTTCCCGCTCGCATTCGCATGACGTGCTGCCCGAAGACGTAATCAGGCATGGGAATCTTCGAATAAAGTCCATCATCAACCATAGCCTGGGCGCCTCCGCCGCGCTCCTCGTTCGGTTGGAAGAGTACGATTAAAGTCCCGCTCCACGCATTCCGTGTACGGGCCAGGACTTCAGCTGCGGCAAGCAGACATGTAATGTGCATATCATGGCCACAAGCGTGCATTACGGGTTTTTCATTGCCGTCCGCATCAGCCATAGTCACTGAGCTCGCGTAGGGGAGGCCGGTGAGTTCCTTGACGGGAAGCGCGTCCATGTCGGCCCGAAGAAGGATTGCCTTTCCAGGGCCATTCTTGAGAGTCCCTACGAGCCCGTAACCTCCTATATTTGTCTGGACCTCATAGGATCCGAGTTGGCACAAATGGGAGGCGATCCTTTCAGATGTGGCCTTCTCTTGTAGCGAGAGCTCGGGATGCGTATGGAAATGCTTGTAAAGAGCTTCATAAGGGTTCAAATCCACATCGGCGGCGGCTAGAATGTCTGACAAGCGCTGCTTGGCCATTTCAGGGATATGTGGTGACCACTTGCAGGAGATGACCGGGGCATAACTCTCTCATTGGATATTACCTGACCGCTATCACCGCCTCCACATTCCGAGGCATTTGACGATCAATCACGAATTTTCTTGCATCATAGAATACATCCATCTCATTTTGCTATGCAAATCTATTTGTGAGATTAAGAAAGATAAATCGATAGATGACGATGCAGTCTGCACAACCAAGGCTTCTAGTCGGTAGCAGGTGCCTGAAAGTCACTTCAACCTGTTGCTAATCTGCCAAGATTCCTGCCACCAGCCGATGCTAAGTCCCATGACCCTCGATAATGGGAAAGGCGCATACAGATCCCTTGTACGACTCCAGATAAATATGTAGACTGTGAACTTTTATGCTTCACTCCATATCTCGATCTGAGATCCTGCAATCTCCCTCTTATTTTTGCCCATACGTTCGCAGAACAGTTCCCTCATGTCCCGCGCAAAGACTGGGGTCAGATGCCCTTCTCACAGCGATGTCATCCTACCGATGCAGGACCCCTACATGACTCAAATCGCCGACGGAAGAAAGAACTACGAGTTTCGAAAATATTGCCTCAGACCCAGTGTGAAACGAATCTGGTTTTATCGGACTGCTCCGCACTCCAGCATCACCCATGTCTGCGAAACACGGTTCGCCCGGACGCGGAATGCCGGTGATGCTCCACTGGAAGAAAACGGGCTGGGTAATGCCGAATTCAACAATAAGCACAAAGACTGGGATGGCTACGATTTCGCTTACGAAATGGTTACTGTCCGTGAGCTCCGGCTGCCCATCACGTTGAAGGAGATGAAGGAGAAGCATGACTTCAAATTGGCACCGAGAGGTCTTGTCTATCTGTCCAAGTCGATTAGCGTTAGTGTCGATTTGAATCAACAGAAGCTAGTAAGAAGCCGATGTTCAGCTTGCTATTGAACCTACGCTAATATATAAGCAGTTGCTCGATAGGAGAAACTTATGCTTCGAATGGCTCAGATCATCCGATAATTGTGAAAGGTTTTGCATACATCATAAAAGAGCCAATCTCATTGTTCCCGTACTCAGTAATCTGAACATCAACAAATCTCTCATCCTTATACTCTTGATTTCCTAATGGAGACTAGTCACCAAAATAAAGTTCCAAGGTTCCTGAGCGGTGTCGCGTGGCAGTACACAATTATCCCAGGGGTGCGGTCACTCACTTTACCTAGTTATTTTCCAGGAATGGTGGTGTGTATTCCTAAGAAAGAGAGCAATTAGTAGAAGACTGTAGCGGCATGTGATCGGCACGAGACCACAACAGCAAAAAGGCGGTTCGAATATCATAGCCACTTGAAAAACATGATATAAGCACTAATGTATAGTTACCCTAGTTAGTGTTTTTCTTTGACCTTTATGCGTTTTCATTGAATCATCCTTATTAAAATGGACTAATAAATCCACCAACTACCTCCAAAATTGACCAAATATCTCACACACACATCTGACATGGAAAACCAAACGCAGTAAAAAGAGAATTCTAGAGGAGTGGCACAAGAGCAGTCCACAAGAGACCAATTAAGCCAACACTAGGGATATTCCAAGATCCTGCCGAATTGTAGGCCGGGGAAAAGGTAGAGGTCGTTGCCGAATCAGTCTGACTCGTCTGACTCGTCTGAACCGAGCCCGACGGACTACTGGCAGCATTGTCAGATGTGCTTTCACTGCCAGTCTCTGTCCCTAGAGTGCTTGATACGGTCTTGATCGAACCGGGCAAGGATGCTGTGATAAGCACGCCAGATACTGATGTTGTCGCGATCGATCCAGGGACTAAGCTTGTCACGAGGGAACCGGATGTTGAGATTGTCACAAAAGACCCAGAGAAAGAAGTTGTCACAAGCGAACCAGATACCGAGGTGGTCACAATTGAACCGGAAGCTGAGATGGCGATGAGAGTGACTGGTTGAGTTGTCTCTGGGCTGGATATTTGCTCGGTCCCGGTGGTAGCAGTGTCGGACTGAGTGCTCGTTGTCTCGGTATTTGTGGGCTCGGTGCTCGTGTTTTCATTTCCTGTGTTTCCAGTGCTCGTTGGTTCAATGCTGGTCGGTTTAATGCTGGTAGCTTCAGTGCTCGCCGCTTCAGTGCTCGTCGATTCAGTGCTCGTCGATTCAGTGCTCGTTGATTCAGTGCTCGTCGGTTCAGTGCTGGTCGGTTCAGTGCTGGTCGGTTCAGTGCTGGTCGATTCGGTGCTGGTCGGTTCAGTGGTCGCCGATTCAGTGGTCGCCGATTCGGTGGTGGTAGCTTCAGTGCTGCTAGCTTCAGCGCTGCTAGCCTGAGTACTCGTGACCGTGGCTGCTGTCGATGTTTCCGTGCTGGTAGCAGCGGTAATCTGGGTGCTCGTCGCCGTAGTGTCCATCTGAGTACTGGTCACACTTTGTGCTGTTGTGGAAGTGACCATATCGGAGCAGAAATTCAGCCACTGTGCAAAAGTCGGCAGCATTATGGATGAATATTGATCAGAGCCGGATTCAGCGTTGTTGGTAATGCACTCCTCGCAAATATCCAAGTTTTCCATGAACGCCGAGTCACTCTTGCAGAGCTCAGGTGTCTTTCCAAGCATTTGAGGCTCATGTGCAGCATCGAGGCAATCATTGTAACAGACTGTAGGGATGTTCGTTATGTCGGCCCTCTTGATCCTTTGGGCGACAGCGAAATCCCACAACGACATGTCGCGCTTATTGTTGGCTGCCAGTGGGTCTTCGAAGATAGAATAATTGAGACCGAAGTCCTCCGGATTGAGGTTGTAATAAATGTTCGAGACATTGTACTGCCAAGACGGATGAACGTCTAAAGGCGGAGCCACAATGCAGTCTGAGGGACTGCAGACGTATCCGGGGTCGGGAAGACCTGCTTCAATATTGCAATTCGAGCGGTCACCTGCATGACCGGGCTTGCAGAGATATCCGGGTGCGCAGCCCCAGGTATAGTCATCTGGCAACACGGCGGGGGGTGTGTAAGATGGATTACTGATGAGACTGGAGCATACAGAGGCAGGCACCGACGTAGCGCTGCTAGGGCTCTGGGTCGATGTCGCACTAGACCCGGTAACGGTGAGAGTACGAGTGATTGTTTTGGTTGTTTGCGAAACTGATACTGTTAGCTGTTGCAATAATACTTGACGTCCAATGGGTGATAACATACCTGGGATAGTGATAGTGCCAATAATGATCGTTGAATCACTGATCACTGTACTTTCTGGACTTGTGACAGTTGTGGTACCGGTGGACCCGGGTAAAGTGCTACTACCACTTGATACAGTGGCAGTCTCAGTAATGATTGTCGTGACTGTGGTCCCTGGAAGTATTGTTCCCGGGAGAGTGACAGTGGTATTTGGGATAGTGACAGTCGAAATATCGGTGGCAGCCGCTGATGTTGTGGACACTGGAATAGTGGTAACACCTACAGAGCTGGAAGTGGTTCTGGTTGTTACTGTAGTGGATGGTGAAGTCGTCGGCCCCGGAGCAGTGGCAGTCGAGTCAGTAATAGTCCTCGATGTTGTTAGGGTGGTTGTCGTATGTATGCTGGATGTGGTTGTGACAGGTACACTTGAGCTGGTAGTGCCAGAAACGCTAGTGCTAGGCACGCTCGAGCTAGTAGTCTCAGACACGCTTGTGGTGGTTGTGCCAGGCACGCTCGAGCTGGTAGTGTCAGAAACGCTCGAGCTAGTAGTCGTAGGTACACTTGAGGTCGTTATTCCAGGTACGCTGGAGGTGGTTGTCACAGGCACACTAGAAGTGGTTGTCACAGGTATACTGGAGGTTATCACAGGTGTACTCGAGCTGGTAGTCTCAGACACGCTCGAGCTGGTAGTGTCAGAAACGCTCGAGGTCGTCATTCCAGGTACGCTGGAGGTGGTTGTCACAGGTACACTGGAGGTTGTCACAGGTATACTCGAGCTGGTAGTCTCAGACACGCTCGTGGTGATTGTGCCAGGCACGCTCGAGCTGGTAGTAGGTACGCTCGAGGTCGTTGTTCCAGGTATGCTGGAGGTGGATGTCACCGATAAACTGGAGGTAGTTGTCACAGGCACACTGGAAGTGGTTGTCACAGGTATACTGGAGGTTATCACAGGTATACTCGAGCTGGTAGTCTCAGACACGCTCGTGGTGATTGTGCCAGACACGCTCGAGCTGGTAGTAGGTACACTCGAGGTCGTTGTCACCGGTATACTGGATGTGGTTGTCACAGGTACACTGGAGATTGTCACAGGTACACTGGAGGTTGTCACAGGTATACTCGAGCTGGTAGTAGGTACGCTCGAGGTCGTTGTCACCGGTATACTGGATGTGGTTATCACAGGTACACTGGAGATTGTCACAGGTACACTGGAGGTTGTCACAGGTATACTGGATGTGGATGTCACCGATAAACTAGAGGTGGTTGTCACAGGTACAGGTACGCTGGAGGTGGTTGTCGTAACAGTCAAGTTAGCTGTGCATGTACACGCTGTAATCACCTCGGTTGTGTAATCTGTGATCGTTTTTATGGGAGCAATTCCGGGCAGTGCCCTAGCGGTATTTGCAGCAACGGCCACGGGTCCAATGCCGACATTGGGAATGGCACTCAGAGTGTGGGCATTTCGGCAACCACTTATAGTGTAGGTGGTAGCCTCGGTGATGATTTTGGTGGCAGCTGCAGAAACATCTCCGGTCTGCGTAACAGTGTGGGTGACAGTTTCAGCGGTGCAAGACTCGCCATCACCCAGCCAAAGTGTAACCCCGACTCCAATTGTAGCGGTCAATGCGTCCTTTTGTTCCGCCGGCAGCGCGAGGGCTCTGTTGATGAGACTGCTGTGACTTGATGTCACCAAACCGAAGACAATCGCCAACAGCGACAACCGACCGACCGCGACCTTCATCTTTGCTTGTCTGTAGGAAAAATTCTTCCGGCGATGGCCAGCAAGGTAAACAAGCTAAACAAAGAAAATACCTCGACAGAATGGGAAGACACCCAATACATAACACACGCACGGTCCCCTTTTTGAATAAAAGAAAGCCCAACATTTCGTTCGAGGCTCAGACTTCTTCTCTGGTGGATATTGACTCGGACAGTGCAGCATAGTCATGACGATCTCGCGGTACAAGGTACAAGGAAATGCAAAATATCCCGCGACACGGAGTTATGGACCGCAATCAGGGGCTAACTCGAGCACACAATGTGGCAGCTCCAGTTGATTCAGCTGTATCTCCGTGAGTGCATGATCCTAGTCATGCAGCAATACGATCATGGTAATGATCATGGCGTTATGGCCATAAGCTGAACGGGCGCACTACACGTCGTTTAATCCTTGGTGCTTCTCTCATTGGCTGCTCGTATTCAGGGCGGGGGCAGGTGACAACAAAGAGGATGAACAACAAAGGCGCATCGCAAGGTCGGAGACCCCGCTTCCTCGCTTTTCCATTTGGGCAAGATGGCTGCAGTAAATCCTGGAGGATTCCATTGTTGGATCTGTCATCGAAAATTGGAAACCCTCCGCGATGAGCTTCAATTGAAAAATGAGCTTGTTTTTGGGGACGCTGCTGACGCTGCTGGTCGTGATAGACTGCGCAGTGGCCGTATGCAGTACATTCCCGACTCAAATCAATGTTTCCATGTGCAACTGGCAAGGTCTGCGTGGTAAGCATTTCTTGTTTCCCTTTCCGATAGTTGTCTTCTTACTGACACGGGTAGCCAATATTCTGCGCGATACAATCTACCTCGATGGCGGTGAGCTATGGTATCAGAAGTATGAGGCTCCCCACGGTCAATACTGATTTACACTAACAACTGCAGAGGATTTGACGATGGTTGTGTCGAGCCCCAGCCAGATAACAGTAGGCGCAATCAAATGGATCTTCATATCTGCATATAGCTAACTAGCTGCAGATTTGGAGGCCACCATTTATTACCTGAACCTCACTACTTCTTTCAACACTACATCGGATTTTATGAAACTCCTCAGCAACATGTCTGTCGCCGGCGGTGCTTCTAGCATAGCTCCGAATTATGTTGATGGAACGATGTTTGCCAACGACAACGAGTTCTATCTCTATGGGTAGGGGTCCCTCCTCTCTCTAATAAATCACTGAAACCACTGACGCTTAGATTATTTATTACAGAGGCATGCTCCCCAATACCGATAGCTCTGCTCCTCCGCCTTCTAACCAAGTCCTGTCGTATGCCGCGCATCAGTATGGCGCCTATAGAAGCTCGTGGGCACCCAACTGGCAACAAGAATACCTTTCCACCAATGTCACGCGATATATAACCAATGGTGCTGCCGCATCTGCGCCAAGCGAGAACTTGGGCTTTTACTTCAGTGGGATGCGCGCGGCGGACTGGGGCGACTTCACTTTAAACCAGCTTCAATCCAACCAAACGGCCAACACGTTAATCACCCTTGACATGTCAACGATGAGCGATGGGAAGTGGACAAACAACACACTGCCGAGCTACATTCCTGCTCGTTCAAGGGCGGAACTGGTCTGGGTACCTATATCTGAGTCTGGGGTTTTAGTGGCTATTGGCGGAGTGATTGAACCCATTGAGTTTTTCCGGAATGAAAAAGCAAACTCAACCCGGACGGCGGAGAGCAAAAGGATTAGCCCGACGTTCATGGAGACAGTTTCTGTTTTCGATGTCGAGAGTAAAGCCTGGTATCTCCAGAACACGACGGGTGATATACCGCCACAGCTGACGGAGTTCTGCTCTGTGCTTGCGAGTGCGGCTGATGGGTCATCTCATAATATTTACATCTATGGGGGATACGATGGTCTGAACTATAACGCCAATCCGTCGGACGACGTGTATATATTGTCTCTGCCTTCCTTTAAGTGGGTCAAGGCATACAATGGTACAAACACACACAGTCGCAGCGGTCACCAATGCATCAAAGTATATCCCGATCAAATGCTAGCGGTTGGAGGGCAGCATGTCGACTCAACTTATTGCCTGGAGGGTGGTATCATTGTCAATTTCAATCTCAACACCTTGACCTTTGAGGATGAATATGATCCCACGACTTGGAGTAAGTATAAAGTGCCAGATCTTGTGACGGCACTGATAGGCGGCAAGTGAGTATACCTCAGCAGTACATAATGCAATCATCATGGCTGACAGCTTATTAGCTCCAATGGAAGTGCAACCATTACCGCCCCATCGTCATGGACGAACAGCTCTCTAGCGGGGATTTTTGGAAAGAAGTATGGCAAGACTGTCGAGACATATTGGCCGTACAATAGCACCAGCACCAGCAACAGCACCAGCAGCGGTGGCAGCGCCAGTACATCCGCGCAAGAAAGCAGCGGGGGCAGCGGATTCCCCGGGTGGGCTGGTGGAGTAATCGGTGCGGTCTTGGGTCTGCTCATAATTGCGCTCCTTGTCGGATTCTTGCTTTATCGTCGCCGTCACCGTAAACACGAGGTTTCGGAGGCTAAATCCGAAGCTGCTGAGGCGCAACCTCAGAACCTTCCTCCGGAATGGATGTATGCGAGCGGCCCAGCCGCACCTGGGCCTGGGCCAGTATCTTCATCGACTGGTATGGAGACGGTAGAGACGGCGCGGACGACGCAGACCACAGGAACGCAGCCGTCGACAACACAACCATCGATGACGCAGGCGTCAACCGTGCCAGAGTCTCTCATCTCGCCTGTGACCCCTGGCACGGTTGAATCTGGAGGAGATGCGCTATATGAGATGCATGGTATGTTAATGACTTTCTTTATTCAATCCCCGATAGGAAAGAGATATTGCGGAGTACTAAACCTGACATCCACCAGATTCATCACCTGTTGAGCTTCCAACGTCATTCAACACCGCCTATTATGCCCACGACGGACCTCCCAAGTCCGAACCCGAACGTGGGCCCAACCTCGATCCGAGACGAGGCTCTCAGTCTCCTGTCTCACCGCAGACTCCTAGTGAGACGGGTTCGGAGTACTCCTATCCAGCAGCCCACAGCCGACGTCCATCGTCACTCTCATTGTCGTCACCACTGTCGATTGAAAACGTGATGAGCGGCCGATCATCCCATTTCTATGAATCTTTCGATAGTTTGGATACCCGGCGACCAGGCCATCGATCTGAAGCTTCCCAGCTGACTGATCATTTACAAGAAAAAGGGCGGAAAGGAGGTACTGAGACGATCCGGGAGGATGAATAGGATATAGTTATTTAATATGGTAATACCAATTTCATATGTCTCAGTCTGTTCGCTGTGGACCTAGTCCCAAATTCATGATAAAAAAAAAGTGATTTGCAGTGCTCAAGTACAAAACCAAGAATGAAAACTCAGGTCAAGCCAATATACTCCGTCGGCCCGCGTTCTGGGCATATTGACTCGATATATCTTCATCCCGACCATTCACAGCCACAGCAGTTACACTCAAAGTGGCTAAGGATTTAGGTATCTCAAAGTGCTTTTTGATAGCTGAGTTTCGTGGAGAATTCGGTTCCCATGAGTTAGGTATATTGACCGTTGCTCGTTCGGCAACTAATTGATTTTGATCTAGAAGAATGTGTGAGTTTAGAATTATAAAGACCATCATGAACTAGCAATACCTTCTTTTGTCAGAGGTTGCGAGACCACAGCAGGCTGACGATCTTCATCTCCAGGAAAACATCTGTCCCCCTCGTCTCGTATATCCAATCTTCGTTTCGACCGCGAGGGTATATATTCTTTCACGGGCTTCTCGGCGCCCGAGTACTTCCCCCGGGAGGCGATACCAGCTCCCCAGCGCAATCGGATCTCGTATCCCTCACAAGCCAGACCTCGGGAACTGCATTTTTGGCAGGCTGGGCGCGCTTCGTCACACTGAATCCTCTTTTTCTTACAGGTCCAGCATCCCTTGAAAGAGCGATGACGCCGGGAGAGGTCCTTTTGCTTCTCGGTCGAAGGCATGCTACTGAGAGAACTGTTGTGAAGGAAAACAAGAGCAAGGACAGAAACCCCCTGGAAATCCTACAACTACAATTCACTCATATATACTCACGCAAGCGAGGAGGCGGGCGTGGTGCTATGCGCATACTCGGACTGTGATTGGCCAAACACAGATCTCAGTGAGCGCATTCTAAACTCCTATAGGGAGTGCTTCCCGGGTTACTGCCAGGGATATATCTCACTAGTTTCCTCGCATTCTTAAAAAAGATTCTCATTCTCATGGTCTGTGAAGTCCAAGCTGGTCCAGTTTCAAAGTCGACCGGATTTCAAGGCGAGCTTGCCGCTTTTGGAAGGTCCATGCAGATGCAGGAGAAACAAGCTTGTCTTTTTCAGCCTCTCCGCCGACAGTTCTATAATTTCCGGGGTTTAGTCCTGCCGTGAAGATGAAGAAATTGTACTTGTCGAAAAGTCAATTATCAATTCCAAGAGACAATATCGAGGCTTTCCGACCGTTGGGCTTCAATGAATGCAGCCGCATTAACCCGACTAACTCCGACCTCGGGAGGATCTGATAGCCGTGAGTCAAGGAATCAGGTATCAGAACAACATCCGCGGTGATCCCTCGAGTCGGATATCCAGCAAACGCCAAATACCATCGATATAATTAGCACTGCACGTAACAAACCGCATCTACCTTCCAGAGAGGGATTCCTCAATCTTCGTCGGATGTGGGGTGGAAAAAAACTGGAGCAAAACTGGATCTCTGTACAGATCTTCAGTATGTATGTGTCGTTTAATCGTGTAAAATGCCTTCAGGGCTTAGATCTATCATGTGGGCCACTCGGTGAATATCCAGTGAACGTGCCCTCCTCTATGGCCATGGAGGCCGACGCCATGGGATTCCCGGAAAAAACAACAAAACCTTTGTGAATGGGCATACGGGACATCCGGTTCATTCAACTGCTTCAGTGACCTCATTATTGGACCTTCAATATCGCCTT